CGAATGGATATCGGCTGTGATCTCTGGATGCATTTTCAGTAGTTGTGGAGGAAATACTTAATGTACATAAATCTGGAAGTATTTCTATCTGTCATGGATAACTGCTGTGCGTCGGTGGCATAGTGGTTAGAACGCTCGCCGACCATGCATATGGTCTGGGGTTCGATTCCTGGCCGGCGCACTCCTTTACCTCGCTAAGCCAGAAATAATGCTGGTGAAGAGGAAAGGTTCAGCATGAGGCTAGCAACCCCATCCTGTAAAATAAACACTGCTACAGAAACTTCAAGCCACTAGCTTGAAGCCCTATGTTCCACTGGGGAACGTGAAGGAAATCAAAAAATAAATGGATAACTGCTACAAAGTGATGTGACTAATCACATCTGATACGTTTCGATCAGATGGTGAAATGTTCAACTTAATTCTATAACATGTACTTAACTTATCATCTGTAAGTTCACTAGATGAGCATTAATAAATGGATAAAGTACTGCACGCAATTATTCTTATGTACTCTGTAAATAACTTTAGTTCATATATTACAAAAAGGGTCATTGTTAACATTATGAGGATATCTTGAGATAAGTTCAGATTTATGTCTTAAACTGTATCAAATCGTAACAAATATAGAGTCAAATGCAACTACTTTTATACACGAAATATCTGTAGGCAACCACTTCAATTGCGTGAACTTTATTAAGAAATGGGGCATCTGCTTTAGCAGACTGTGTTCCAAAAGCAAATAGTTGAGCTTTCAGGTTTGACAACGGAGTGATATCAGTTAGAGAACTACTGAAAACCGCACAGAATTGGACAGCTGTTTCGTCCAGGCTTAGGAGTCTTCATCTCTACGCATCCACCGAGGTTCGAACCCGAGACTTTCAGGTTACAAAGAAAGCTCATTGGGATATGATCCAAAGGCTTATGAATTCCAGCTTCCACCAATTCGCGATGTTAGCGCGCCTACTAGCCAATGTCATCTTTGACGAGTATTTGTTCCCAAGTTTGACTAGGTGGATCCCAATGGTCACGATTTCTCACTGGAACTCCAGGTAACTTTGTCCTGTCACCGGTCATTAGAGAGCATGAGATTAATATTCAAGAGTTGGTTTATACTGGCTAAAGGACAAAGTTATCTAGAGTTCCAGTGAGAAATCGTGACCAATGGGATCCAACAGGTCGAATTTAAGGACAAAACCCATCAAGGATGACAGTGGCTGATGGATGCGCTAATATCATGAATTAGTAGAAGCTGGAATTCGTGGGTCTTTGGACCTTGTCCCAATGACTGAATAGTATATCAGTTTTCTTTGTAATCTGAAAGTCCCGAGTTCGAACCTCGGTGGATGCGTGGAGATGAAGACTCCTAAGCCTGGACGAAACAGCTGTCCAATACTCCGTGGTTTTCTATCATTCTCTAACTGATATCACTCTGTGGTCAAACTTGAAATGAATCTAACCCCTACAAACTAACTCTGTGGAACTCTGTTTATCCCAGGAAGTAATCATTTCATTTCAATCGAAAGCACCCCGAGAATTCATGAATTTAAATGAATAACAATTAATGTTTGTTGCACGAGAGGTGGCAGACATTAACACAGTATCTTAAGTTAAAGAAGCTTTGGTATTTGAAACCATAGTTGTTTAATTCAAACCTCAGTGAGAACATTGTCACCCACTGTGATGAAAGTACATCCATCTTATAAGTCTTAAATTGAGTAAGACAAGCGTTCCTGAATGCACCACCAGTCACCACTTATCAAATAACAGCTGCATCTTCTAAAAGGGAACGTAGATATTTCATCCCTGTCCGCTTTCTCTCAAGAATTTTTTGTTCAACTTGATTGTAAATGATCCCTGGTGAAGACTAAACATGACTTTCAAACGATGAGTCTCAGAAACAGTTTATTAAACGTTGAATAATATTTTTTGCTGACTGTTATTTCTAAAACAGCTAGGGATAGACACAAAGTGCCACTTGATCATATTCGAGAATTTTTACACATAAAACACGACATGTATTCCTTCATATCAATACATGCATACAATTATGGACACTAGTTCGATTGGGAAGAAGTACATCTTTTAAACAGCGAAGAAATTAGAAATGCCAGAGAATTCCTAGAAACTTGGTACTCACATCAATCTTCATTCAACAAACATACGGATATCGATTGAATTTATCAACCAATAAGGAACAAGTCATATGGGAAAAATGGTAGAAAGATCAAATTCCAGGTCAACAAAACGACCGATATCTAAACAAATTGACCCAAGGATAATGAAATCTCTGAAGACAATCATTTCTAACCAAGGTCATCAACGATGAGGTTTATCAATCACGTAAAATTCCGAAAAGCTTCACACATCAATCGCTTTGATCAGAGAACATTGCCACATACAGACGATCAATAGGAGGCCTCATTTTTTTAACTTTCACTAGTAATTTAACAAGTCTATTTCAGATAAAGATTTATCGTACACCTTTATTTTATCTTCGTCTGGTGTATAAACTATTTGAACCTCCGAAGGAGGAAAACATAAAATGGCTTTTATAATAAACTAATATTTATCTGGCAAATTTTTGCATCATTGATTAGTGCCAGGGGACTGAGTGAGTTTCAACATAGAAATTAGCACAGTGTGAGTTGCCACCCTCCATGTACCATAAAAAGGAAGGCAAAAAAGAGAAAAACAGAAATTCGAAAGAACAATAATCAGCAGAAAAAGAAAGGAGTAACATGGAAAAAACATGACGGTTTAGTGGATGGAGGAAATTACAAAGAGCCATTAAGAAATAATTCGAGCCATATAACCAATAGCCTATAGTTATTGGTTAGTTGCCTCCCCAGGGCCCCAACCAGGCAGCTGACATCTCCCTGTGTGACTGGCTCAAACCAATTATCAACCTCTTCATGAACTGATACCAAATTTTGATTTGATCATCCCTACCTCTTTCCCAGCTTAATCAAATATCCGCTAACATTGCTCGTCGAAGAAGGAACCTCATAGAAATTAAGTGATGAACCACTGACGACGTAGTATTCGGTAAGTGCTTAATCCTATGCTAGGATAAATTTAGGGGGGTCTTTCTATAATCCCAACAAGAACCAATGGGGGGATATTTAATGCTTGTAATGTACATTCCTCTATTGAGCCTGCTGATCATGAAATTTCTTTTAGCAAGTAAAAGTTAAGAATTATCAAACGACGAATTCAAAAGCACCGGATGAATAGTAAAGTGCATTAGTGATATTTGGCAGCCGGCTTAAAACACTTAGCTACTAAAGTTCTTTCCATCTACGGAAATGCATCATATCCACTACATTGGAAATTGTTTTACACAACCAAGTTCACATAAATAGTGAACTACTGTCATCATGCACATTTTCAAAAACGTTTCAACCTACTTCTATGAATTTCTTGAAGGAAATGAAAAAGAGACTTAGCGATGTTATGGTGCTTGCTTTGGATGGAACAATACTGCCTGAAGTGACGTTTTATCGATCATTAACTATATTACCTGAAGATCCCAGCACAAGGAGTACCTACTTTGCAAAAAAATAAGCTGCGAATTATGTAATGGGTTTAGGAGGAACTTTACAGGAAAAAAACGCAGTTATTAATATTATTATTATAATTATTTAATTACTATTTCTGTGTGATTTACATATTCTTTGATATATACCATCTAGGTAAACAAACAATTGTATTTCTAACTTATAAGGCAGCCTTCTGAACAGCTTGAGTAACAATCTTCGAATGTTTGTCCGAATGATGTTACACGACTGGACTAAATCGACTTACTCCTAGCTTGAAGATGATGAGTGAAGTGGTAGAGCGTGTTGATCACTTCACTTATTTGGGAAGCTGCATCAACCCCAACGGTTTGATCGCTGACGAAATCTCAGCACGGATACAGAAGGCTCGTATGGCATTTGCCAACATACGTCATCTCTGGCGTGGACATGATATCCGGCTTTCGATCAAAAGAATTTTGTACTACGAACCAGTTCGCTCCGTCCTCCCTTATGGCTGTGAAATATGTCCATCGGAAGTGAGAGATATGAGAAGACCGGCTGGTTATCTTTGATCATAAGTGTCTCCATTCTATTTCCCTTGTTAGGTGGTATAACATAGTGTGTAATATTGGAGTGAGGCGTCGACTGTCAGGTAGAAGGGAAGTCAGTCAGGTTATGAAACTACATCGACTGAAATAACCAGGACATTTAATACGCATACATACCAAGCCATCGCCTTCCTCGACAACCAATGTTACCTGACATGGGATCAAGTTGGACAAGAGCTAATAGTGGTCAGACCGAAATTGGCAATCAGTCTGTAAAGTCTCTGACAGTCAATTTGAACCAGTCACGTAGGGAAGTTCAAACTTCCTGTTTGAGGTCGTCGTTATTCTAAGAACCAGTGATTGGAGACAATTGGTGATATGGCTCAAAATCGTTCTCAGTGGTGGAGATGCATTCATTTTTGTGACTTGTCATATCCAATAAAACTCTATTGTTCTTCCATATTACTATTCTTTTTCTCTCACACTTTTATTATCTTTCTTTACACAGAGGAAGTGTAGCAACTCAAACTGCTGCCCTTCTGTGCAAAGTTGTTCTATGTTGAAACCAGTCAGTCGGTCAGTCAGTCAGTCACAAGGCATTTTAGTGAATTTTAACATTAACAGTAACCCGCAAAATGTGCAGACGAACGAAAGATTCAACTGCTCAACAAAGACACAGTCAAAAACACAATTTATTAATACAAAAAATTGCATTTGATAAGTCTAAGGGGAAAAAATACATAAAATACAAATATACTCTGAGATTGGATAAGACTAGGCTGAAAAGGCAGAATAATTTGAAAATCCTAAGACGGAAATCAACATTTTGTTTTTGGTAGAAAAATAGTACATCTATTTCTTCTCATAAATCACATATACAAAAAAAAATAATGCGTCTACACAAATAAACATTGCTAAGAAAATAAGTGAAAAACTAAAACCAAAAGGGTAAAACATAAAATCTGTGTTTATGTTTCACACTACTACTATTATTGATATAGGAAATAGTATCCACCGGTAATGCTTCATAACTAAATGTTGATTTGATAAGAGAAAATAATTCTTTGAGTTTTGTTATCTGACTGAATTGTTCTTTTTCCCCTTGTGAATTATGCTCACCAGTACAACCAAGAATGGTGAGTTTATGTCGAGCACGAGTTAAAGCGACATTTAAACGACTTAAATCTTCAAGTAGATGAACTCGATTGAATTCAGTACACTAGAACAAGAAGAAAATGCATATAAGGAAAATTATGTCTGTGCTATATGAATGCATATTTAATACAAGGTGGTTTAGAAACCAGCGAATAGACTCACATAAAAATCAAAAAAAAGATTAAATGGAAGATTGGTTGGAGGATTTCATCATGAGCTGACATCAGTTAGAGAACCATTGGAAACCCTTGGAGTACTGAACGGCTGTTTCGTCCTAGTTTGGAACTCTTCACCAGTACGCACTCATCACCGGGGTTCGAATCCAGGACGTTCTGATCTGATGCTCACAAACGACTGGCCCTATTCAGGTAGGTAGTTACCTGGGGTTATAGTGGGAAGGCGTGACCAGTAGGGTACAGCAGGTTGAAGGTGAGGCAGTAACTCATCGAAAGACATTGAGAAGTGGTCGCGCTATGTCATGAATTGGCAGAAGTTAGAATTCATGGGCTGGCCATTGGATCGGGTCCCAGTGGCTTAATGGTCTACGAGCTTGCTCGCCTTGTAACCAGAAGGTCCTGGTTTGATCCCTGGCGGTGAGTGTTTACTGATGAAGAGTCCCAAACTAGGCTGACGAAATAGCTGTTCAGTACTCCAATGGTTCCTAACCAATGTCAGCTCATGATGAAATCCTCCAACCAATCAATCGAATCCCTACAAACAATACTTACAAATAAAAGATTGTCAAAAAATATTACTCACAAAAAACTTCATTGTATATATATATATATATATATCATGTGTTACGTGAATAAATTTCCCAGCTCAAGGAAGGAATTTATACAGCTGTGGTCAGAACTAGTGCATCGATACCTCAGGGGTCGAATACCAGCTAGTCACACACATGATCCGGGTCTTACTCCGGGCCGACCCACTCCTTTACCTCAACAAGCCGATAGTATAGTGGGGAAGAGAGGGAAGGCTAGCCGTGTGGCTAGTAACCCCACCTCATAAAAATAGAACAAACGCTATTGAAAATTCAAGATATAAAGCTTTGAGCCCTGTGCCCCACTCGGGATGCTTAGGAATGAAAAAAAGGTGGTCAGAAAGTAACAATACCGAAATAATCTCATTTCCGGACAGAAAATCTCCCTATCCCATCGGTCGCAAGACAAATATACCCCATCGAAAACCTAACACTGTTTACCAAATGGCTTAAGTCACCACACACACACACACATCAGTGGTCGCTTTAAAATCACGAATTTGTAGAAGTTAGAATTCATGAGCCATTGAGTCCGTTCCCAGTGGCTGAATGCTCTACGAGATTGCCATATAACCGCAAGGTCCTGGGTTCGAAACCTGGTGGACGCGTACTTCTGATGAGTCCCAAACTAGGACGAAAGAGTTGTTCATTCCTCCAGGCTGGTTTTCAATGGTTCTGTAACTGATATCAATCCGTGATCAAACTCGAAACATCGACAACAACAACAACACATGGTCGATATTAAGAAATTAGGAAAACTAGAAGTGACAGTGGTATCTGATAAAACAATGAGACAACCATGGAACCCGGATGAGAAACGACCAGTTGGGAGTGGGTCCCGAGGGTGACATGAAGGAGACCATGTGAGATGGAAATGAAAGCTTGTAGTCAATTATTGAGCCAGCTAAAACAGACTTCAGAGGACAGAGATACGCTTCCCTAACAAACCATTGAAAAATTCATTAACATTACCTCATCATTTCCATGATTTCTCAACATTGAAGGACAATTAGTTAGACAAAGTAAAATCCATCGTTTATCACGACCTTGAAATTGATCAACAGTATTTACTTCAATATCTTCAAGTAAATTTTCTTTCATTATATTCTTGAGTAGATGAACTTGTGCTCTATACGGTGCAATGATGCCAATGTCTTTAGAATCAAGCAGAAACTGATACGGGAGGGGGAAAAAGCAATTAAGACAATTTGTGAATAACACTTTAAAAAATTATGGTGGGTGTAAAATGTAAAATATGATAACATTGAACAAAGATTGTGGGATATTTATTTAAGATTGAAGCAGTTCTCAAGAATATCGTTTCTAATATTCGAAGACGCACATAATCTATTTTACAAATACGCCAATGTTACTTTTCGTCTAAAAAATAGTGGCATGATTGTTATGTACCGTTTTAGTAGAAAGAGGAGAAATTCAGAGAAGAATTGCTTTTCCCTCCATTCAACCTTATTTAGGACAAATGACTGGTAATTACGTGCGTCGGTGGTACAGCGGTTAGGACGCTCGCCGACCACGCACATGGTCCGGGGTTCGATCCCCGGCCACGGACGCACTCCTTTACCTCGCTGAGCCAGAAATAATGCTGGTAAAGAGGAAAGGTTGGGCATGAGGCTAGCAACCCCATCTTGTAAAATAAGCACTACTACAGAAACTTCAAGTCACTAGCTTGAAGCCCTATGTTCCACTGGGGAACGTGAAGGAAAAAAAAACTGGTAATTACAGGACATGATACAGGATCAGGAGTAGTCTTCCTTGATACAGAAATGATTATATAAAAAAGATGAATGATATAATGAGAACCTTTGGAAAACCTGCAGGGAGTACTGGGTAGCTGTTTCGTCCACCTTGTTTGGGACTCTTCTGGTTACAAGGCCAGTGAGCTCGTAGACCACTAAGTCACCGGGACCTGCCCTATCCAATGACCAGTTCATGAATTCTAACTTCTGCCAATTCATGACAGTGCGACCACTTCGCAATGTCTTCTTCGATGAGTTACTGCCTCAACTTCAACCTGCAGTACCCTACTTGTCACGGCTTCCCACTAGAATCCCAGGTATCTACCTACCTGAATAGGGCCAGTCACTAGTTAGCATCAGATTAATCTTCAAGGAATAATAATAATAATTTGTTGGGATTGTGTTTGATTGGTTGGAAGGTTTCATCATGAGCTGGGTTCAAACCCTGACGGTGGATGCGTACTAATGAAGAGTCCCAAACTAGGACGAAACAGCTCTTCAGTACTCACAGGTTTTCCAATGGATCTCTAACTGATGTCAGCTTATGATCAAATCTTCCAACCAATCAAACACAATCCCTACGAAAACCAATACTTGAAGATATAATGAGAGACAAATAGAAGCTTCAAAAATTGGAGGAGAGAAAAGAATCAAATCAATAAAAATAGAAAATGAAATAACCAGACGTTAAAAGAAACTAAAGGAGAAACACATTACTTTTGGAAAATTTCTATGACGAAATCAGACCCAAAGGCACATATACACCAAGATTATATGGCCCACTCAAAGTATATACAACACCTGGAGGGCTGTTATGACCGACTCTGGACATGCACAATTCCCCTTACCATGCTTTAACTAAATGATTGGTAAATGTCGCAAAAGCATTACATGAATAGATAGTGAAATATAGTGTGAAAGATGTAGTTGAATTCACAGACAGAATTAAAGATAAAGCTACAATATATGTGGATGTAACATCTGTACCTACAAATGTGCCTTTAACTGAAACGGTTAATTACATCTGTGAACAAATAAATAACAAGTCAATAAATATTGGGATCCCAGTAGAAACCCTTAAAGGATTGTTAGTAAAGTGTATCATGAATGTCATATTTAAATTTGATGCTGAACTCTATACACAGATACATAGGGTGACAATGGCCTCTTCGTTGGATTCAATATTATTATTACCATTATTATTGTTTCCTTTAGTTCCTAGAAGAACGTAGGGCACGTCTCCATTGCGTTGGGTTCTCTGTCAACTTTTCCACCTGGCTCCACGTCTGACCGCACGGTTTCCTTTTTTCTTTGCATCACCTCCTCCACTCCGTGTCACCCTTGCACTGACGATCAACTCGCCACTTCCCATTCGGGTGCCACTCGAGCCATGACCTGGCATGTTATGTCATTCACTTGATGGTTTGTTTTCTGAGAGTATGGCCAATCCACCTCAATTTCTTCCTGCATATTTGTTGCACAATTGGTTACTACTAGGTCGGTTCACTCCCAGAAATCCCTGTTGCTCATCTTATCTGGCCGGACATCTGATATTTAGTATAAGACGAAGACACGCCAAGTCTCTGATCCATATAGTAGCACTAACTTTATATTGGAGTTGAAAATCTGGATATCATTTTTCATGTTGAGTGCTGTTGTTCTTCACACAGACTTGAAAGTAATAAAAAGTTTGTCTTGTTTTCCCAATGATCCTCACTTTGGTATTCTCATCAGTTCCGTCCGCCCGTAGTTGAAACGATGCTTCCCAGGTAGGTAAAGGAGGTTGCTTCTTTCAGATTTCGCCCATTTATGCTGGCTGATTGTTGTCTGTTGTTGTTGTTACTGTTGGTGGTGCTGGCCAGGAATCTTCATCACCTCTGTTTTCTCTATGCTCACCTGAAGTCCTATCTTTGATGCTTCTTCTGCCAACTTGTTGCTTTTCACTCGCATATCTTCCAGTTTGTGGAAAATCAGACATATATCATCGGCGAAGTTTAGATCCTCCAAGTTCTTTGTGTGGGTACATTTTATGCCTGTTTCCTCATTGCCCGCCGCCACCTGTCGCATTATCCAGCCTACCGCAATCAGGAAAATCATTGGAGATAGTAGGCAGCCAATCTTAGCAGATTTTTTTCTGAGTAAACTAGGAAATGGTCTGTTAAACAACCTTAGCAGAAAATCCCTATTTTATTACTGCTATATGGATGATACATTCATCCTTTGTGAAAATAATTTGGACAGAAACGCAATAATATCTCATTTCAGTGAAAAGTACATTCAGGTATCAAATCCAAGGGTTAAGAGGAATTCCAAAGAAGAATTTATTTTTTAAGACGCCCTAATGACAAATAAAATCATACGGTAGGAATTTGTGTAAGAAATGTACTTAAACAGGTCAATGTATACACATCTTAATAGATTTGTTCCTATAGAGTATTAAATAAATTTGGTCAGGATCCTCAGCTATAGGGTCAGAGCTTATTGTTCAGAAGATGTAATTGAAGACGAACTTAAGGTTGTATACGACACATTAATTGAAAACAGGTTAAACAGCATTTTGTCACACGATCTACTGTCGATTATTTTTTTTCGGAGCCTTGCCAAACCAAGATGGAAGGTGTTCAGAAATTCGACGATGAACATGCCTGATCGTACGCCCTATGTAACTAGCTCCGCACAGGCAGTTAAACTGGTAAATACACATGGAAGAGGCGAAACAGGCCAGTCTGTCTTTATTTCTTGAACTAAGTATTGGTTGGCTTGTAGATACACAGCATAGCTTAGCTGCATAGAAAGTCCTTTTGAAGGCCCTTCTCAGACGTCAATAGTGAGATCTTATCACAACGTCTGAGAAGGGCCTTCAAAAGGACTTTCTATGCAGCTAAGCTATGCTGTGTATTCACTAACCGACCAATACTTAGTTCAAGAAATAAAGACAGACTGCCATGTTTCGCCTCTTCCATGTGTATTTACCAGTTTAACTGCCCGTGCGGAGCTAGTTACATAGGGCGTACGATCAGGCAAGTTCATCGTCGAATTTCTGAACACCTCCCATCTTGATTATTATTTTTTTTATCTGAAGATCCTGTACGAAGAGCGAAAATATCATGCAATAAACTCCACTGAAAATTCTGTACATTGTATAAACACTATCCAGAATTCCATACATTATGATGAAAAGGACTTACCGTATTCATAGATTGTTTTATCATAAACAAAACTAATTGGGCTTCAGTTGGATTAGAATTTAATGCATGCGATTGATTGGAAGGAGTGACACAACACTGAAGCTAATGAAAGAAAAGATACACAATATATTACTAGAAATTATGATAACACAATTCAAAGGAGAAATGAACGTTGCATGAGGAAAAAATCAAATCACTAGGAACATTATTTCACTACAAAAAGAGGAAACAGACAATCTTTACAATGTTATCATCTTAAACACTATTGAAAATACATTTAGAGTGTTAACACACTAATTCTTCTCAACTTCAAGCGAACTAAACTGATAAGCTGAGTGAATGCAGAAGATTTCCAAACTGATTGCAGAGTGATAAAGGTTGGTCTTGCCTTTCCCATTCTGGCTGATTTTGACAACATCATCCATGATGTCGCCTGCAGTTGAAACGATGCTGCTTAAATAAGTGAAGGGAGTAACCTCTTTCGCATATTCCTCGCGTTGATAGTGACTTGTGGTGGTTGTTATTGGCTCGTTATCTTCATCACCTCCATCTTCTCTATGTTCACTTGCAGTCCTGTCTTCGCTGCCAGACTCTTCAACCAATTTGTTGTTTTTCACCTGTAAGTCTTCGAGTTTGTGTGACACTAGATGTAAATCATCCATCCTCGAAATCCAGATCTTCTAGAGTCTTCTCATCGGCCCAAAGTATTCCTGTCTTCTCACTCCACACTCACGGTGTGCCGCATAATCCACTTCACCACAATCAGGAATATAATCGATGATAATAGGCAGTCAGCCTTTCTTACTCCTATATTCACTTCAAAAGCTTCTCTGGATTTCCCATCGTGATCCAATTGACATGTGTCCTTCTATAAGGTTAGAAACTTGGCGTGCGTGTCACGATAAGGATTTCCAACAAACAGTTAAAGATCTTTATCAACAGCTGTCTTCGATGGCTCCGTACTGAAGATAAAATGGCCGGTCCGCCTGAAAGAAGTAGCAGCACGGGACTCAGCAGTGGAACAAATCAACCAAGAGCCGACTGGTAAACAGATATGTAGGAGAAAATGGTGATGGGTTAGGTATACATTGAGGAAACCGTTGAATGACACCGCGCGCCAGGCAATGCCTCGAGTGGAATCCCAGTGGGAAGCGACGAGTGGGTCATCACTACGAGGGTGACATGGGGGAGATCGTGTGAGAAAGAGATGAGAGAGTTTGGTCAATCGTGGACCCAGCTGAAGAGGATGGCAGAAAATAGAAGAAAGTGGGGATGTGTTGTTGAAGCCCTATGCTCCACTCAGAAACCAAGTGAACAATAAATAATAAATAAACTGTTATACAGTTGACATTTTACAACTGTAGTGTAGTACAACTGCAAGTAACAATTAACATTAAAATCGGACACACCAAAGTTATAATAGACTATCGTGAACAACTCAATGACTGAACAATGATGTGATCACCTAGAAAATTCACAGGCTTGATATCTCTTGGGATTATAAGTTTTAACTACTACTGAAGAGAATTTAATTGGTGGATGGTGACTATCAGTGGAATCCAGGATGCGAATTTCGTCATATTCAGGACTTGTCAGCTATTGGATATACCTGCATTCCCCAGTGACTGATGATGTTCCCACCGAGGCTGGAACCCAGTGCCCATAGTTTCAAACGCCGAAGCGTTATACACTAGACCACTTGGGCCACGAGAGCCAGCTCTTGTGCAACCGGTCGTATTAATTATTTAACTGGGAACACAATTAATCGCTGGGGAATGCAGGTACTTCGAGCTGGCGAGTCTCAAATAGGACGAAATTCGCATCCTGGATTCCCCCGCCAGTCACCATCCACCAATTAGATGAGCATCACTGTCTATACAAAAAAATGGATAACTACCAATGTATTTAAGACATTAATATAATTGATTACAGGATTTAATCGTGAGCTGACATCGGTTAGGGGACCACTGGAAACCCTGGAAGTACCGGACAGCCAGCTGTTTCGTCCGCCTAGTTTTGGACTCTTCGTCTGTGCGTACCCACCAGTAGGGTTCGAACCCAGAAGCTTCTGGTTACAAGGCAAGCGCGTAGAAACCAATGCTTGAATATCAATGAGATGATCACTAGCGACTGGCCCTATTCAGGTAGGTAGTTACCTGGGGTTCTAGTGGGAAGTCGTGACCAGTATGGTACAGCAGGTCAGGTGTGAGGACAAATACTCGCCGAAGACATTGGCTAGTGGTCGAGCTATGTTGTGAATTGTAGAAGTTAGAATTCATGGGCTGGCCACTGGATCGGGTCCCAGTAGGTTGGTGGTCTACGAGCTCACCGTGTAAGCAAACAGTCCTGAGTTCGAGCCCTGGTGGGTGCGTACTAATGAAGGGTCCCAAATTAGGACGAAACGGCTGTCCAGTACTCCCAGGTTTTCCAATGGTTCTCAAACCGATGTTAGTTCATGATGAAATCCTGAAACCAATTAAAAACTTGCAAACCAACACTTGAATAATTAAATTTATCAGTTAAAACAAACTTACTTCTTTTGTATCCAAAAGCAATACAGAATCAGAAAGTGATGAACTCATGACACGTTTAATCCATAATGGCATCTGAAACAAAAAAAAAACAAAAACATTCAGAGACTGAAAGCAACATCAACAATTGATTTAGTAACTTCACTATTTCTTTCGTTGCTTTGCAAAACAATAAAATAACATGAGAAAAAAGGTATGATTATAGGAGAATGACTCCTTCAGTTAATAATGTTTTGCAGTCCGTTTATTTCTTCTCTGTGATTTGAAATTTCAGTAGTAATGGAGTTGTTTTATTACGGGATAGGATTGTTAACCTATACCCAACCTTCCCTCTTTCTCTGGGCTTAAGATATGCTAGTGAACCAGGCAGTGGTGGAGTCAGTTGAAAATAATAGCGGAGAACCAAGCGTAATGAAGATGTATCATTGAAGTCTTATGTTCAACTCGTAACCCAAAGAACGAATAACAATAATAACAGTCTTGTAGTAAAGTAACCTACCTAGCATTCTCATTTCAACACTCCTTCAGACCAACCTTTGGCATAAAATTAGGAGTAAGTCAACAAACGAAAATCTTTGTAATACAAAAGACGAAAGAGTCAGGCAAAATTCAGTCCTATGCGTCCCTGGTGGGGTCATGCGTATTATTATTATTGTTTCCTTTAATTCCTGGGCTTCAGCCGTGAATCTCCATTGCGTTCTGTTCTCTGCCAACGTTTTCACCTGGCTCCAAGTCTGCCCACACGTTTTCATCTCCTCTTCACATAACCTCCTCCAAGTCACCCGTGGACGACCAAGTCACCGCTTCCCTTTCGGGTTCCACTCGAGCAATGGCTTGTCTAGTGATGTCACTTGATGGTTTCCTCAGAGTATGGCCAATCCATCTCCATTTCTTCCTGCCTATTTGTTTCACAATCGGTTCCTGCTGTGTTGGTTCGCTCATTGCTAGAGATCTCTGTTGCTGATCTTCTTTGGCCATCTGATCTTGAGTATTGAGCGAAGACAACTGTTAATGAAGGTCTGTAGTTTGTTTGAGATGCTCTTTATGACGCGCCAAGTCTCTGATCCGTATAGTAGCACTGACTTCACAATGGAGTTGAAAATCCGGATCTTATTTTTGATGCTGAGTGCTATTGACCTCCACATAGACTTGAGAGTAGTGAAAGCTTGTCTTGCTTTTCCAATCCTTGTTTTGATATCCTCATCAGTTCTGCCAGTATTGCTAAAGAGTCCCAAACAAGGAAGAAACAACTATCCACTACTGCATGGTTTGGTGCGTCATTGGATCAACGACAGAATACTTGCCAAACACATTTCACGCGATCCGGAGTTCGATCCCCGACCGATACACTCATCAACCTTGTTTAGAGGATACTGTGAGGCTGGCAACCCCACTCCATAACAGAAAATAACACCATTGCTATTGAAACCTCACAACTTAAAGCTTCAAGCCGCGTGTTCCACACTCGGAACGTAAAGGAGTAAAATAATAATAATAAAGGTCAAACACAATACAAACCGCCGGTTTGCAAAACCTCATGAAAGAATAAAAAAGAACACTAATGACCTGAAATAAAACAAAAACTACTTGTCTTCCTACGTGCTGCGTAAGAAAACTTCATTTTTGTACTCATATATTATAAGAAAACTCCATCAATCACATGACAGCCAGTCCTCTTCTGTTAGCCATCCTATCTTCGTTTTTATTAACATTATTTACAACAACAAAAAATATAAACAAACAAATGAGACATGTAAAATAAACAAAGAGTAGACTGTTGAACTGAAAGATTCTTTTTTATTTATCCCAATGTGACTAGACAGAAATATGGATGGGAAAAAAGCACCCACCCAGTTGACTAACTTTTTTCAGGCCTAGTTACCCACAAAATCTACTAAGTCTGTGTTAGACTAACTAGTCGAGATTACAGTCATGTCGTCCACTTCCTCCTCCCTCCCCCTCCTATTACTTCCAGTTTAATTAGTATTCATAAAAAAAATTTGCATTTCTTCGTACTGTATCCAGGGGGAATTTAATTAAAGAAAGGGTACTGTTATGGGAAAATTGACAGTTACACTATGACAGGTAATGAACAGTCGTCAACATACAAATAAAACAGGTAAGGAGATGAAAAAAAATGGTGAAACGAAAGAAAATCATCTTTTTTCACGATTGATTACAGAACCATTGAATACCACCATGGAGTACTGGAGGGCTGTTTTGTCCCTGCTTGAGATTCCTCAGCAATACGCACCCATGACCAACCCGACGAGGGATCAAACTCACTGGAATTTGTCCCAGTGGCTGAACAGTAACTTGGTCGGCTTGTTAGCTGAATATCCTGGATTCGATCCCTCAGTGAAGAGTCCCAAACAGGGACGAAACAAATGTCCAGTACTCCCTACTGGTTTTCAGTGGTTCTCTAACTGACACAATCTAGAAATCAATCACAGTCTCTCTAAATACATTACCTTTTGCATATTTCTATCTGAAACTCCAGGTTTTAACTGTAGAGTAGCCTGTGATACATTTGCATCAGCACAAGACATTTTATTCTGATACACTAAACGATTAGATAATGCTAGAATGCTTGAATTCATGCGATATTGAATTGTCAGCTCAATAATATACTCTTTATTTGACAATTCGTCTGACGGATTGCTGGCCACTGACTGTCCATAATCGTGTTCAATATGATGATGATTATGATTTAATAGTAGTGAGAAAAGACTTTGATTTAAACCGCCTTGCCTAAAAAAGAATAATGAATTATGAAAAAATGAATTAAAATTTGATAAAGAGTAAGAAAACAGTGGCACAGATTTAAACGAGTAGAAAGGAGTTTTACTGTTTATATGAACTGCTTTTTAAAAAACAACAAGCTTAATAAACTGTGAACATTTTGATTGGACACTAGTAGCTAGTGTGATGTGTCTAGTCCTTTCTTTGGTGCAGACTGAATTCTATCAGTCAGCTTTGTAATGTGGCCACCATTCTAGGTAGCTCGCCATCACGGTGCACATTGATTTGATGATATTAGATGGTTGGAGGCAATCGGCCACAGGAAGCCTTGGACCTAGGTTTCGTGCTAGTTGGCACTCATCAGCAAGGTGTATCTGCGAGCCCGAATAGCTCAGTGGTAACGTCTCTGACTGCAGCACTGGGTGACACGGGTTCAAATCTCAGAAAAGATATGAGTTCCTTCAAAGTTGCAGATACGCCTTACTGATGAGTGCCAACTGGCACGAAACCTAGGTCAGTCTGGGCTTCCTGCCGATTGCCTCCAACTATCTAATACCATCAAACTGTGAACAGCCTACAACTTTATCCCTAATAGAACCAAGATATATTCTCAGTATAAAGATTAAGAAAAATTCCAACTCACATTTCACTGGAAATAAAAGTAAGCGGGTGAAAACAGAATAAGTGTGAGATGACAACACTTTTTGAGCATCCTTACACAATTAGGTAACAATTACCAAATAAAAAGGACATGACAATGCCTTGACATATATGAGACAGTAGAAGGACAAACTATTAATCAATCTTTACGACAGATAAAGTTGTTCAGAGTGGTCAAAAGCTGAATTCAATATAACTGGGATTAGACTAAAGTGCTTCCACTACCTGTGATAGCACTTTGTTGAAATGAAGTTCCATAACTTTGACAGATAGTCACTGATGTTTGCTCTAGGGAGTGTTGATCAGTTCACTTATTTGGGAAGTTACATCAGCCAACGCCAGCGGGTTGGTCGCTGACGAAATCTCAGCAGGGATACAGAAGCCTCGTTTCACATATGCCAGTTTACACTGTCTATGGCTTATTAGACGTGATATCCGATTATCGGTCGAAGGTCATGTGTACTGCTTAGAAGTTCGCTGTGTCCTCATTTATGGCTGTGAGACCTGGCCTTTGAGAGTGGAAGACATGAAAAGATTAGTTGTTTTTGATCATAGGTGCCTGCGTTCTATCTCCCGTGTGAAGTGGTATAATAGGGTGAGCAATATTGGGGTTAGGAGTCGAGTGCTAGATAAAGAGGGGGAAATCAACAGACGAGGCTGTGAAGTAACATCGATTGAGATGGTTAGGACATGTGTTACGCATTCCTAGCCATCGCTTTCCTCGACAACCAGGTGTAGACTTCCTGGTTGGGGTCCTCGGGACGGTAAACACCAATGGCTAAAGACAATTGGTGATACGTCTCAAAATCGTTCTCAATGACAGCGCAGATGCATCCACTCCTTGTGACTTATAATTTCCAATTAAACTATATTGTTCTTTGATATTACTATCCTTTGTGCCTTATATCTCTGTTTACTGTCTTTGTTTTGCGTTTCTGTCAAATTTCTTCTCTGGCTTTGTGTGCGAGTGAAGTGTGGCGAATTGAACTGCTGCACATCGGTGCAAAGTTCTATGTTGAAACCAGTCAGTCAGCTCTAGGGAAAAAGACTATTATTATGGAAATAGATTATTTTTGCTACAGGTTTGATCACGAGCTGACTTCAGTTACAGAACCATTGGAAGATCAGGGAGTACTGGACAGCTGTTTCGTCCTGGTTTGGGGCTCTTCATAAGTGCGAAACCATCGGCGTTCGAACCTAGGATCTCCCAGTTACAAGACGAGCTCGTAAGCGATTAGGTCACTGGGACTCGAATCAATGGTCTGTGAATTCCAATTTCTACCAATTCGCAATATATAGTGCAAATGCCGTTGGGTGCATAGTGCTGAAAAGTAGCAAACTACTACGAAATAGCAATCCAGTACTCCTTGGTCTTCTGAGACTTCTCTAACTGATTTTAGGTCGTCATCAAAGCCTGTAACCAATCAAATCTCTGCAAACAAACATTTGATGATTACTCTTGACTTGGCTGTATGACGTAACATAACTAAATACCTACGTCTCATATTCTAATAACAAGAGTTAACGACTAAACTTCTGTTTGGCAGAAAGAAGGGAATAATCTAGAACTCCCGAAAAAATACAAGTTACTCATAGCTATGAAATCAGACTGTTACGCGTAGTACGATCAAGTGGAATAGAATCTAAGCCACACTTAATGCTAGGCATTCAAATGAGAAAATCACGTAGAAAAGAAGAATGTTCATATGGTTTTCCTAGCTGCTAGCCATTTCCTCAAATACAAACTCAGCCACTGACAAATACAGTACGCCAGAACCCATTATATTACTACGAAGATGCAAAAGAAGGAAACGAAGGTTAAGACTTTAAAGGAAAGTGGTGAGAAAGAAATCAGAACTGGGACACCACTAGATAATCAATGTTCTCATTCGATGAAATCAGGTTAAGTGTAAAAACAGAACTGAACGAACCACAGCATCAGGTAACCAGCGATAGTAATATATAGAAGACGCAAAACGACAAATATTGTTTAACATTTGAGATTTTATTCACAATACCGTCATAATAATTCATACATGTATCCAGATAAACTAACTGCTCAATTATTTATGCAATAGTTCCCATCACCGGGTGATTTGAAATACAGTTAAGATCATGCCAACCTCAGTTATCATTATGTCTTCATATTCATTTACTCTACAATTCACGCACTCTTACATTTCTCTATATTAGATATTATGAGCTAAACAGTTCGATATTAGACCACCTGGTCCAAACTGGCCACAAAGCCAGCCAGCGATGAAGAATCCTTCTCTATCATCTACCGGGTACCAAATAAATTGCCAAAAACAACATCCAAACCGCATACTCCAAACAGCAGAGGCTATCGCGATTCGCGTGAAACAACCAGTGCTTTGTGTGCAAGTCCAGCTAGCCACTACTACTGCCCTGGCCGGCCTTCAGTGGAGACTATAAATTCATGAATTCTGTATTATTACCTTTCCTAATTTTTTCTGATATTCATGTGTATTGTTATGTTGATGCTATTGAACTGTAATCCACTGATATTATTATTGATTCGATGTTATTTAAACAACATAATGTTGTTAATAACAATAATTCATTCACTATTATGGATAGATATATAACTGTAGAACCTGATGATGAAGGCGTTATCGAAAAGAGTATTCTTTGTTCAGTGTCTGAAGAAAAACTAAGCCTCTAAGCTGAGGGTGTTGGCATCGGTGATGCAGAGGTAGAATGCTCGCCAACAATGCTTCACGTGATCCGGGGTTCGATCCCCGGCCAACGCACTCCTCAACCTCGCTGATTAGTCGGTAGTAAATAAAGTAAAGAGGGGAAGTTGGACATGAGGCTAGCAATCACAATCCATAAAAAATGAAACCACTGCTACGGGAACTTCATAGCTGAAGTTTGAAGCTTTATGTTCCACTAGGAATGCAAAAGAATATAAACAAGTCGAGGGATACTTTCCTAATCTCTGTTAACTTGCAGTATACTGGGACTTCTTCATATAACTATAAGACTACTAATGAGTTTTGAAAAAAAGCAAAGCGTAATTCTCCAAAATAACCATAGTTCGCTAAATAATACCATCCCAAGGTAACTATATCTACAAAATGACAGTAAACAGGCTAAAATCCAAACACATTAGCTTCTAAAATTAACAAGGAAACGAAAAAACAAAATAAATAAATCTAATTATGATTATTTAGCACTCATCAATATTTCGTATTACTTTACACTAATTCGTAAAATAGGAAAGAAAAGCTCCATGTTTGTTCAGAAAGGGAGAAACAAAATCGTAACTACATAAACTATCAGCTACTAATAGTTTTAACAAAACAAACTAAATCCTCTCTCACAACTACAATAACCACATACACACATAAAAGCAACAATAAACAGTGTTTAAAAAGACTGATAATTTACTTGGCCTTTTGACTTCGAACCAAAGGAGGCAGCTGATACGGATCACCGACAAGTACGAATCGACAACACTTTACACTATCATCAGATCGTTGCTCATTATTCAGACACAATAATGGTCCTAAACTGGTAGGACACATCAACTGACTAGCTTCATCAATTAAAACAACGTCAAATTTTTCATGTATCAGTGCTGCATGTTTTGAATCATTCCCACCACTTGCAGACAACGCCGTACATCCAACAACAACCTATTTAGAGAAGGGAAAAACAGGTTACAAGGATAAGAATAGAACTTGTGCACTGTGGTAGAGTATAATTCCATTATGGGTAAAATTTATTTTGATAAAGTCTCACAGTGTTATACAGTAATATGGCCTTAGAAGCAGTTAAAAAAGAACTAACTGCAGATCCTGAACTTACTCATAGAACGAAGCTGCCTATTAAGGAAATTATTTTAGGAATTCATATCTACTATCTTTAAATTCCAAGGCAAAATATATAGACAAACAGAAGGTATGGCAATGGGACGGATAACCAATATCCCCTATCGTAGCAGACATATCTATGGACAGCTGGGAAAATATTGCTCTTAGTGCATTTAATCATACTCCAAAAATATGGTGGAGATATGTGGATGACACTTTCACAGTGTTAGAAACAGAACATATCTCTAGCTTCTTGACACATATAAACTCACCAGTAGAGGGAATAAAATTCACATTTGAATCGGAAAATGAACAAGGAGAATTAGCTATGTTAGATTGTAAAATAAAACGAATAGAAGAAGGTAAACTGCACACTAGCGTTTATAAAAAACCAACGTATTCTAATAGATATTTAGACTTCTTCAATTCATCCCATCCGTTAACTGTTAAGGTAGGATTAGTTAAGTGTCTAACAAACCGAGCGATAGCACTAAGTATTACATCAAAAATCCTAAATGATGAAATAAAACAGATAGAAGAGGCGTTGGTGTTAAATAACTAACTATCCTATAAAATTCATTAGGAAGATCAGAAAAGGTCAAAAGCAAAATAAAAATAATTGTGAAACTAGTAATGATAACATAAATAAGAGAGAATATAAGGCATCTACTGTTATACCATATAAGGAGGAGACATCTGAGACCCTACGTAGGATTCTTAATAAAGCAGGAATTAGGTTGTTAGCATTAAAATCTACAAACTCACTCAGAGACAAGCCCCGTAGGTTAAAGAACCCTGTAGGTTGACCCAATTAGACAAATTAATATAATTTACAAAATACCCTGCAATGACTGTGAAGTCAATTACATAGGTCAAACTAGTAGGTCGGGAGTAGTCAGATTATCAGAACATAAGAATTTAGCTAAGATAAGAATGGTTGGAAAATAGGTAAACTGCAACAACACTGAATACATAGTCTATTGCCAGTCTACAGGCAGACTGGCAAGGGTGGTGAACCACAATTCTATTAAGGAGTGTGCAGTTGGTTCAACTTAAATGTAGACGATTAGCCTAATGAGATCACAAGTTGTGATAAAACTACTTACAAAGAGGACTAAATTTGCGGTAAACTTGATGTTTCTCAGTCCTTTATAATATTGAAAGGTGTGAAAGTACAGAGATTACTATGCTTCAAATACGTGACTAGGAATGGACATTTTCAACGGAACACGGGTACACATAAAAAGTTGTAATTAGTCCCTCATTCCTTTTGTAGTTATTTTCTGATTATGTAATAATTTAATCGCATTCAGTTTTTTTTCAATTCGCATATTGATTTTGGATCTTGTAAATTCTGACTCATTGACATGTTATGTAATCTCTCACATATTTCACAGTTACTGTCAAATATGTATTTCGCATACAGTAAACTATTGACTTTTCTGACAATCTACAATGAAACACTACTAAAAGCCAATGGAATTCTGCCAAGAGATGAAAGCTATTCACACCTAGGATGAATAAGTCATCTTAACGACCGAAAGTGGTGGGGGATAAAAAAAAGAGTAGGAGAAATAAAAAAGACATTAGCATTTGTCGACAGCCATCAACTATTGAGGTTTGTTTGTTTGACCAGTGGAAATAGAAGATATAGAAAGACTTCAGGTTTTTGATTATAGGTGCTATCGTTGAATTGCTCATGTTATGCACAACAGTAAGGTAACTAATAATGAGGTTAGATGTAGAGCCTTAAACGAGAAAGAAAAGTCTACTGTGATAAGGTAGTAAATCCACATTACTCACTCGACATGTCAGCGGCATGTACTACACACACCGAACTACCAACCTACCCAAACAGCAACATAAACTGAAGTAAAATTAGATTGGAACACAGTCAAAGAAAGTTGGCACATCAACCCATAAAGTTATTTCTGTTCTGGTTAGATTTCACAGTATTCTATAAATTATTTTTTAGTAACTCTTAATGTTGAAAATTATTGAAAACGAGACAGACGTATTCATGCATTTCTTTTCATTCTCCTGATTCTGAAAGCCATTCATCTTTATTTGTTTCTTGTTTTAATCAAGCCCATTTTTGTATTTTGAAGTTAAATCTCGGCTTTTTTTACTTTGTCACTTCCCTTAGATTATAGTGATAATAATATTAAAGCTTAATTCAAGATAGTGTGTAAACACATAGTACTGCAAATTTCAGCTTTCTAAAATACTTCATCTTCATACAGGATTTCCATGTTAAGTAATAATCTGAAGTATGTCATGTGACATGATGTTGTTGCATATGAAGAAAGAACCGATTCGGTACATTTTTTCCTTATTCCCTTCAAGAATTTGGTTTAAAACTAAATAAGTATATGCATGAGTTCATGTAGTGATCATTTGATATAATTGCACAATTAAAACAATAAGAAATGCTGTAGAGTTTATGCATTTTGGTGGGGATGGAAACTCTGGTACCCCAATGATTTCAGCAGGTCACCGTTTAGCCAACTATCCCTTTCACCTAACCAAATCATATTTCAGCAATCATTTGTCATCGGGAAAGGAAGTGGTTTGTCATGTCTAGCAAATGTCTAAGCAGTCTTAGTCAGTGAAAACTCATTATTTCATCGAGTGATTTGTCATGTTTAGTTAACACTGTCTATTCTCAGTATAACGTATAATGTATTTTCAATACACGTGAATTATATAAGGCTACAATCTGTGATCGGGAACCAATGGCCCCCTCATATAATCACCAAACGCATTTCCAACAGCTAACATCGATGGCTCCATGCTGCAGATCAGACTGCTGGTCAGAAAGAATTAGAAACATGGAATTCTTGCAACAAACTAACCAAGAACCTATTGCCCAACAAAAATGCAGAAGGATATGGAGACGGATCGGACATACGCTGAGGAGACAACTGAGTGACATCACTCTCTCTAGGCAGGTCTTCGAGTTCAATCCACAAGGGAAACAACAAGTTGGGCATGAGTCCAAGGGTGAAATAGAGGAAATCGTGTGAGGAGATGACAGCCTATGAGAAATTGTAAAGCCAGCTATAGAAGACAAAGGAGAAAATAGTCAAATGGGGATGTGCTCTTGAAGTCTTATGTCTCACTCGGAACCCAAAGGAATAATATATAATAATAAAATAATCATCTATTTTCAGTGACCATAAAGCGGGACAGAGAGAATTGTTGCCCAGCACACATGTTATCTCACAGATGACCTGACTACTGCCTCTAGCCACAAAAACAATAAAAGTTGGCAAAGGCAAAGCCAATTTTCGTAACCATGTTGATAGCAAATTTTGCAGTATTATGGCGTGTGCTACTGACAAGATTTTTCAGTAGTATATAATAAAGAGACATTCATCGCCACAAAAACGTCAAATTGAAAAGAGAGACAGACTTGACGTAAAAGGCAGCAATGAACCGCTGTTATAGCAAAATATGCCAGACATGAGAACAAGAAGACAAAGAAACACAAAATACGAAGGGCAGAAGTAGCACAACACAGAAGATCTGTGTGCAAATGACGGTTTTCATATCAGGTGTACATAATTTCCCCATATAGTAGAGATATCAAATTCTAAATAAACATTCCATTACCAAGTCTGTTGTATTCTACCGTTACAGTATGACAGTGGATATACTACCAAACAGAGTAGAACAATATGTACAATATGTACGACAACGGCACATGTCAAGTGATCTACAACGGAAAACTCAGCGAAGCGTTTGGAGTAAACACAGGAGTCAGACAAGGGTGCTTATTATCACCAATGATATTCCTAATTGTGGTGGACTGGATTATGCGTCAGACAGTGGGAAACGAGAAGACAGGGATATCCTGGACCGACGTGAAGAACCTAGAAGACCTGGATTTCGCGCGTGGATGATTTATGTTTGATGCCACACAAAAATCGAAGACTTACAAACGAAAACCGACAAACTGGTCGAAGAAGCAGCCAGAGAAGACAGGACTCCAGGTGAACGTAGACAAGACGGAGGTTATGAAAATAACCAACCAACAACAACAACAGCAGCAGCAACATTCAGCGCAAATCACCATCAACGGGAGGGATTTGAAACAGGTTACTTCATTCACTTATCTAGGGAGCATTGTCTGAATTACAGGAGGAACGGACGAGGATGTCAAATCGAGAATCGGGAAGGCGAGAAACACATTCATCAACCTGAAACCAATCTGGAAATCTTCGTCACTCAGCCTGCATCAACAACAAAATTCGGATTTTCAATACAAACCTCAAGTCAGTTCTTCATTACGGATCAGAAACTTGGCGGGTCACAAGGAATATTTCCAACAGGTTTCAGACCTTTATCAACAACTGTCCTCACTCTATACTGAAGATCAGATGGCCGGAAAGAATCACAAACAAGAATCTATGGAAACAAACAAAACAAGAACAAAACAGTCGCCCAACAAATATGCAGGAGAATGTGGAGATGGATTGGACACTCGCTGAGGAGGCCGTTGGGTGACATCGCGCGTCAGGCCAACGCTCGAGTGGAACCCGAAAGGGGAGTGGCGAGTGGGACGTCCAAGGGTGACATGGAGGAGATCGTGTGAAGAGGAGTTGAAACAGCATGGACTAACATGAATGCAAGTGAAAAGTACAGCAGAAGACAGCAGCAAGTGGAGGCGTGCAGTTGAAGCCCTATGTTCTACTAGGAACCCAAGGGAATAATAATAAAATGATAATAGTGAGTTGGGCAGAAAAAAATGGAAACATCTGATGGTTATTGAAATGGAGTTGTGCAAAAATTCAAACAATGTCTGATACTTTTAATGTACAGAAATAATAAAGCAAGCGATTAAAAATAATGTCCAAAAAATAATCGTTCAGCTCATTTCTATTATATAATTATTATTCCCTTGTGTTCCCAGAGGAACAAAAAGCTTCAGCAGCACATCTCCATTTCACCCTGCTCCCTACAGTCCCCTTCAACTGACCCGACGATCTCCTCCACGTACCCTCGGATCCACACCAACTTGTCGTTTCCCATTCGGGTTCCAATCAAGGCACTGCCTGGCTCACGATGTCATAGAGCGGTATCCTCAGCGTACGTCCGGTTCATCTCCACTTTCTTCGGCGTCTTTACTGAGCTACAGTTTTTTTTTCATAGGTTCATTCCCAGAGTTTCTTGTGGCTAATTCTTTCTGACTACCCGGTCTTCAGTATGGACCCAGCAGCTAGGGGGGCAGCTGTTAATAAAAAACAATCTGCATTAAAACGGATATTAATGCATTCAATAAAGTCTACAAAAATTATCTTCACAATGGACACTAATTCCGTGTACATTTTAAAAAGACACAAATTAATCCCAATATTCGACTGACTGCTTGTTTTTCTGCTAAATTTTTAAATGTGAAGTTAATAGTTCCCCCTCCCCTCTGTTTTCTCTGTGATTTAACTAAAGCGAAAAACTATAAACTTGCACCAATTGAGAGAAAAATATGTTGTATGTAATGCTGCTAATCTTATAAGCGTAGTGTGTGTGTACTGATTAAAAACCAAGTTAGAAATTACATGAAACTTTCCATATGCTGTAAACACAATGTCAGGGGGCTTAGTTAACAAACAACCAACACGTGTGTGTGTTTAACATGTTAGGTGCTTTTATACAAGAAAACATGCTTTACATAACAATTGCCAGCTTCTAATATTTACTATGCATAAACTTCTAGCATGTCTTTCTACATAAATTTATTTGATATAACAAGCAAAATAAAGAACAAAAAAATTTGTTTGTAAGGATTTGATATTGGTTGGAGAAGTACTGGGAACCAGCAGGAACTACTGGACAGCTGTTTCGTCCTAGTTGGAGGCTCACCGGCAGTACGCGCCTACCAAGAAAGTACATTGCACTAATCAAAGCACTCTACTCAAACTCACGTAGCCGTGTAAGGGCTTATGGGGAATTGTCATCTGAATTGATAACAACCAGTGGTGTCCGTCAGAGATGTCCACTTTCCCCTTTTCTGTTTAACTTCATCATAGATATGCTAATGGAAGTATCCTTAACTGAACTCAACGACTTAGGAATCAACTTGTAACCAGGGAGTAATCTTATGGACTTAGAATATGCAGACGATACAGTCCTGTTAGGGGAGGATGCTGACAAAATCCAGCAGAGTCTTCTGAACACCTTGAGCAGCAATCTTCGTATGTTTGGCATGCGATTCGCCCCTGTGAAATGTAAGATGCTGCTACAGGACTGGACTACGTCAACTCCTAGCTTAGAGATAGGGAGTGAAGTGACAGAACATGTTGACCACTTCACCTATTTGGGAAGCTGTATCAGCCCCAACGGACTGACTAGCGACGAAATCTCAGCACGGATCCAGAAAGCTCGAGCTGCTTTCGCTAACTTACACCATCACTGGCGTAGGCGTGACATCCAGCTATCAACCAAGGGACGTGTGTACTGCTCAGCATCAATCCATGAAATCCCTGACAGTTAAAATCAGTGGGGTAGGGAGATGCAGACTTCCGAGTTGGGGCCCACTCTCGGGACTCTAAGAATCAATCAATGGCTGGAGACAATAGGTGACATGGCTCAAAATCGTTGTCAATGGCTTACGCAGATGTATTCAGTCTCTGTAATTTTTCATATTCCTTTCTACCATTACTCATTCTGTTTCACTCTTATACCCGTCAAAACTCTATTGATTCTCTTCATTCATCTTCTTGTCTACCTTTGTGTGCTATTTGGAACGTGGCTACTCGAACTGCTGCACTTCGGTGCCAAGTTCTATGTTGAATCCAGACAGACAGAGACAGACGCGCCTACCCGATTCAATGAACAAATGAATCGGGCCCCAGTGACTGAATGGTCTGCGAGCTTACCTTGTAACCGGAAGATTCTGGATTCGAACCCTGGCGGTGGGTGCGTACTGTGGATGAGTCCCAAACTAGGAGGAAACAGCTTTCCAGTGTACTCCTTGCTTGTTCTCAATGGTTCTCTAAACGATATCAATCCGTGATAAAACTTGAAAAAAAGGCAGAAAATTGAATAAACAACAGCAACAATAACAACAACAAACTTACAGCATCTTTCATAAGACTATGTAAATAATCAGTCGCGTCAATCCGTGATTTTTCATTTGACTTCAAAAACGTGTTCAGTTTGGATTCAAGTGAATACTTTAACAAATTGGTGTGTATTCGATTTATCTGACCCAATCTTAAAATACGACTTTCACCAGTCTAAAATGATGGAATAAAACAGAAACCAAACATGCCAGGCAGAAGATACAACATGTATTTGATAATGCATATGAAGGATGGAAATAAATCATGCCAACTATTCAACGATTACACTGCCTACAGTTCAAAGACCAGTAGTTATAAAAATAAACATTAAATGGAGGGGAAATCTAGGCTGAAAATGAATTCGAAAAGGAAACTATACAGATTAGTATGGCTTACGATTCTTCCCCGTGAAGGCCAAGTTAAACTTTAAGCACCACTAACTACTGATCAGTGAATGACCTTGAATGGCCCAATGAGTTCTATCCACGTGAGTTGAAGGTTCTATTCCGCTTGATTCGAGTCAAATGTCAGGGAAGGTAAGCTGATGATTCTAATATTTCGTAGGAACATTTTTTCCCAGGTCCCACTTGTCCTTAAACCAGATTTTGTATATTTGTAGTTACTGAGTTTCAAAACAGCCTGTGATAGGTGTAGCTACTGAAACAGAGAAAGATATAACGCCATGGAAAATGGAGAGGATTACTTCCTTATTAGGAGGAGGTGTCATCGTACACGTGGATGAGTGGAAAGGTTATAACCACGGGTAATCCCTTGGACATATTCACGACAGAGTGAACCATTCTAATGAATTTGTCGATCCCGTTACAGGGACATACATCAGTTCTGTAGAAGGCTTTTGAAGATGGTTAAAAACAGGTTAAGGGTCATAAATGTATCTCAAAAGTATGTTATTTATAGTCATTTAGATGATAATATATGTATAGAATTTGGTGTAACCTTCTAACTGATATCCCTATGCTCAACTGGGAGATGTTTTTACCACATGTCAGAGAAAGATATCCTATGAAACATTTTTATGCAGCTTTTGTAACGACAGATTACAAAGGCCAGTCAACAGATCGTTTATTGAGGAAATCAAGAGGTATTTATAGATTTTTATGTACATTATTGCCAGCGAAGAAGCAACGTCTTCTGATTGGTTGTTATCTTGCTGAAGGTTATTCTGTACTGCTTGTGACCGTTTCTCAGAAAGTTAAGCCAAATATGTGCGAATCGTATTTGCACACGTTACGTCTGTTATGATTGGTTGGTGAGTTGATTAAAGTTACGCTTTGTTATTGTTTTTCTCATGACCCCGATTCGGAACGTAACAATGACGTAAATTGCTGTCTACAATTTTGGCTTGTTCGCAGCCAGCTCTCACCACACTTTTATGCATTTTTACCGAATTATACATTTGCCATAACGACAAATGGTGATTGGTTCGTTGAAAGTCATTCGCTGATTGGTAGTTAGTGGTGTTTAAAGTTAAACTTTGCTCCGTGAATGAGGAATCCCTAGTACATGCAAGCCATAAGCTTGCGTTGATTACTTCCCTGTCCTGTATACATACTGCCCGTCACTACTACCAACTGAACGGTTTAGTGGAGGTTTTGGATTGGTGTTGCTGCAGCATTGGCTTTGCTGCTTGACTGATGCCGAGAAGACGACTTAACTTGACTATTTTAGAGGAAAGTAAAAGTCGTAACAAGGTTTCCGTAGATGAACCTGCGGAAGAATCCTTACAAGCCAGATCGTTCCATGACAGACTGTAAGAATTAGAATAAATGTTATGTGTATGTGTGTAAATTTATTAAGAGGTAAAATCGATATCTGGCGTAATTATAAAAAGAAACACAAGTTCACTAGAAACAACAGACACTTACTTGACACAATCTTAAAAGAAGATTATCTACAGCAGAATGAGTATGCGCTGCGACAAGGATTCTTTTCTTCAGTAGAATAAGAACACGCAATAAAGCGACTAAAGTTTCAGTCTTTCCTTAAAAAGAAAATGAAAAAAAAACAAGGAATAATCCTTATTTTATTATATTTGGATAGAGTTATTAGAAGACGGAGATTATCTGAAAAATAATGTGATGTATGTGATGCATATTTGAGCAATACAACATTTCAAACAATCTGATCCCTCACATGAACATTAAAGGTCAATTAAACTACACAAAGTGACAAAAAGGATTTAAGAATAATAGGAATAATTAACACTACGTTTGGTTATATAATCAGATAAGGATTACCAAGGTACACATAGGGGAAGGGGTTTAAGTTTACGAAATAGCTATCGCCTCTGCATATTTCAACAAGCGCCCTTTGACCATTTCGAAAGATAACCTTAAAAGCTCTTTTGAAATCAGTCTTGTGCTTCATATCGATTAGATGTTTAGCTATAGATAAAGTTGGTAGTCTGCCCCCTGCGTATATAGATTTTCCAAAGCGCAATTACTCCTCGCTATATAAGTATGGGCGTCCACACAAAACCACACACACATGTTAATTGGTGTAGGATGTCACATAATCACCTCTATGCTTTTCAGGTTTGTAGTGGAGAATATTTTTGACTTTTTCGATAATCACAAGTCTCTGTCTGAAAACTTTACTATTTATTTCCTTATTGTATATTAATTTGATGAAGACATGTTTGGGCCAAGTTAAACTTTAAGCACCACTGACAACTAATGGAGTGCGACCGCACCAATAACCTTGAGACGCTCACTGAGCGAGTTAGTGGAACCTGGCAAATAATGTTGTCATCATCAATGAAATATGCTCATCGAAGTGTTATGCTTTTAAATAGGATATCTGGCAGGTATCAGCTGAGGTTTGGGAAAGATTACGTTACGGTTAACCTAACAAAGGCGACATTAGGATTGGTTCGAGTTAGATTACAGTTAGTTTAGAAATATTTTCACGTTAGCGTTAGGTTTATGAAAGACTGGGGTTATTGTTAGGGTTAGAAGACCTAAATAATTGCGTGCATATAATGTGGTTAAATTACTCTGCTGATACAAGAATAGAACTTGGCACTGTGGTAGAGTATAATTCCATTGTCGGTAACATTTATTTTGATAAAGTCTCACAGTTTTATACAGTAATATTTACTGATGAAGTTTCGAGCACAATCTATTGCTGACAAAATATTACTGTATAGCACTATGGGACCTTATCAAAATGAATTCTACCCACAATGAAATTATACTCTGTTGATACTCAAACCTAGAACTGAGAGCAATTTTTATCACATGTGAGAGGAAGGTATCCTCTGTAACACTTTTCAACAGTTTTATGCATTTCTTTCATGAATACATGTATTCCATACACAAAAATGCCTCCTTCACGTGATTGGTGGGTTCTAGGTCACTCAATGATTGGTTGTTAGTGGTGCTCAAAGTTTAACTTTAACCATCTTTGTTATCGGGGGAACAGGTAATATGAAAAACGTAGAATATCCACGAATTGTCCTAATAGGCTAAAATTCTTTTCAGGAAACAGTTTCAGAAGATATAGTATAGCCTTCTCAATGTATAACAACAGTTATGAACTAAAACAAAATAAGCCGTCCGATTCTTTTCCTCATGAAATACTTTACATTTACCACGGGTCAGATTAAATTGCTTTCCAAAATAACCAAATAAAGATAATAGCAGAAACGAACCTTTTAACATAATCATTTGAGAGACAGTCAACATAATACTGTACTGCGAGAGGTAGTGATAGCATCCAAAAATCGATTAATACTTAATGCTGAACCATGAAATCACCCTACACAATTAATTACTACAAAAACAGAAACACTGAGTACTACAGGAACGCGATAACCGTTGATCAAGCGAAGCATGTCTTGCTCCTAAAGTTAATTCACATACACTTTTGGCCTGACACCTTATAGATAATATCATATGCATATTTTCTTGACTTTATATATATATATATATATCAGATGGCAGAGAGAAAGTAGAATAAGTAGGTCAACTTAAGAGGTAAAATAATGATTGAAAATGTACTTCTCAATATCATCACAAAGATCTCTAACGAAAAAATTTACTCAACAAATGGAAATCAACTAGTGTAGCGTAGGGCATAGAAATATTATAAATTAGTGGAAATATTGACCTTAAGTGATCTGGACCTCATAAATCAAACATATATGAAGTATTTTGATGCAGTTGCGTTCTCTGAGCTAGCTGGATGGTTTATTTGCGAAGCTTTCATTGCCCTACTGGGCAACATCTTCAGAGCATACTTCATACCATTCAGCTCAGAGAACGCAACTACATTAAAATCATCCACCTGAGCTACAAATCTTCTGCATCATATATATGAAGTACCATAACACACTACACTCACGCTGTTTGGCAGAAAAGGATCAATCTTGCGTTCTACGTGGCATAGACAAAGCTGCCTACTATCACCAGTAATATTCCCAATTTTAGTGGACTGAATTGAGCGGCACAGCATGCGTGGGCAGCAAAAAGATAGGAATAAGTTGCACCGATAAGAAGAATCTAGAAAATCTGAACTTAGCGGAAGATTTATGTCGAATGTCATTTGCACTCCATGATCTACAGGCGGCAAGCAACAGGTTCGCAGAAGAAGCGGCAAAGACAGGACTTCAGGTGAAGGCGGAGGTGACGAAGATAACCAACCGACAACAACAACAACAACAAACAGCACCAATCACTATCAACGGGATAAATTTGAAAGAGATCACTCCTTTCACTTAATCTAGGCAACATCATTTCAACTATAGTTAGGGGGACAAATCGGAATGTCAAAGCCAGCCAGAACCTGGAAAGTAAGATACGCCCTCACCACTCTGAAATCAATTTGGGAATCTTCTGCACTCATTTGGCATAAAGAACGAAGCTCAGATTTTTGACAAGAATGTTAAATCAGTGCGTTGGTGGCACAGTGGTTAGGAATCTCACCGACCATGAACGTGGTCCGGGGTTCGATTCCCTGCCAACGCACACCTGATATCTATGGTCGGCCTGCAAAATTTGGGCTACCGATATCCATGCTGAAAATTCCATACTTGTAATGTCAACTAACATTGTACATTGTCGAGAAAGGAGATGGCTAGGCATGCGTAACATATATGAAAACTGGTTGGCTATCTTTGATAACAGGTGTCTATGTTCTATCTCCCAGGTTAAGTGGTATGATAGGGTGAGTAATATTAAGGTCAGACATCGAGTGTAAGCTAGTGAGAGAAAATATATCGACGAGGTTGTGAAGGTAAGTTGACTCAGATGACTGGAACATGTACTACGCATGCCCAACAATCGCCTTCCACGACGATCAATGTTATGTGACATAGGATCGGTCGGTTTTCGACATAGAACTTTACACATATGTGCGGCAGTTCAAGTCGCCACACTCCATGCAGTACACAAAGGAAGAGAAGAAAGTAGGAAAAATGCATATTAGAGACAGTAAACAGAGGTGTGAGACAAAGGAATAGTAATAACGAAGAACAAAACAGTTGAATTGGAAATTATAAGTCACAAGGAGTGGATGCATCTGCTCCATCATTGAGAACGATTTTGAGCCATGTCACCAATTGTTTCCAACCATTGGTTTTTACCATCCCGAGGGCCCCAACCAGGAAGTCTACATCTTCCTACGTGGCTTAGATTAACTGTTGTGTATTTCATTGATTGGTGCCATGTTTTCGTTTGACCGTCGCTAGCTCTTTTCCAACCTGGCCCTATATCAGCTAACATTGCCCTTCGAGGAAATGTGACATAGTATCAGGTTGGAAAGAACTAATGGTGGTCAAAAGAAACAGCAATATGGAATCAGTCCATACAATGTTTGACAGTTAGTTTGAGCCAGTCGCATAGGGAGGTGTAGGCTTCTCTCGATGGAGTCCTCAGGATTCTAAGAACCAAAATATAGGTTTAGCTCTTCTCCCACGTGTTAGCACCACAAGCAGAAGTAATGCTAGCAAGATGTGCAATTAATTTCAACTTCCTATTAAACATGAATATAAATCACTCTTTCTAACCCTTTAGGAAATTTTTTCCATTAACTTACAAAACAAAAAGGGGAAGTTTAGAATTCAATGAGAAGTAAGTAAGAAGACAAAGGAGAAGGCAAATCATTTGGCTACAGTGTATAATAAACAATTTTGAAAGATTTTACATTTATATAAATAAATCTGAATAAACATTTATTCAAAAAAATAGAGGCTTACCTGATCCTGGATAACCTTTGATTAAGATATAATCGTGTGAAAATAGCGTTTGAAGAATAGCTACACGTTGATTCATATTTAATGGTTTCAAAATTGGACGAACTATAGGTTGGAAGAAAACAAAAAACGAACACAATAAACTGCATAACAAACAAAAAAAGAGATAATTACTTTCTTTCACAACGCGTTTTGATATTGTTTTTGATGTGTTAGGCATCCGACCATCGATGATTAGTTCTCGTAGTGCTTCGCTAAAAAAGAAAAAGAAACAATCCCAGATAGAAACAATAGTAACACATGAATAGGTAATAAAAGTTATATATATATATATATATGCATATCGGAAATAATTATAATCACAGAGAACAGAAATAAGTAGATATCGGCAACCAGAAGACTCCGGATTTACTCAATCAATATTAGATATCGAAAGATTATATTCCGCGAATATTGTCAACAACTTACTGATTGGTTAAAGGTTTGATCACGAGTGGACACAGAGTTAGAGAACTATTGGTAAACCAGGGAGTACTGGACACTTGTTTGGTCCCAATTTGAGACTCTTCAGAAGTAGGTTCCAATCCAGAACCCTCGGGTTACAAGGCGAGCACATACCACATACCACCAAGTCAGGTAAGCGAACAGTTACTCGCCAATAACACTAGCTGGAGATTGCGCCCTACATAAATCACGAATTAGCAGAAAATGGAATTCATGGGCCATTCGATCCGGTAGCAGTGGATGAATATATATGTTAAATCCCTACTATCACTCCATTCAGTGAATCATTATTTATTAATTATTATCATTACTTTATTTCATTCCTTTGCATTCATTGGGGGAACATAGGGTCTCAACCTTGAGCTTCTAAGTCTCACTAGCAGGAGTGTTTACTTTCTACGTGGTGCGGCGTTGCTAACCTCACGTCCGACCTTCCCTCTGTTGGGCTTACTACCGGCAAAGACAGGTTACGGAGTGCTATCTGTTTGACATAGTTAAGGATGTTATCATGTCACATACGTAGTCAGCATCAAACAACGACGATGGGTAATGGCCACTGCTTTAGTGATAGGATGTTCGCCAACCAAATGCATGGTCAGGTTTCGATTCTCTGCCAACGCACACCTAAATCTCCCTTAAACTGCAGCAAACTTACGAAACAGGATGGGTTGGACATGAAGTTATTAGCCTCACCCTGTAAAGAACGACACTGCCAATAGTGAAACAACAAAACTCAAGTCTGAAGCCCTACGCTCCCTTAGAACATCGAAGGAATTATATATATATATATATATATATATATATATATAGAATATCCTGAAAACAAGGACACCACTACATCCACTATGCCCCACTAAAAACAGTGATGGGGAAAATATCCAACTAAGACAGGTGACAATATGGTCAACTGAGCGCGAAGGGAAATAAAATTCAGTGCAGAAGGGAGATCCTGAGCATTCTGAAATTAGTGATCATGCTACAATAACGGAATTTTTCTACAAAAATAAAAGAATGCCAGCTGGTAAACCGTAGAAGCTTCGGAAATGCTGCTGCTGCTGGATTCAACATAGAACTTGGCACCGAAGTGCACCAGTTTGAGTTGCCACGTTCCAAATAGCGCACAAAGGTAGACAAGAAAATCAGTGAAGAGAATCAATAGAGTTTTGAAAAGTATAAGAGTGAAACAGAATGAGTAATGGTAGAAAAGAAAATGAAAGGTTACAGAGACTGAATACATCTGCGTAAGCCATTGACAACGATTTTGAGCCATGTCACCTATTGTCTCCAGCCATTGATTCTTAGAGTCCCGAGGGCCCCAACCTGGAAGTCTGCATCCCCCTCCCCACCTGACTCAGTTTAACTGTCAAGGATTTCATGGATTGATGAGGCCATGTTTTTGTTTGGCCACCACTTACTCCTTTCCAACCTGCACCTATATCAGCTAGTAATGCCTGTCGGGGGAGGCGATGGTTAGGTATGTGCAGCACGTGACCTAGCCATCTCAATCTATGTAACTTTATAGCCTCGTCGATTGACTTTTCCCTCTTTGCCCAACACTCTACGCCTAACGTCAACATTACTTACCTTCGGAAATCCATGACCGTTTTTCATGCTTACAATGAAAAAGCATGGGGAAGAAATTCATTGTGAATAATTGAATTACGCCAACGCATACGACACGATATGTAAGCGGGTAACTGTAGCTAATATAATAATATTTCCATCAATATACACCCTAAGATGAGCTTTTTGTTTAAGAAGCTCTCAGTTTTATGTTAAATATTGACACCAAAACACAACTAGGTTATACATGAATATTTGTAATTAGGACTTCTATTTCGCCTTTATTTCGCCACCAGACAAGTGGAAGTTTGTATGATAGGCAAACTTCAATCAGATATAAGTTGATAACTGATTGATGAGGCTCGTCGGTTTGAGCAGTCAACCTTCAGTCAATGGGTATCCCGAGTTGGAATCTGGTTCCATTGATACCGAGTAACTGAGTTCCTACGAGCTTGACCACGGATTGATATCATTTAGAGAACCATTGAAAACCAGCACTGGAGTACTGGACAGCTGTTTCATCCAACTAGTTTGGGAATCATCGGCAGTACGCACTCACCACCAGGGTTTGGACGCAGAACCTTCCGGTAAAAAGACAAGCTCGTATACCATTCACACACTGGGACCTGATTCAATGGTCATTCCATGAATTCTAACTTCTACCAATTTGTGATATTTAGCTCGACCACCAACCAATGTCATCGGCGGGAAATCCATCCTCACTCCCGACTGGTATCAATCCGTGGTCTAATTCGAAAAACAAACCAAATCCTTACAAATCAACTCTTGAAAATTAATTTGAGGCTCGCTTGTGACTGGTGGCTACAAGACGAATTTGCTTAGAGTTCTAGTGAGAGGTCGTGACCAATGATGTCCACCATGTCGGGAATGATGACTAATGCTCATCGATTACATTGGCTGGTGGTCGAGCTATATATGCCATGAATTGGTGGGAGTTAGAATTCATGGGCCTTTGAGTTAGGTCCCACTGTCTGAATGATCTATGATCTTTGCCTATAACCGGAAGGTCCTGGGTTAAAACCCCTGGTGGGTGGGCACTGATGATGAGTCCCGAATCGGGACGAAACAGCTGTCCGGCACTCTCTGGTTTTCAATGGTTCTCTAACTGATATTAATCCGTGGTCAAACTCGTAAAACATATCTAATCCTTACAAACCAGCTCTTAAAATTCACTGAATTCCAACTAACTATATGGACACAAGAATATCCTACTAATTTTCTGGTTATTTTGCTATGACCAAATGAATCCCAATAAAGTTAGGTTATATCGATTACGATCACTTTAATTTACTGATTTGAATAAAAAGACGAGACAACAAAATGAATTCAGTTCAAATCTAATAAAAAAAAGTTAGTGAAATGTAACGGTAAATGAATACACAACACATACCACAGTTTAGAATTTTGCATTAATCCCACTAAATTCGATAAGTTCAACTGAACTGTTTTCATTGTTATATAACGATCGATACGAAATAATTTAACCCGATCAAGAAATGGTCTATAATCAATCATAACACAAAAAAAAAATTCTGAGGATTTAGGAACTAAAAGAGTGAATGAAGTACATTAGTAGACATAAACTATTATAATATATGTAATAATACAACAACGATGAATAATTGCGTCAAGTACCAGAATGCTCGCCAACTATTTACGTGGTCAGGGATTCGATTCCTGGTCGACGCACTTCTGGACTATAAGACAGTAGCACACAATTTCATTTGACACCAGTGTAGATCATTTGCCTAATGCAAAAACGTGCAACAAGCTATGAATTTACACAGAAAGCAGATTATTATTATCATTGTTTCCTTTAGTTCCTAGAGGAACGTAGAGCACGTTTCCTTTCCGTTCGGTTCTCTGCCAACGCTTTCACCTGGCTCCACGTCTGCCCACACGATTTCGTCTCCTCTTCACGTGACCTCCTCCATGTCATCCTCGCACTGATGACCAACTCGCCACTTCCCATTCGGGTTCCACTCGAGCGATGGCCTGGCGTGTGATGTCACTCACTTGATGGTTTTCTCAGAGCATGGCCAATCCACCTCCATTTCTTCCTGCTCATTTGTTGCACAGTTGACTCCTGGTTGGTTCGCTCCCAGAGATCCCTGTTTCTGATCTTCTCTGGCCATCTGATCTTGAATATGTTAAGCGGAGACAGTTGTTGATGAAAGTCTGTAGTTTGTTCGAAAAGCCATTCGTGATGGGGCGCCAAGTCTCTGACCCATAAAGTAGCACTGACTTGACATTGGAGGTGAAAATCCGAATCTTATTCTTCATGCTGAGTGCTGTTGATCTATCTTCACACAGACTTGAGAGTAAAGAAAGCTTGCTTGCCTTGCTTTCCCGATCTTCCTTTTGATATCTTCATCAGTTCCGTCCGCTTGTAGTTGAAACAACACTTCCTAGGTCGGTGGGTAAAGGAGGTTGCTTCTTTCAGATTTCTCCCATTTATGCTGGCTGATTGTTGTCTGTTGTTGCTGCTGTTGGCCAGGAATCTTCATCACCTCTGTTTTCTCTATGTTCACCTGAAGTCCTATCTTTGATGCTTCTTCTGCCAACTTGTTGCTTTTCACTTGCATATCTTCCAGTTTGTGGGAAATCAGGCATATACGCATCGGCGAAGTTCAGATCCTCCAAGTTTTTTGTGTGGGTTCACTTGATGCCTGTTTCCTCCCTGTCCACTGTCTGTCGCATTATCCAGTCTACCGCTTGTTTCCTACTACAGAAAACAGAAGAACACTAGAAATGGATAGTGAGACGTATCTTATGGCAAAATAAACCAGTCCCCCACCAAAAAATTCAAGATAAAGTCCAAATCGGTATCACTGAAAGACTATCAACTGTGAACAATAAAAAAATAACAAGCTGTCAGTTAGATTTTATGCTGGTTACTTCAAAATATTTGACTTCAATAGACAGTTGGATAAAAATATAAGCCATAAACTGTAAGCACAATTGTCTTACCTGGTAGACATAAGAGAAATAACAGATTTGTTACAATACAGTTGATTTGAACTACTAACACGATGACGCTTATTAGTTTCAACACCACAGAATTCGTCAGTAGGAACAATTGTCGCTAAATCTATGCCCAAGAAACGACCATCATCACTGCTGACAATTACTAAATCACCCACACTTAAACCAGAAAGTGATCTAAAATTAGTAAAAAAAAAAGCAATTTTAGTGTGGAATGCATCAACAAAGATCGAATTAAGAGTTTATAGTTTGACTAAATCAATCATACTACTACCAATAATAATAACTCCAATTTAAAAGTCTTCTCTACCTGGACAATCTAAAATGTTTCAACATAGTAATCTTGTGCGTCAGTGGCACAGTGGTAGAATGCACGCCGATCCCGCATGTGTATCGGGGTTCGATTACCAGCCATAGAAGTACTCCTTTACCTCGCTAAGCTAGTAATAAGACTGGTGAAGAGGGAAGGTTGGGCATTAGGCTAACAACCCCATCCCATAAAAGTAAACACCACTGATACCGAAACTTCAAGCCTGTAGCTTGAGGCCATATGTTCTACTGGGAACGTAAAGGAATAAAAAAAATCTTGAATGCAGTATACTATTTGGCTTAAAAGAACATATAAATTATTCAGATGTTAATTTAACAAACACAGAGGAAATATTTGAATGAACACTTGTTTTCACCAACTTCCGCCATAGGCTCAGTTATAAATCCAAAAAATCATTATCATAAAAAAGACAGTAAAGGCGAAATTGGAGTTTTCAAGAATTAGTTGGTAGCCATTTGAGTCATTTCTAGTTTGACAACGGATTGATATCAATTAGAAAACCATTGGAGATCAACGAGGAGTACTGGACAGCTGTTTCGTCCTAATTTGGGACTCATCACCAGTGCCCACCCACCAGGGGTTCGAACTCAGGACCTTCCGGTTACAGGCAAAGCTCGCAGACTACTGAGACACTGGGACCCGATTCAATGGCCCATGAATTCTAACTCCTACCAATTCATGACATATATAGCGCGACTGGCACAATGTCATCGGTGGGAAATCCATCCTCACTCCCGACTGGATGCACCTCACTGGTCACGACTTCTCAATAGAACTCCAGGAAACTCCGTCCTGTAGGAAGTCACTAGCGAGCATCAGATTAATTTCCAAGAGTTGTTTTGTAAGGATTAGATTTGTTTTTACGAGTTGAACCACGGATTGATATCAGTCGGGAGTGAGGATGGATTTCCCTCCGATGACATTGGTTGGTGCCAGTCGTGCTAAGTATCACGAATTGGTCGAAGTTAGAATCCATGGAATGGCCGTTGAACCAGGTCCCAGTGTGTGAATGGTATACGAGCTTGTCTTGTGACCGGAAGGTATTGGGTTCGAACCCCCTGTGTGTGGACACTGATGATGAGTTCCAAACTAGGACGAAACCGCTGTCCAGTACTCCTTGTTGGTCTTCAATGGTTTTCCAACTTATATCAATCCGTAGGAGAACTTGAAAAAAATTAGACTTATGTCAGAAATACTAGTATGGTGAAAGAGGAAAGGTTGGGCATGAGCTACAACCCCATCCTGTAAAAATAAACATGCTACAGAAACTTCAAGCCTCTAGCTTGAAGCCCTATGTTCCACAGGGAACGTGAAAAGACAGAACTGAATGGAATGGAATGATAGATAGTTAACTGTGACAGTTATTTAGAATGCAAGCAAAGTGTACAGTCAATAAGACAAAATTATCAAGTGAAGTATTGGTCAAAACTTACAATTGTGTAAGAAAATGAAGTTTTCATTTTAATCTGTAGAATGAGATGCAATGTGAATACAAGAAATAAATTGGATAAGCTTAATGTATGTTCGAAGGGTGAAAAATAATAATAATAAGTGATAAGTGTGTGATGACACACTGCAATTGAACACTGGGTAGTAAGTATATAACTGGTGTCATGCATCCAGACCTTTACTTGATACAGACTGAATTCTATCAAAGAGTCAGGTTTGTAATGTGGCCACGATGCTAGACAGTGGCTCACCATTATGGTGTACTGTGAATTGTTGTTGTTATTATATGGTTGGAGGCAATCGACAGGAAACCATCAACCTAGGTCAGTCAGCAAAGCGTATCTGCAAACTTGGAGAAACTCATGTCCTCTCTGAAATTCGAACCCATGCCATCCAGTGGTGCAGTCAAAGATGTTACCACTGAGCTATTTAGACTCGCAATAGGCCTCCTGTATGACGGTATTAGATACTTTGATTGAATACTGCTAGGTAACTAGCGTGATGTGTATAATCCTTTTATTTGATGCAGCCTGAATTCTATGGGTCAAATTGGCAATGTGGCTAACGTGCTAGGTGGCTCGCCATCAAGTTTTTATGAAAATCAGTAGGAAGAGTAAATAGAATATAGTTAAGGTATAAAGGAACACACATGAAGATATGAGATGTTTATAATATCTATAATGACTTTATGATAGAATGAGGGTAAACACACAGAGGTTGAATGTACGTTTTCCAATGCATAGATTAAATTGTTCTTTTATAATCAAATTCTATAATTGCAACTATGGATAAGAGATTTTATTCGTGTATTTCAAGGAAAAATATTTCTCCCACCGTGATGTAATGCTTACTGTTCACCAAATAGGATGAATAAGATGGCGGTACTTAGGAAAACCTAATTTTTTCTAAGTGCACCCTCCAACGCCGTCTCTGGCGTAGACGTGATATCCGACTATCGACCAAAAGGCGTGTGTACTGCTCATCAGTCCGCTCCGTCCTTTATGGCTGTGAGACCTGGCCATTGAGAGTGGAAGACATGAAAAGATTAGCTATCTTTGATCATAGGTGTCTGCGTTCTATATCCCGCGTGAAGTGGTATAATAAGGTGAGCAATATTGAGGTTAGGCGTCGAGTGCTAGGTAAGGAGGGGAAATCAATAGACGAGACTGTGAAATTACATCGACTGAGATGGTTAGGACATGTGTTACGTATGCCTAGTCATCGCCTTCCTCGACAACGGGCATTGTTAGCTGATATAGGGTCAGGCTGGAAAAGAGCTAGCGGTGGTCAAACCAAAACATGGCACCAGTCAATGAAATCTACAACAGTTAGTCTAAGCCACATAGGAAGGTGTAGACTTCCTGACTGGTTGGGGTCCTCGGGACGATAAAAACCAATGGTTGGAAACAATCGGTGACATGGCTCAAAATCGTTCTCAATGACGGCGCAGATGCATCCACTCCTTGTGACTTATGATTTCCAATGAAACTGTTTTGTTCTTTGTTATTACTATTCCTTTGTCTCACACCTCTGTTTACTGTCTCTAATATGCATTTCTCCTAGTTTCTTCTGTTGCTTTGTGTGCTACATGGAGTGGAGTGTGGCGACTTGAACTGCCGCACATATGTGCAAAGTTCTATGTCGAAAACAGACAGAAATTTTTTCTAAGACAAACTAGTACGCATTCACCAGTTCCCAATGATAAATTCCTCTAAGCACGACTTATATAACTACCTCTAAAGGAACTATATAGTTACATTTGTATACATACAGTGATGTGGCAATCATCGGTAACTTATCTTTATTGTGTTGTGTCAGAATACGTTTAATTGAGAAACTCATATACAATTTTGTGACCTTACAATTAATATTGACTGGTTTCAACATAGAACTTCGAATACAAGTACAGCAGTTTAAGTTGCCGCACTCCATGTAGCGCACTAAGGGAGACAAAAGAGAGGGAGAAAAGGAGACTCGAAGGAAAGATAATAAGCAGGAATCTGAGGAAGAAAGAATAGTACATAAAAATAATCGGGTTTAATGGATATGGGAGGTCATAAAGGCTGAATCCATCTGCGCCACTGACAGAACAACTTCGAGCCATATCACCAATGGTCTCCAGCCATTGATTCTTAGAATCCCGACGACCCCAATTACGAAGTCTACACCTCTCTATATGGCTAGCTCAAACTAACTATCAAAGGTTCGATGGATTGATCTCATGTTTTGGTTTGACCACCATTAACTCTTTTCCAACCTGATCAGCTAACATTGCACCGCGTCCTAGCCATCTCAACCGATGTCGATTGATTTTCCCTCCTTACCTAACACTCGACGCCTAACCTCAACATGACTCACGCAGACACACCTATGATCAAAGACAGCCGGCCAGCCAGTCTTTTCCATACCTTCCACTTTCAATGACCATGTGTCTCACAGCCATAAACGGGGATAGAGAGAACTGTTAAAATTAATACACAAATAATAATAATAATAATAGTAATAATAATCAACTATACAACAAATAAATAAAACATACAATAATGTTTCATCTGAATGATCATTTGATTTCTCCTCTAAAATAAACCAACTTTGAACTTCACATTCTCCGGATAGAGAAGATTCAATAGTTTTTGTTTTCAATAAACGTAAACCACGAACAGTACCAGAAGAAATAAATCTGTAATGTAATGAGGTAAGAGTTAAAGAAAAAAATATCCATTCATACTAAACTTTATGAACTGTTGTACAAAAAGTTACACTGATAACTAACTAGCAAATAGAATCAATTTGATTGAGAGAAGAAAAAAACGGCTACTTGTGAGTTCATCTCATTTTTAATTGAGTTTATCAATATCAGTTAGTGAGGCCTTTTATGAATTTTGGGTATGCTCAAAAGGAAGACTATTACTTAACACTTACAAAATAATTGGTGAATCAATGTATTTTAATATCTTCGTTAAAAAGATAGAAAGATATTTAGACTTAATACCGAAATAAAGAACATTCCAACCATTATGTGATATGCGGATATTTTAGCTTACGAAAGGAAGTTACACATCAATTTTGTATGATGGCATAACATTCTGACACTACATCATATATACGTATATATTATTCCCTTGGGTTCCTAGTGGAACATAGGGCTTCAACAACACATCTCAACTTTGTTCTATTTGGCGCTGTTTTCTTCAGCTGGACCCACGATAGACCATAATCTCTCATCTCCTCCTCCAACTCACACGATCTCCTCCATGTCACCCTCACACCAACAACCCACTCGTCACTTCCCATTCGGATTCCACTCGAGCTATGGCCTGCATTGCTCACGATATCATTCGACGGCCTCCTCAATGTATGCCCGGTCAATCTCCATTTTCTCCTACATATTTGTTGAGCGATCGGCTCTTCATTGGTTTGTTCCCAGCCACAGTTTCTTGTTGCTAATTCCTTGTGACTGACCGGCCATTTCATCTTCAGTATGGAGACAGCGAAACGGGCAGCTGTTGATAAAAGTCTGTGACTTGTTGGAAATCCTTTTCGTGACACGCAGTGCAAGTTTCTGACCCGTATAGCAGGACTGATTGACTTCGTATTTGTGTTGAAAACCCGAACGAATCTTTATGCTGTCTGACTGAGTGCAGGATATTTCCAAACTGGTTTCAGGTTGATGAAGCCATGTCTTGACTTTCCGATTTTGACTGGCTTTGACATCATCCGTTTCGACCGTGCTTCCAAGCCGGATAAGTGAAGGAAGTAACCACTGTTAGATCTCTCCCGTTGATGGTGATTTAGTACTCGTCGTTGTTGTTGGTGGTTGGTTATCTTCATCGCCTCCATCTTCTCTATGTTCACCCGGAGTCCTGTTTTCGCCACCTACCTCTTCTGCTAGTTTTTTTGTTTTCGCATTCAAGTCTTCGAGTCTGTGTGACATTAGACAAATATCATCTGTGAAATCCACATCTTCCAAAGTCTCCTTATCGGCGGTCCAGCGTATTCCTGTCTCTCCACTCCCTGCGCACAGTCTGACGCATAATCCAGTCCCCCATAATTAAAAATATTACCCGTGATGATAGGCAGTCAGCTTATCTTACCCTTGTATTCACTTCAAAAGCCTCGCTGATTGAGTTTCCCGTTGTGGATCACCTGACAAGTGGCCTCATTGTCATATAGCCAGCCGTTGAGTGAGGTTGATAAATACTTGGCCAATGCAAGACATAGTGTCGAAGTAGTTTCCGAATTACTCCTCGGTCAACGCTGTCGAAGGCCTTTTCGAAGTCGATGAAGTTGAGGTACGGCTATGGCTGCCATTCAATGACGATGAGTATATATATAATCTGATTTATTCCAAAAACAGTACTTATAATACAGCATGGAATTCTCAGCATCTGTCACAATATTGTACCTAATTTACTCAAAATGTAAATTTGTCCATATTTACAGTAGGAATAATGTCAAAAATGTGCAATGTAAAAAATGAGAATAATAACTATGTTAATAATAATAACAGTGGGTTTGTTTCAAACAATGTTGTCGAGATAGTATGGGAATTTTAGCAGGTTATAAAGTATTGAATCTAATGTTCTGTTGATATAGCAAGGTGAGGGGAAAGCATAAAATTAACAATTATTACAAAGCTTAAATGATGTTTACAATCATGAGAAAATAAACAAAAAAATGGGAGGATTATAAATATAAGAGGTGGAGAATATTGATTATTTAGTAGTGCAAAGAAGGTTAGTTAGTTCATGCCTGACACTATTTTCATCAAATCAAGTACGTGCCAAATATGATATCGTGGAATTTTTATACTTAGACTTGCGTGCATAAAGTCTTTTGAAATGACTTCTTGATTTACCTGAGGAGGCACAAGGTTGGAGCTGCGGGTAAAGTGGATGCTCACAGTCTGACAAGATTCCTTTAGCAAATTTGTTGCATGAAGTCCCTCAAGTACCTATCAATGACGATGTCAACCATATGGCTCAATGGAGATGTGTTGCGGAAATCCTACGTTCCACTCGAAACCCGAGGGATTATGAATAATATATATATATATATATGTATTACGTATGCCTAGTCATCGCCTTCCTTGACAACGGGCAATAATAGCTGATATAGGGCTAGGCTGGAAAAGAGCTAGCGGCGGTCAAACCAGAACATGGCACCAGTCAATGAAACCCACAACAGTTAGTCTAAGCCACGTAGGAAAGTGTAGACTTCCGGGTTGGGGTCCTCGGGACGGTAAGAACCAATGGTTGGAAACAATCGGTGATATAGCTCAAAATCGTTCTCAGTGGCGCAGATGCATCCACTCCTTGTGACTTATGATTTCCAATTAAACTGTTTTGTTCTCCGTTATTACTATTCCTTTGTCTCACACCTCTGTTTACTGTCTATATTATGCATTTCTCCTACTTTCTTCTCTTGCTTTGTGTGCTATATGGAGTGGAGTGTGGCGACTTGAACTGCCGCACATATGTGCAAAGTTCTATGTCGAAAACCGACCGACCGACCGAATAATATATAAAATAATGTATCCCACCGACTGATTTACAGACTATTTCAGAGAAAGTATGTGTTTAAGGACTGAAAATGTTTTAAATCTGGAGGGGGGGGGAACAACTTAACTAATAATAATAATAAAATTCACAATATGCTTATCAATTCGTAATTTACACAATTCGAGAAGTCTACATCTTGCTACGTGACTGTCAAAGATTTGATGGACTGATCCCAACTTTTGGTCTGACCACCACTCGCTGTTTTCCAACCCGACCCTATGTCAGCTAACAGATTAAGGCTTATTTCAGTATCACTGAAATTTGTACACATTTATTTTACATATCAGAATTTTTCTTTCAACTCGGTAACCAATGTTTGTGGGAAGAACCAAAAAATAATGGCGTTAAATTAATTTATTCAATAAGATAATATTTGTGCATAACACTTACTTGTCAATCTTTGAAGATGATTTACAGATACGTCCAATTACATCTTCAAAACGTTCATTATCATAGTGTTCAGTTAACAGAAGTTTAGACCAGTGAATAAAAAAATTAATATGTTCCTGACACAGATGAGAACGACGCTTACTAAGAAATTCTGGAACATTTTTAAATGAATTGCTTGCAATAGTATGCCTATATGAAAAATATAAGTGGTTTGATAAATCATTTACTTCAATTAAACAAAATATTGTGTCAAAAACAAAAAGCAGCGATAAAGACTTCTAGATAATAAATACAATTGATAGAGAAAGAAAGATCAGTATAATGCAGTATAAAATGATATTTCATACAATGATTCCCTTTTATAAATTTGAACAAAGAGAGAAGAAACATTGGCGCAGAATAATCTGGATCCATTTTATTTCGTTGGTTCTCATCAGCTGCGTACAACCTTTGTCCATTAGCAAGCATATTGTCAGAGCGTCATAGTAAAATAAGGCGTTGCGATTTACAGGGTGTCTAAAGTGTTACGACATATATGTATATATATCTTGTTAGAGAGAAGTTTCTTGAAAAATAAAAAAATTAACTAACAGTTGTGTTGTTCGGGTGGTAACAAAAGACAATTAGTAATAGTTACGTAATTAGATAAGAGAAGATCAAAATTTTAAAATTTCGGTGCACATGAGGTCAGATGAGAAGGTGATGATGTAATACAGTGAGCAGAACTCAGAAGATCAAGAAAAATGATCTCTTAAGAGAGTCAAGCGAAACATAAAGGAGAGGGGTGGAGTGAAAAGATAAGTTAACAAAATTAGAAAACAAAGAGTTACTAAGAAGTGAGACATCAGGGTAATTGAAGTCCAACAACGGATTCCTTTTGGACACATAAATCAGGCTTCAATCGTTTTATTGCTATAGCTTCTTCTCAGGTTTGCTGAAAATTTTTGATCTTCTCTTATCTAATAACATAACTATTACTAATTGTCTTTTGTTACCACCCCAACAACACAACTGTTAGTTAATTTTTTTATTTTTTTCAAGAAACTTCTCTCTAACAAGATATATATATGTCGTAACACTTTAGACACCCTGTAAATCGCAACGCCTTATTTTACTATGACGCTCTGACAATATGCTTGCTAATGGACAAAGGTTGTACGCAGCTGATGAGAACCAACGAAATAAAATGGATCCAGATTATTCTGCGCCAATGTTTCTTCTTTCTTTGTTCAAATAAAATGATATCATCATTCTATTTCACAGCTGCTGTAAACTACCTGAAATTACAATGGTTATAAATAATGACATTTCATACTTCAATGTTTGAAAGGTAATAGAGAAAACACTATAATAAGATGAACGCATCCAGAATATAAGCATTACAATTTTTAGTTTGCAACCACTCCTAAGAAGATTCTCTTCATGAACCTGGAATTCAGAGGTGACATCAAAGCAGAAATTCACAGAAACTGCTTTTCTAAATGTATGAAAAAGACATTTCAAGCAGCCACCTTACGTATCACATTCTTCAGCAGACAATTTATCCAGTCTAGCGTTAAAGATAGGATACCACTTTTGGCCACCTCAATGGGTATTTATCAGTTTACTTGCTCGTGTGGAGCAAAGTATGCCGGCCGTACGCAACGTCAAGTTCACAAACGTATTCTGGAACATTGTCCAGCTTCACTAGCCAGAGAAGAAAATAAGAATACTAGTAGCTCCATCCTCGAATACCTTGTCAACTCTGGACATCGGTCGCCCCCGCATGAATGCTTCACAACGCTACACAGAATCCCTCAATATCGTATGAAAGAACTTCGAATAGGCCATCTGTACATAGCTGAATCATTGGCCATTTGTGATCTGAAACCGGACCTCTACGTTCAAAAGCACCACATACATTCACTCGCCACTCTACCATCGCCAGAGAAACATTCTCACAATAATTTTGCTTCCCTTTATGTAAGTTTATAACTATTATTATTATCAACCTTATTTTATTATTGCTCTAATACTGTTTATTGGTAACATTGCGTTTTCATACAGATTTTATTTTTAAAAAACACTTTTCCGTCTTTCTACTAGTTTTTGTCCACTCTACACAATCACACTGATTAGTCATTTTCTCACAATTACGACATCATCCCAACTTCTGTCCCCTTTTTCTAATTTCCAATTAGTCATCCCCTTCTAGGTTACACCTTACATTGTGTAATACACTTTGTAGAACGAATTTTACCAGTATCTGATTGGTCTAATGAATTCTTTGTTAAATATAGTTACGATTGCATATTAGTTTGTTTATTAGATGTATCACACAGTGAAACAGTATTATTTACTGGATGACAAGGTTTCGAACAAAATTTATTGCGGTTCACAATCATATCAATTATAATCACACGACTTCGAAACTTGAGTTTTATAGTCTTCTTCGTTCGCTCCTATTTGTCATCATTGGGGTAGTAGAATTTTCCAGATATCGGGGACAGGTGATGAATCATGCCTACTATAAATATTTGCAGTTGATTCGATAAACAAAGCTTCTGTTATCAATCCCTTCCTACACACTGCTGTTACATTAGATTTTAAAACTGTCATCTTACCCCATCCTATTGTATGGTTGTGTGTAACTGCATGTAGTGACTGGTATAGCTGAACTATTCTCTAAATTTCTTATCTTATTCAGGTCAACTAATCTAGATTTCGCTAGGTTTTTATGCTCTGCTAGTCTGACTGACTGCGCCTGTTCTACTACTTTGACCTTTGTATTTGACCTGACAATCATTCCAGCAGGGTATTAGATAAACTAAATTGTTTTGTTACGATTGTACAGCCTGTGAAAATGAGTCGTCGGAAAGAAAATTTTCTTCGCAGTTTACATCTTTTTTTCTTAAATCCCTAGTAGCAAATTAGTGGTGAGCATAGCCTTCAGAATCCGCAAGGAACTAGTTGTAATATGAGAGTGTATTTTGATCACCAGCAAATATGGGAATGTAGATCCCATCATCAGTTACGTGACATGCTACTGCAGTTTATCGCATCTATTATTTTGGGAACAAAATTATTGGAACATTAATTTTTTTATTCATTAAACTTTCGTTATCCCCATAAATCAAAGGTTTTATCATCTTATTCCTATCATCTTTACATTTATAATTACCGTTATTTTCACCAGCTGCTTTTCGTTGATTGAAGAAGCCTCAGTCTATCTGTATCGCTACGAGTCGTTAACAGTTGCTTTCAGAAGGTTAACCATACGTCCAATCGAAGCTTGTTGCTTACAACGCTAGCAGGTTTATGCAAATCGGACATGCAATTCTGTTGAGAACAATGGAAAACCTCATTATTGATGCATGTTGCATCTCAAATATCTCCGTACAAGATTCCAGTGAAGTGTTTCGAATTCCGTTTCCATCTGTCAGATATAGCGCACTCCACCTATCAGGAAACAATGTGACATCGGGGTCCAACTAAGCTGGTGTTGGTGTCAAACTGAGCAGTAGACACTGAATACTTACTAAAAATCTATTTATTTGTTGTTATTCTATAAGGTTATTTTAGAGTAAGCGCCGACTGACCGTGGAAGCGTTGTCTTTCCACCATTTCCCCTTGCACATCAACGGACTTCAGAGAGGATGAAATTAGGAATGAGTTCCACTGTCGACATGCGTCGGGACTTCAAAGATAGAACGCTAGCCAACCATGCAAGTGGTCCGGGTTTCGATTTCCTGCAGGCGCATACCTTTACCTCCATCCCTCCCCCTCTGTCAGCCTGTTGTAAGACAGACAAAGAGGGAAGGTTGGGCTGAGTAACACTACTGCTACGGGAACTTCAAAGCTCAAGCTTGAAGCCGTATGTTCCACTTGGAACACAAAAAAATAAAATGAGTAATAATAATAATCTACTATCAACTACATAACACTGTCAAATAAGCCCAGATATCATAGTGTTATTGGGGAACTTAGAAGCCCATGTCAAGCATTTCAGCTCAGAAGAGAGACGTCTCGGTTGCCTATAGGAAACAGATAGTCACAGTACTAGACTACACAATGTGTGTGTGATAATCGTCAGGGGATTAGTCCGTTACCAGTTGCTATGTAGTGTTTCATGTACAGATTCTGTAAAATACATGAATAACTAATTATCTATAAACTGTAAATTTTAAATCAAATTCTTTTGAATATAAGATATGCATAATACACAGAATAATCGAACAAAGAATATTCTTTTTCGATAAATTCCTCTTCTGGCTCTACAATTATATATATGTTTATATATATAGAATATTCTAGATTAGTAGTCAATAACAATATTAGTGTTTTTTTAAATAATATCAATTTGTAAGGTATGATCAAAGCAATTTTTTTTCCTTCAAGTTCCCTAGTGGAACATAGGGCTTCAAGCTAGTGGCTTGAAGTTTCTGTAGCAGTGTTTATTTTACAGGATGGGGTTGCTAGCCCCATACCCAACCTTTCCTCTTCACCAGCATTATTTCTGGCTTAGTGAGGTAAAGGTGTGCGTCGGCCGGCGTTCGAACCCCGGATCATGTGCATGGTCGGCGAGCGTCCTAACCACTATGCCACCGACGCACATCAATGCAATTACAGTTCATTAAAGATGCATAAATTATAATAGAAATAATAAAGATATAATAGCAAATAGAATATCAACTAAAATTAGGAAAATTCCACAAAAATTCAGGATCATTTAAACCTAGATGGCCAAGGTAAGGACAATGTCTGAACTGGCTTCTTTTGGACACATAAATTAGGCTTATGAATGTGCATCCCAACAGCCTCAGCAATATTTAGTAGTCGAACTCTTAAGGCAAAATTGAGATTGGTAGGTATGCGGTAAATGACGCTGAAAGCATGGTTAACATCAATCTTGTTTTCTGTATCCACAAGATGAGATAGAATAGCGCTGCAAATATTGCTGAGGCTGTAGGGATACATATTAACAAGCCTAATTTATGCATCCAAAAGAAGTTAGTTCAGACATTATCATTACTTTGGCCATCTAGGTTTGAATGATCCTCAATTATGTGGAATTTTCCTAATTTTAGTTGATATTCTATTTGCTACTATATCTTTGTTATTATTATAATAATTTAAGCATCTTTATTTATTATTATTATTGTTTCCTTTAATTCCTAGAGGAACATAGGGCTTCAGCCGTGCGTCTCCATTGCGTTCGGTTCTCTACTAGAGTCTTCACCTGGCTCCAAGTCTGCCCACATGTTTTCATCTCCTCTTCACATGACCTTCTCCAAGTCACCCTTGCACTGACGACCAACTCGCCGCTTCCCTTTCCGGTTCCACTATAGCAATGGCTTGTCTAGTGATGTCACTTGATGATTTATTTCCTCAGAGTATGGCCAATCCATCTCCATTTCTTCCTGCATATTTGTTGCACAATCGGTTCCTGCTAGGTTGGTTCGCTCCCAGAGATCCCTGTTGCTGATCTTTTCTGGCCATCTGATCTTGAGTATTGAGCGAAGACAACTGTTAATGAAGGTCTGTAGTTTGTTTGAGATGCTCTTCATGACGCGCAGTGCAAGTCTCTGATCCATCCGTATAGTAGCACTGACTTCACATTGGAGTTGAAAATCCAGATCTTATTTTTGATGCTGAGTGCTGTTGACCTCCACACAGACTTGAGAGTAGTGAAAGCTTGTCTTGCTTTTCCGATCCTTGCTTTGATATCCTCATCAGTTTTGTCCGCCTGTAGTTGAAACGATGCTTCCCAGTTAGGTAAAAGAGGTTGTTTCTTTCAGGTTCCTCCCATTTATGCTGATCGTTGTCTGTTGTTGTTGTTCTTGTCCAGGAATCTTCATCACTTCTGTTTTCTCTATGTTCATCTGAAGTCCTATATTTCCTGAATGCTTCTTCTGCCAATTTGTTGCCTTTCATCACTTGCATATCTTCCAGTTTGTGTGAAATCAGAAATATATCATCGGCGAAGTCCAGATCCTCAAAGTTTTTTGTGTGAGTCCATTTTATGGTTGTTTCCTCATTGCCCGCTCTTTGTCGCATTATCCAGTCTACTGCAATCAGGAAAATCATTGGAGATAGTAGGCAGCCTTGTCTTATTCCTGTCCTCACTTCGAAGGATTCCGTAATGAACTGTAATTCCACTGATCTTACTTTACAAATCGATATTATTTAAAAAAACACTAACATTGTTATTGACAACTATTCTAGAATATTCCATTTAAATAAACATATACGTATATAATTGTAGAGCCAGAAGAGGAATTTATCTAAAAAGAATATTCTTTGCTCAATTATTTTGTGTTTTATAGATGTCTGAATGAATATTTTTGCTATATACATAATAAATGATTTTCTACATTAATTAAAACTGTACTATTGAACTCACGACTTTGTATGACTTTTCTCAAATAAACTACATGTCAGCTGTACGCTACACATTTGACATACACGCAGTTGTTTTATACAATTGGGTAAATCAGCTTTCCAGTTTTCAGTATGAGCGGATGAGGAAGAAGTATCCGTTGACTTCAACAAATCCATAATGCCCGAAACTAACTGATTACGTGTGTGTATAAGACCACGAAAACTTCTTACATCAGGGTAAACAATGCTTGGATTTGTGTATGACTTTTGTTTTTGACAGCGCTCATTATTTGTTATTGCCTCTTTTAGATAAACAAGCCAACCAGCATTTGCAACAGGCACAGATGGATGTTTAGACGTGGTGTAATGTGTACCGTAAAATTCTTTGGCTAACAGCAGATACAAATAGACCTGAAATAATGAATAAAAGTAAGCAGTGTTCACAGTACTAGTAATACTAGACATCAGTAATTACACGTAATCTCCTCTCTTTCAGTATTAAGCCATACACCCCATGTATGACGGTGAATGCTACCACCCGGTTACTAAAGCCTCAGTTAATGAAGCTGGCCTCATCTACTCTAGAACGAATTACCGATGAGGCATAACTCCGCGATTTGAAATTTATATTACCTATTCACCCAGTAAGCTAACTAGAATTTGAGGGGGGTGGAGGTAGTTGAATTGATTCTACTCTCCAGGCTGAGTCAAATGAGGCACACAGATGATAAGCTCGGCCCCAAACGGGCAAAACGGCCATCCTGTGTTTAGTTCACCTCGATCTGGCTAGCATGCAATACTGTTTGGAATAGTTGTCTGGAAAATCCCTCCTGAGCAATCTATTTACGATATTGACGCTTATTTGGATGTTTCGACTAAATTTGTAATTATTATCCGTTTTTCTCACAGACCGCATATTATTGTTCTGACGTTTGCCAACCATATGTTGACTTAATCGTTACTATTTGTCTTTGTTTTTGTTTAATCCCTGATTTTAATGCTTCTCTTTGTGGTTGTGTGATGATGATATTGATAATGTGTTGTCTTGTGACTGGAATTTGATTTAAGTGAGTCAAAGCCATTCTGACCTTGAAGTGTTTGCGAGAAGTGTTTGAAGGTTGATTCCTTTGGACAGAGTTTTTACCCCACCTTGTTGGGGAGATTCAACTTGATCATCAGGTACTTCTTACCACTGATTTTGGTTAAATAATTCTGTTGTATAGTACTTGTTTCGTAGCTAAGGACAAGTTTGATCCGTATAGCTGTCAAATAGTTGTCTTTTTGGCTGTCACTGTGGCATTTGTGACTGTAAATAACTCAAGGAACGTTTGGGCAGGTAAACAGTATATCGCAAAGATTAGTTCCCTGCGTTCAGACCATAATAACACGTGGGTTTTGGTCGTTACACTTATAAATACATGAAGACGGAATTTCATAAAATGGGATTGCCTGGATTGAAGCAGCAGACCCTCTTCCCCTTCAGATCATCTTAAGGAGTCTTTCACACAGAATGGAGTGTTAATCTTAGGGGCACACACATAGATTTCTAATCTAGTAGATACCTTAAACAACAATAACAATTTCCAAGAGTTTATTTGCAAGACTTTGGTTGTTTTTTGAGTTAGACCACTGATTGATATCAGTTAGAGAATCATTGAAAACCAGAAGGGAGTACTGGACAGCTGTTTTATCCTAGTTTGGGAATCATCGGTAGTATGCACCCACCACCGGGGTTTGAACCTAGGACCTTCCGGTTACAAAGCAAGCTCCTTTACCAGCCCATGAATTTAGCTCGACCACCAACCATTGTCATTGGCGGGAAATCCATATTCACTCCTGACCGATAGCTGCTACCTTGACGTGGTGGTCGGGCTTGCACATCGCGAGAACACATAGTGTAAGAATCTTTCTTACACTATGCCGGGGATCTATGGGCGAAGTCGTACTGCTGGGGAACAGGGATGTAACAGCAGTAAGGTGTTTCCCTCAGATGACCAGCATGCCAGCTATGCTATCTCTTCACTCTGGAGAGAGGGGGGTTAGAAAAGGTCGACCCCAAAAATTGTACATCCCGACTTACCCTACGGTGGTCCGTAACCGGCGGTAAGTTTACTAATACGGAACCAAACCAAGAAACCAGTTCATACAGGCCGTGTGTGTGACCGGCCTCAAGCAGTTGTCCCCTGGGCTCTGCGGTCACGCAACACTAACCCTCTCTCTGTTTCACGTACCCGAAGAAGAATCCATCCCCACTCCTGACTGATATCAATCCGTAGTCCAACTAGCAAAACAAATCAAATCCTTACAAATCAAATCTTGGAAATTAATCTGATGCTCGCTAGTGACTTGCTACAGGACGGAGTTTCCTGGAGTTCTAGTGATAGGTTGTGACCAGTGAGGTGCATCCATTCGGGAGTGAGGATGGATTTCCCTCCGATGACATTGGTTGGTGCCAGTCGCGCTAAATATCACGAATTGGTAGAAGTTAGAATTCATGGGCTGGTAAGGGAGCTTGCCTTGTAACCGGAAGATCCTTGGTTCGAAGCCCAGTGGGTGTGTCTTTTTTTATTCCTTCACGTTCCCAGTGGAACATAGGACTTCAAGTTAGAAGCTTGAAGTTCCTGTAGCAGTGTTATCTCTACAGGATGGGGTTGCTAGCCTTATTCCCAACCTTTCCTCTTTATCAGCTTTATTTCTGGTTTAGCGAGGCAAAGGAGTGCGTCGGCAGGGGATAGAACCCCGTACCATGTGCATGGTCGGCGAGCGTCCTAACCGCTGTGCCACCGACGCAGTGGGTGAGTACTGCCGATAAATTCCAAACTAGGATGAAACAGCTGTCCAGTACTCCTTTTAGTGGTTCATTTAATGGTTCTCTAATTGATATCAATCAGAGGTCATACTCGGAAAATAATAACAATAACGATAAAGGTGGCATGTTAAAAAAAGGTTTCAATCCACAACAACTTTATCCCTACGCCACCCACAATTTTTTTTAAATAACTAACTAATTTTGTAAAGTAATCCATTAAAAGCTGGAGCAAAAACCACAACCAGTGCGAAATAGATAAACCCCCACGAGATAAAATGAAAAGTTGTCCAAAACTTACTTGACCTTTATGTTCAATTGAATAAGATGGATTACCAGTTTTCAATTCCATAGGTATCACATTTAAGGTTGGCAGCATCAATTCATCACCACCAGACCCACTATTTAAAGGCATTCGACATAACAATGTCAAGTCAATTTTGCCTTTCAAACCTAAGCTGGAATAAAGACAAATAAGAATTTCTTATTAAAAAAAGGGAGATAATAAGTGTTTGGTAAAAAGAAGACAAAATCTCATGCATTGATATAATTAATTTTATTTAAGAAGTAATTACTTATAGGTTAAATTACTATTATTATTATTATTACTATTGTGATTACTTGTCCATATACTGAAACCTCATTCAGTTTGAAAAATGTTGACAGGACAAATGAACCATAGCAAAACAAAACACAAAAAACTCGACTAAATTACAAATTGAATGTTAAAACATTTCAGTTTGCTAAAATCAAAAACAATCAAATCAAAACTTTATAAGGACAACCATGAGTAAAATAAGGCTGTTTACTGCTCCAGGCTTGCTTCCAATGATGTCTATGTATCAGTGATGTTGGTTCGTAACGAATGTGACCTAGATGGATGTCGTGAACATTGGCGACCATCACGTGTCAAGGTGACGTGGATGTTGATCGAAGGTCATTGGTTCAAGGTGGCACTATATCACGATTTGAAAAAATGCTAGAATCCATGAGTCATGGAAGTGACTGCCAGCCCGAGTGGTTGAATGATCAATGAGTGTGATCTCGTAACCTAAAGGTTTTGGGTTCAGTCCCTGATAGAGTAGTAGTCATGGGTGCGCACTGCTAAAGAGCCCCTGAAATGGGATGAAACAACTGTTCAGTGCTCTCAGTTGATTTTAATGATATCTCTAACTAAGTGTTATTGGTTCCTGAAGAAAATCTAACAACTGAACTTAAGTGGCTTAATCGTCTACGAGGTCGCCTTGTAACCAGAATGTCCCGGGTTCGAATCCTGGCGGTGGGTGTGTACTGATGAGGAGTCCCAAACTAGGCCTAAACAGCCGGCTGTCCAGCAGTCCCAGGTTTTCCAATGGTTCTCTAACTGATGTCAGCACATGATAAAATCCTCCAACCAAGTGAACCTAAGTAACAAGCTTTTTTAAAGTGGTTTTCAGCTAGAAGATGGGATATATATATATATAACCCCTCTGAATTTTGAAGCACTTGTCACTAAAAGGTTATTGACATATAAAGCAGAAGTCACCTCGATATTGTTGTTTAATTGTAAAATTAATACGGGGATAATCTGTTCAGAAGATGATACTGAAATGTAATTAATACTTATTTCCCAGCCATTTAGTGTTCATGTTCATATTATACCACATGAATATCAGTACTAAGCTGTGCTGAGAGCGTCATCATTATATACATATGTAATTCGACTGGGTTCTGAATGGGATATAGGGCTTCTACGGCACATCTTCATTCCATCCTGTTCTCTGAAGTCATTTTTAGCTGGTTCAACGAATGTCCACAGGCTCGCTCCCATCTCCTCCTCACATGATCTCCCCTCGGACCCATGCCCAATTCATTTTCCATTTGGGTCCCATTCGAGCGACGGCCATAATAACGATGTCATCCAACACTATACTCTGTGTGTCCGATCCGTCTCCATTTTTTGTGGGATATTAGTTGAGCAAAAGGAGATCTTGGTAACTATGTTCCTAGAGTTCTTTGCTGCTAATTCTTTCTGACCAGCCGGCCATCTGATCTTCAGTATGGAATCGACAAAGGGGGCAGCTGTTGGAAATGCTTTTCGTGACGTCCCAACCACATACATATATATATATAGGAAAGAATAAAAGGTGTTCGTATTCAACCCACCGACTCGACCATATATTTTCTTCTACAGCAATAACATCCTCTATCTTCACTTGGCCAGTAGTAATCGATCTGTGAAACAAAAATGTTGAAGATTACTAATTACCATTTTATATCAAGTAATTCAGAAAATACAAATTCTTAAGACATTAAAACTAAGCAAATATGAACAATGCAGGAGAATACCTAGTAATCAGTTTTCTCATTTCGACAAACGCGAGAAAAGTAGGCAAGTTTTAGACCAGGAAGAGGGTGTATTGATCATAACTTCACCCTTCAAGAGATTCTGGAACTCATGGCATATTTACCGTATTTCTTGACGTAAAGGCGGCATTCGCCTCTGTCAGCAGAGAGGTACTATGGCAATGTTTGCTCGTGAGGGGAATGCTGGAAAAGCACATTGCACTAGTCGAGGTGCTCACTCACTTAGGGGGAGTGGTCATCGGAAGTGATGACAACCAGCGGTGTCAGTCAGGGATGTATACTGTCCCCATTCCTTTTTAATTCCCGCATAGATGTGCTAATGAAATTGACCCTAACTAACTTCAGCGACTCACAGATTGAAGTGTTACCCAGGGATAGGCTTGATGACTCAGAATATGCGGATGATATAGTCCCACTGGGTGAAGTCCTTAAAAACCTTGAGCAACAATCTTCGAATGGTTTGGTATGCGATTCGCTTGAACAGTCATGACTAAATTTTGCTCCTTCTACGCTTCTACACTGTGTATTCATCAGTGACACATTCTTTAAAGAACAAAGTAAACGTAGCAACAAAGAAATTCAATGGTATGCAACATGTGCTTTACCCCTTTCCCCCCCCCCGTCCACCAAAAATTTACTAACATCACATGTAGTGTAAAAATGACTGAAAATATCAGCATTATGTAGGATTACTTCTAAATATTTTAGTCAATATTATTAATAATAACCCATTTGAAGAAAAGGAATTACTTTCTTTAATATAAATTTCCTCATTTTTAGAACACTTATAATCCTTCTTCCAACATCTAGTACACAAATAATCTTTCTTAATAAAAGTAGCTACACAGTTATTTTTTTAAAACTCATTTTTATTTCATAAGAAATGAAAACCTTACAAAATAGGGAATTCGAATGTTTTTGTGCAAAACTATATGACTTGATGTGTTGCATAAAACCATATACTAGTGACTGTATACGACTCATATCAACCAGTGGTGCATGCTAGCCAGATTATCGACTGACTCACTGACTGGTTTCAACAGATGTGCAGCAGTTCGAGTTCCCACTCTCCCTCCATGTAGCACACAAAGCAAGAGAAGAGAGTAAAGACAGATTCAAAAGACAGATAAACAGAAGTGTGAGAGAGCGAAAAAGAATAGTAATATCGAAAAACAATAGAGTTCCAGTTGGGTATGACAAATCACAAAGAGTGAATGCATCTGCGCCAGCTATTGAGAACGATTTCAAGCCATATCACCGATTGTCTCCAGTCTTCATTGGTTCTTAAGATCTCGACGACCCCAAATAGGAAGTTCACACCTCCCTACGTGACTGTCTCAAACTAACTGTCGAGGATTGGATGGACTGATTTCATGTTTTCTTTTGACTACCATTAGCTCTTTTCTAACTCTGATCCTATGTCAGCTAACATTGCCCATCGAAGAAGGCGATGGCTGGTAATGCATTCGTAACACATATCCTAACCATCTCAATCGATGCAGCTTCACAACCTTATCGATTGATTTTCCCTCCTTACCTAACACTCAACGCCTAATATCAATATTACTCACCCTCTTATACCACCTGACACGGGAAATAAAACGCAAACACCTATGATCAAAGACAGATGGCTTTTTCGTGTCTTCCACTTTCAATAGCCAGTCTCAGTCATAAAGAGGTGGAGAATGTACACACATTTTCTTTCATCGATACCAGCGGATACACGTCTACTAAGCAGAGATGTAATGGAAATGCCAAAAGCCTTCATTTAATTGACAAAAGAATCCTTGGCTTCGGAAGCGAATCGCATTCCAAATATTCGAAGAGTGCTGCTCAACGTGTTCAGAAGAATGTACATTTTACCAGCGTTTTCACCTAGGAGGACTATATCATCCACACGTTCCAGATTATGGAAGTAATCTAAGCACCAGACGGCAGTTCCTCTCGTTTAGGAACTATCTCATCAGCGGTGTGCCCTTTTTAAGTCGAATCAGTTGAAACCAGCCGATTTCCGGCTAGTGTTACTTGGATGAATTGATGATAGCCTTAATCAAATTCACAATTCGACGTTTTGCAAATGAATTGGAGATTATTTCGCTACAGTTTTCTTTGGAAAGCGAAATTACTCATATCACAATAAGTGACTGAACTGTGTAAATTGAGAATTTGACTTACGTTATCACTAGTAGTCTAAATTGAAACCGCAAACACCGCTGATGAGCTCGGTTCCAAACGAGCGAAACAGTCTTCCGGTGTTTAGATCACTTCGATAATCTGGCTAGCAAGCACCACTGGTTGATACGAGTGGTATACAACTAACTACTCATCTCAATTAATCAGTAGTATATAGTTTTATGCATAGATTTACCAACTGAGGATTCTATTTGACAACTTCCTATGTTAAGATATACCAGACTGTCGTGAAATCCACAAAACTTTAAACATCTCATATTTTAAGGACTATTGAAGGAGAACATCGTCAAACGACTAAACTAATACGAAATAATTAAATTGAACTGAATTATCGAAATAGGACTTGGCATAAAAGTGCATCAGTTAGAATTGCCATGCTTTGTAAGAGCACACATAAAAGCGGAGAAAACTAATTTAGAGAAAAAATTAGCGTAGACAAAAATATGCGAAAGAAGGGATAATCAAATGAAGATTATTCAATATTTTCAGAATGTGTAGAAGTATAAGGAGTGAATATACATGAGATATCCAGGATCAGTTTTGGTCATGACAACAACAATCTCCAAACATTCACTCTTTACTTCCTGAAGATTCAAGTGAGGGCAGTCTAAACCTTCCTATACGGCTCAAGTTAACAGTCAAAGACTTTATAGATCGAGGTCGCCCTGTTGTCGGACCACTGCTGAACTCGTTTCCAGACTAGTTCTACTTCGGCTAATACTGCTTGTCGATGAAATCAGTGGTTCATAAGAAAGTTTCATAACATTGTCGAATGACTTTCGCGCCTAACTTCACTATAAATGACCATGTTGTCGCACCTAATGCCTACATTAAAATACCCACTAATCTTTTCAAGCCTCTCACCTTCCTGAAGCCAAGTCTCACAGCCATGAAGTTGAAAACAGTGGACTGGTGCATAGCACACACGTTCTCTGATGGCTAGCATCATGACGAAAGTTGGCAAACACCGAACAAGTCTTTCCTATTCCCCGTCCTGAGATTCTGTCAGCAACTACTTCGTCAGGGTTGATGTGACTTTTCAAATAAATGAAGGGGTCAACACATCCAACCATTTCACAGCTTATCCTTAAAGTAGAACTCAGTGTAGATCAATCCTGCAGAATCACCTTGAATTTCAAACGTACGCATAATTTCGCTCGGCTTGTTCGAAAGACGACATCTGTTAACCACATCTTTAAGGTGCTATGTCGAAGGTGAGCAAAAATCCAACAGTATCTCTTAAAGGGTGATGTAAATCCCGCACCAAAGGTAACTTTGAATAAACTCTATTGTTAGATGATAGGTCTACAGAAATAGATGAGTGTGATAAACTGCTCAAAACAAAGTCATCTCAGGCTGCAGGTGTCCCAACAGCTCTGATGCCTGGCTAGCCGTTAAAATTGTCAGTATATTAAAGTGAAAAATCGCAACAGTATTATAAATCTTTAAAAAAATATTGAAAAGATTACCGAGCGCCATCATTTCGTCGTTCAGGATAGTGGGCTTGAATCCAGTTAAGAATTTTCGGTACATATTCTTCCAATTTTGTGATAAGCACTTTCAACTTCATATCAAGTGCATACCTGCATAGAGAATTCAAATAATAATAAGAATAATATCAACCATTTTTATCAGTCAAAGAAATATAAGACTATTTCTATGAATAAATTCCCCCGCCTTAAATATCGTACAATAAAGCGGTCACAAAGTTAGATTTCCATGAGTAAAATGTATAGAAATATTATATGAGAGAGAATTCAGTGTTTTATAGTTGCTTAAGACGTCATATCACTAATTCATTGTAAATGAAGTCGCTTGTATGTTGCGTTGTTTGAAGTCAGTTCTCAGAACAGGATTTTTATGTTCCGGGCTATGAACCACAATGAATTTATGCGGGCGGATGATGATACTATCCAATCGCCAAGACTAAAGTAGGTGGGACTGGACTCGGAACCAGGATTCACTGGGTAAAAGTTGAATGCCACATATATGTCGTAAAATTATCCGGATATTTATTGGTCCCATATACTGAAACCTAATGAAGAAGCCAGTTCATCACAAAAATAATATTTAGAACAGTGTTTCATAGATATACTAGTTTTCCCTCCGTGATTGCCGACTAGTTAAAAGGACATTTGACCAAGAACTATCTACATAGTACGCCTTAAAAGTTATTTTACAAATGATACTTTGAGCGGCTGAAATATACTTCAGGTACAAAAAATACTGTTTCATTCAAATGTTGGTTTGTAGGGATTTGATTGATTACAGGATTTCATTATGAGCTGACATTAGTTAGAGAACCATTGGAAAACCTGGGAGTACTTGACAGATGTTTCGTCCTAGTTTGGGACTCTTCAGCAGTACGCCACACCCACCGACAGGGTTCGAACCCAGGACCTTCTGGTCACAAGGCGAGCTCGTATACCATTAGGCTACTGGGAGCGGATCCAATGGTCCATGAATTCTAACTTCTGGCTTAATGGTATACGAGCTCGCCTTGTAACTAGGAGGTCCTGGGTTCGAACCCCAGTGGGTGCGTACTGATGAAGAGTCCCAAACTGGGAAGAAACAGCTGTCCAGCACTACCATGTTTTCCAATGGTTCTCTAACTAATGTCAGCTCATGATGAAATCCTATACTGTTTCATGTTGGATTCCATCACAGACCGATATCAGTCAGAGAATCATTTTAAGCTAGCGAGTACTGAACAGCTAGTCAAGGAGCTGGCTTTGTGCGTCGGCGGCACAGTGGTTAGGACTCTCGCCAGCCGGGGTTCGACTCCCTGCCGACGCACACCTGATATTTATGGTCGGCCTGCACAATTTGGGCTACCGACATCATATGCTGAAAATTCCATACTTGTACCAGAAATACGGTGTGGAATCAAGTTGTAATCAAGAAAAAAAATTATTATATCCTAGTTTAGAACTCTACAGCAATACACACACACATGATACCACTGGCTATCGAACTCAGGACGAAGTGATCACTTGGTTATTTAGCCCATAGGACGACATCCAATGGCCTGCGAATTCTAAAGTTTTCCAACTCTCTGGTTTTCGAATTGGAAACGTTTATTTCCCGATACTAATTTAAAACAAGCAACAAAAGTTAATAAAACAGGATTTAATGAATTCATCAAATTTTGGTAGAACTCTTCCTCAGCTGGATACTCTACATACAGGGATATAAAGTGAAGATAAATTGCATTACGGTTCAATTACATTCCCTAAATGAAAAGTTGGTTATCAGTGAGAGAAAGAACTTGAATATATCAAGAATTGCGAACTAAATAATATTGGTAATAATAATGACGACCATTTCCTTCTGTACACAGAGACCGGGTTTTTAACTCTAATCTCACAAACCTCGGCAAATGAAAGGATCTTCCTGTTTGTTTGTCTACTGACAACAGTGAGCGACTTGACAGCGTCAATATCATGTCCGTAGTCCACAAGATGCCTTTTTTATTGAACTTTTAGTCACTTTGACTTCAGCTGACTTCAACCACCTTGGCAAATTCTCAATCATGTGAGTAGACAATCGCCTTTCTGTACAACCAACGTATTTGCTTCCACAAACACGCTCAATCGTCCTCTGAATGATATCGGCTCGTGATAAAGCTTATTTCGAAACTAATCAAATCTCGACAAATCAACACTTTAAAACACCATTCCCTGTAACATGTTCACACTGACGTCACTTCAAGGACTACTACTGTGCCAGTTGATGCTTAAGAAAGATGCTTAAAGGAACTTTATATCTACATTCAAACAATTAAATCAAGTGGGATGAAGTTTTCTGAAAATTACCCGAATTTTAGAATTCTTAATACTCATAACAAAGGTGGGTACAAACTCACATTTGTAATACTGTTGACGGACGATGAACAAGATCAGAAATCATCTGAGAGATCATATTTCTAGGAATGGTTTCTTCGGAAATTATCTGCATATTATAAATAATAAGAATGTCAGTTACAATATAATTTGAATGAAAGAAAAAAAGAAGCAAACAGCCGAAAGTACACATATCCTACATATTGAAATATCACAAACAAGAAATGCAAGTGATAATATATCCACACAAATATCATATTGTGATAGCATTCAGTTTGTACCAAAAGGAAGGACTTAGTTCCTGCCTAGTGTCCAATCAAGGTATCCATTGCAGTCCTACAGGAGGTTAATCGTGGGGTTGAACAGCTCAGTGACAACGTCTCTGATGGCAGCACAGGGTAACCCGGGTTCGAATCTTACAAGGGATATGAGTTCTTTCAAGGCTGCAGATACACCTTGCTGACTGGTGAGTGACAAAAAGCACGAGACCTATGTCCTGGGCTTCCTCCCGGTCGCCTCTAACCACCTAATGACAATATCACGTTCGTAGAAGTTTAGTAATACAAGTTCTTTGTCCTAGCTAGATCAGGAGTGCTTCGTATGCTTTTGGAAGTGTTTAGACGGTTGTTACTTCCCGGCTGCCCACTCCATGGAAGTTGATTTCTCCTTGGGTTACTTAAAATAGAAAGAGACTATGCGTTGTGTGACAGCAGACTTCAGCAGACAACTGCTTGAGGCCAGTCACACACGGCTTGTTTCAATTGGTTTTTAGAGTTTTTTCCGTATTAGGAATTTACTGATGGCTACGAACCATCGTAGGGTAAGTCGGGATGTACAATCTTGGACGTTAACCGTCTCTAACCCTTCCCCCTCTCCAAAGTGAATAGGCAGCTATTATGATGGGCATCTTAGGGAAACACCCTACCGCTGTCACATCCCTATTCGCCCACAGACCTCTAGCATAGTGTAAGCATCTTGCGCTATATCGGTAACTGCTGTCAGTCGAATCGCTATCCTAACAATCTTTCTGACAAGGTAGAACCTGCAGTGTTCCTTGTTGGGTCATTGAGATATGCAAGCCCTACTACCATATCAAGGTAGCAGCTATCGGTCGGGTCCTAGCTAGATACACTTATACAATGCGTATAAACGAGATTTCGTTGTTTTCAAAATACGTCACTGGATAAACAATCATATGTGATTTTTAATTCAGTTTTAATTTTCCCGTTGACTGATTGAACTGAAATGTTCGGCCTCTATTGACATAGCTCCTAGTGTCGACGTTTCAACAAATAATAACCATCACCCATTTCACAAGCAGTGGCACTCCCATGGTCCAAGTGATCTACTGGATACCGCTTTGGCGTTGGAAACGATGGGTACTGGGTTCGAACCTCTGTGCCGAAACCATCACTCACTGGCGACTGAAGGTATATCCAGCCGACGGGTCCGAAATAGGACAAAATGCACATTGAGGATTCCGCTGCTAGTCACCATCTATCTATCAAATTAACCAGTAGTCTTTATATTAAAACTTTTGAAAAGCAATTCAAAATCATATTTTTTAAATGCTAGGGAATGCAATTATCACCAAAATATTTAATGGCATATTAAAATCTACAAAGTACCAAGAAAAAATCACGCACTATGTCATCCATAGTGCAAAAAACACATAACTGAATAAAGAATATTAACGAATATTGAATATTTTTGTAATACCACATACCTACCTTTTGAAAAAGTTCATGAACTAAACTACCAATCAGCATAACTTCAGGTCCATAAGAACTTTGATTTGTTGTTGTCGATAATAAAGCATCATTATCAATAGAACCACTACTACTACTACTATCAGAAAGCCAAAATTGTTCTAACACGGCACGTCTTAAACAATTCAAGCTACCGACAATCTTTGTAGTAGGCAGAAGATAATTCGGGTGTAAGCATACTACAGAACATGTAGAATTATTATTATTATGATCAGATATAACCAGTGGAAAAGAAGAAGAAGAAGAATGCCTTACAGATACTTCCATATCATCAGTGTTGAACACATCCGGTATAATATGAATGACATCGTTTATACGAATTGGTGAGTCTTGCCTGAAATAAATGTAAAAAAACAAAACATTTTCTCAAACATACAGTTTGTGTTATATAAAAATGAGGCACGAAAAAGCAGAAAGAACAGAAAAATACTCAGAAGAACTGTGATTACTTCAAGCGAACATAGAGAAGACAGGAGTGATGAAGATAGCTGACCAACAATAACAACAAGTAGAAATCACTATCCAAGTATTGGTTTGTAGGGATTAGGTTGATTGGTTACAGGATTTCATCATGAGCTGACATTGGTTAGAGAACCATTGGAAAACCTGGGAGTACAGGACAGCTGTTTCGTCCTAATTTGGGACTCTTCATCAGTACGCCACACCCACCGACAGGGTTCGAACCCAGGACCTTCTGGTTACAAGGCGAGCGAGCTCATAGACCATTAAGCCACTGGGACCCAATCCAAAGGCCTATGAATTCTAACTTCTGCCAATTTACGACAAAGCGTAACCGCTAGCCAATGTCTACGGCGAGTATTTGTCCTCACACCCGACCTGCTGCACCCTACTGGTCACGACTTCCCACTGGAACCCCAGGTAACTACCTACCTGGCTAGCGGTTGCGCTATATCGTGAACTGGCAGAAGTTAGAATTCATGGGCCATTGGATCGGGTCCCAGTGGTCTACGAGCTCGACTTGTAACCAGAAGGTCTTGGGTTCGAACCATGGCAGTGGGTGCGTACTGCTGATGAGTCCCAAACTAGGATGAAACAGCTGTCCAGTACTCCCAGGTTTCCCGATGGTTCTCTAACCAATGTCAGCTCATGATGAAATCCTGTAACCAAAGAAATCACTATCATTTGGAGAAATTTGATGGAAGTCATCACATTCACTTATTTGAGTAGATTCGTTCCAACTACAGACTTCATAGACGTAGATGTCAAGGCCAACATCAGAAAGACAAGACAGATGTTCATCACTCTGAAACCAGTCAGGAAATCTACTGCACTCAGCATACAGAACAAGATTCGGATCTTCAACATTTGTATCAGATCAGTGCTTCTCTGTATGCTTCAGAAATTTATTATATAACCAAAAACACTTCCAATAGGTTACTGCATACTTTTACTAACATCCACCTTCGTTGCCTCGATCACATGAACAGAAGGGATAAGCAACAAGGAACCCTGGCAACGAAGTTACAAAGATCATTTTATTTACTTACTTGCTTACTTTATTCCTTTACGTTCCCAGTGGAACATAGGGCTTCAAGCTACAGGCTTGAAGTTTCGGTAGCAATGGTGTCCATTTTCACGGGATGGGGTTGCTAGCCTCATTCCCAACCTTCCCTCTTTACCAGTATTCTTACGAGCTTAGCGAGGTAAAGGAGTGCGTCGGTGGCCGGGGGTCAAACCCCAAACCACCTGCGTGGTTGGCGAGCACTCTACCGCTGTGCCACCGACGCACAAGATCTCGTTGCCTAACAAATATTCCGAAGAAGACGGAAACAAATCAGGCACACGCTAACGAGCCAGGTCCTCAAAGGGGACCCAAATGAGAAACGACGAGTTGGGCTTTGGTCCGAGGGTGACAAAGAGGAGGTCGTGTGAGGAGTTGATGAGAGCTTATAGACAATCATGAGGCCAGATGAAGAGGACTACAGAGGACAAGGTGAAATGGAGATGTGCAGTCGAAGCCCTCTGTTCCACTCGGAACCCAACTAAAATGACTTTGTTGATACCTTGATAGTATTGTGGTGAGAGCTGTCCACTAGCCAAATTGGTAGACAGTAATTTACGTCAATGTTTACGTTCTCAAGATTTGTTGTGAGAAAATATGAACAAAGATTGATTCAAAACCGACCACAGCAGACTTTGCGTAGGCGGATACAGTTAACATATAGATGACCTGACATTCAAGAAACAGTCACAAAGAGATGAAAGATTAACTTTAAGTGAGAAACAACCAATCAGAAGACTGTGTTGTTTGCTTAATTAAACTATAATAATGTACATGAAAATATATATATGCTGTGATTTCCTTAATAAACGATCGGTTGCCTGGCCCTTGTCTTCTGTTGTTACAGTATCACATTTCTTAAAAGTATAATATTTCACAGCTGAAAAACGACCCAACTTTAGAAATCAATTGTACCTCTTCATTGTCGATATGAATTGTGAAGACAGAAAAAAGTGAAGCTCTTAGCGGGTTAGCCCATAATATACTTCATTTAGTTGATATTGCTCTGTTCAGACTGAGTAATAGATAGAAAGTAATTGACAGCCCTTTTTTTATTATAGCTTGATTCCACACCGTATTTTTGGTACAAGTATGGAATTTTCAGCATGTGATATCGGTAGCCCAATTTTGCAGACTCACCATTGATATCAGGTGTGCGTCAGCCGGGGATTGAACCCCGGACCATGTGTATTATCGGCGAGCATCCTAACCACTGTACCACCGACTTATTGAACAAATAACAGAAGAACTAAATAGTTTAATTGAAAATAATAGTCCACATTATTCCTGGCAAAGTTAAACTATCATAGCCAGCCAATTACAATTCAAATGCAAAAAAGTCGCATAATCTTTGAAAAAAACTAAAAAATATTGCAAAGGTGATATTACACTGCATTTTTTTCCTTCACGTTCCCAGTGGAACATAGGGCGCCTTCAAGCTAGTGGCTTGAAGTTTCTGTAGCAGTGTTTATTTTACAGGATGCGGTTGCTAGCCTCATGCCCAACCTTTCCTCTTTACCAACTTTATTTCTGGCTTAACGAGGTAAAGGCATGCGTCGGCCGGGGATCGAACCCCAGACCATGTGCATGGTCGGCAAGCGTCCTAACCGCTATGCCACCGACGCACTATTACACTGTATAGTTGTAGCTTATGTGTTGCAAGAATGTCTCCCAGTCACTACACATATGATCTATAAGGAATCATACAATGCGCGATAGATGCATTCACCCAGGTAACTTAAGGTCATGGTACTTAGAGATGCATTGATATTTCTGACACTATTCTGCAACCTACTCCTAACTCTAACCATAATCCTAACTTTAACCCTAAACCTAACCTTAACCCTAAGTCTTAATCTTAACATCCACAACCCTACCTAACAGCATAGATTTGCAGAAAAAGAACCTAGTAAACAAGTAGAATACTGTATCTACCCTATCCAAGTCCAAAAAGGTAGGCATGACTTGATTTGGAATGACATTTCATAGCATTCCCTGTGTCTGATCGGTTCTTGAAGGTCAACTTTTGAAGACCTTGACCTTGCAATTAGTAGTGTTCTCTGAGCTGGTTGGTTTAATTGCGGAGCTTTCGTCGTCCTTCTGAACAACATCTTCCTTCAGCGCAAGTTTTAGCATAAAGTGAACTGATTTAAATTCTCCATGAATGATAGAATTGCGTTTCCTGGTAACCATCTGCATGACTGGTAGTCGATTTACATCTGTATTGATCTTTTTTTTATTGACTTTGGTAATGATACTTTAACTTCACCTTATTCCTTATTTATTCTGTATTGCAGATGCCTGATCACATGTTTACTCAGTAAACACATGAATGAACAGTGAATCACCTTACCAAATGCTCTGTACACAATAACACGATCGTTAAGAACTAAGTCAGCTTAATGTATATCTAATATAGCTTATAAATCTTATATCCACCCCTAATATTTGTCCACATTTGAACTCCACTTATGAAGTAAAGCATGAGTATAATGCAGTTCTACAAAATATGACTTCCAGCTAACAAAATATAGACTTCTGAAAATCCTCAATGAAAATTTAAGAGCGTTTCGATAGGTATTTGTACCTTGATGTGATTGTGTCTTCTTAGCTGAGTGATTCAATTGAGAGGCTTCCATTGTTCTTCTAGACAAGATCTATACCGCTAACTTCATGGTGAATTCAACTTTTTGGAATTCTCCGTGAATGTTACAACTGTCTCTCCTGATAATCTTGGCTCTGATTAGTTATCAATCAGAAGAAATACTAAATACACTGGAGAATTCCTGGAAGCTTGATACTCGGATCATTTTTCACCAAAAAACAGACATATTGGCATAGATCAAAATTATCAACCCAAAAAGGACAGGTAATATATGGAAAAGTGACAAAAAGGTTAAATTCCAAGTTAATGAAAAGATCGATAACGATACAAATTGAAACCAGGATCATGAAAACCTCTGAAAATAACCAATCACGACCAAATTCGCCAGAAGAGACAAGTAGTTCACGCATGGGGAATTCCACACAGTTCATTTCACACTGAAAACTCTGTCTAGCATGACAATGAAAGCTTTGAATTTCAATCTGATTGACTGGTTTCAACACAGAAATACAACAGTCCAACTTGCCACACTCCATGTACCACACAGAGGAGGACAAAAGGGAGAAATCAAGAGATTCGGAAGAAGGATAATAAGCATAAATGTGAGAAAGAAAAAAAAGTAATATGGAAAACCCTGATGGTTTACTGGATATGAGAGACCGGAAAGAGTGTAAGCATCTGCACCACTTAGAACGATTTCGAACAATATCACCAATTGTCTCCAAACATTGATTCTTAGAATCCCAACGACCTCAACTAGAAAGTCTAAACCTCCCTACGTGTCTGGCTCAAACTAACTGTTAAGGATTTCATGGACTACTTCCATGTTTTGGTTTGATCACGACCTGTTGCTTTCCAACCTAATCCTGTATCAGCTAATACTTCCCGTCAAGGAGAGCGATGGCTAGAAATGAGCGCAGCACGTGTTCTAGCTATCTCGATCGATTAACCTTCAGAACTATATCCACTGACTTTCCCTCCTTACCTAACACTTGACGCCTAACCTCAATATTACTCACCCTCTTATACCACCTGACACGGGAGATAAAAAGCAGACATCTATGATCAAAGACAGCTAGTCTTTTTAATCATTCAGCTCAGAGAACATAACTGATTAAAAACATCCATTTGAGTTACAAATCTTCACTATTATTTTGCATCTTCAGGTATTGGTTTGTAGAGATTTTGTTTGACTGGTTGGAGGATTTCATCATGAGCTGATATCGGTTGGAGAACCATTGTAAAACCTGCAGGGAGTAATGGACAGCTGTTTCGTCCCACTAGTTTCACGCTATTCATCAGTACGCCACACCCACCGACAGGGTTCGAACCCAGGACCTTCTGGTTACAAAACGAGCGAGCTCACAGACCTTAAGCCACTGGGCCCCGATCCAATGGCACATGAATCCTTACTTCTACCAATTCACGACAACTAGGCAATGTCTTCTTCGATGAGTAACTATCCTCATCTTCGACCTGCTGTACCCTACTGGTCACGACTTTCCACTAAAACCCATGGTAACTGCCTGAATAAGGCTAGTCGCTAGTGAGCATCAGGGCATTGTATCTGTTCAATAGGAAAATAATCCGATGGCACTACGCAGTCACAATACTCATTTGATCAAATCCCCTAAGAGACATGTCACTCATGTCCACCCCTGAATTAATAAGATAACTTTGAAACTACAAAGCAACCAAGCTATAACGGAATAATTATTTGGAAGATCCCCACCCTGAAAGATCTATTTACGGTATTGCTACTTTAATGTAGACATTCCAACTAACTTTGTAATTATTATCATTTTTTTCTCCTGGACTGTTCTGATATTTGCATATCATCTGTTGACCTGATCTTTATTATTTGTCTTCGTTCAATTTCAATTTTTATCTTTAAGATTGTGTGATGATGACATCGACAATGTATTGCTTTACAACTGAGATTTTGTTTGAGTGAGTTAAGGTCAATCTGACTTTGGATTATCTGAGAGAATCGTTTGGTGGTTGACTCCTGTTGACACAGTTTTTATCCCACCATGTTGGTAATATTCTCCTTGAGTGGACACTAGTAACTAGTTTGATGTGTCTAGTCATTTATTTGCTGCAGACTGAATTCTATCAGTCAAGTTTGCAATGTGGCCACCATTCTAGGTAGCTCGCCATCACGGTACACTTTGAATTGTTGATGTTAGATGGTTGGAGGCAATCGGGGGAGAGCCTTGGACCTAGGTTTCGTGCTAGTTGGCACTCACCAGTCATCAGGGTGTATCTGCAACCTTCAGGGAACTCATGTCGCTTCTGAGATTCGAACCCGCGTCCCCCACTGAGCTATTCGTGCTCTTGATTGACCTCCTATAGGAGTGTAGTGGATACTTTGATTGGACACTAGTTAGTAATCTCAGAAGGGACATGAGTTCCTTGAAGATTGCAGATACGCCTTGCTGACTGGTGAGTGCCAAATAGCACGGAACCCAGGTCCAAGGCTTCTTGCCGATTGCCTCCAACCATCTAACATCAATATTCTCCTTGATTCTCAGATACTTCTTACGGTTGACTTGGTTAAATAATTTTGCTGTATGGTACTTGCTTTATACTTGAGAGATAATTTGATCTGTATAGTTGTCTAACGGCACTACCGAGGTAATTCTGCTCCTTGATATGTTATCATTGTTGAATAGTACCTCAGATTTCATCACAAATAATTGTTTCTTTGCTGTTATTGAGGCACTGTTTGACTGTGAATAACTCAAGGAAGTTTCGGTCAGCTATACACAATAGGAGGCAAAGATCAGTTTCCTGCATTCACACTATTAAAAACGTGAGTGTTTTAGTTGTTAGACAAGCTGACTTATAACTAATTCCAGGCAAATGTAACACTGTTAATGTTTTTTTCAAAAACGAAATTGGTTTTTAACTGACAAATATAATAAACACAGCAGGAAAATTGGAAGAAAGCAGAGTTTTCCGTGAAGATCTATCATCGCAGATTTTGCAGGCAAAATATATGATGTTACAAGATTGAAGAAAAGATGAACACTAATTAACTTACCACGAATCACGCAGGATAACATTCATTTCAGTAGTGTTACATTTATCATTATTATTATGGTTATTACTGTTGTATACACGAACCACTAAATCAGTTTGGTCTCTGAAAAAAGAAAGATGAAAATAGAACCAATTGTATCTATATAAAAAGATATAGCATGATAGTAAAAATGAGTATACTATTTAATCACCACCTTTTTTTCCATTCTTTTGAGTCCCGAGTGCAACACAGGGCTTCAAGCGTAGAGCTTTGAACTCTCAGTAGCATTGGTGTTGCTGTTTTTAACGGGGTGGAGTAGCTAGTTTCACAATCAATGCTCCCTCTTTACGGATTCACTGTCAAGTTAGCTAAGTGAGGTTTGGCGCGCATCGGCAAGGATTCTACCACTGAACCACAGACTCACAGATACGTGAAAAAAGCCTAGTAATAAGCAGTTTGTCTGTCTGTCTCCTGGATTCAACATAGAACTTGGCACCGAAGTGCAGCAGTTCGAGTTGCCACGTTCCAAATAGCACACAAAGGTAGACAAGAAAATGAGTGAAGAGAATCAAGTATAAGAGTGAATCAGAGTGAGTAATGGTAGAAAGGAATATGAAAGATTACCCAAGTGACTGAATACATCTGCGTAAGCCATTGACAACGATTTTGAGCCATGTCACCTATTGTCTCCAGCCACTGATTCTTAGAGTCCCGAGGGCCCCAACCCGGAAGTCTGCATCTCCCTACCTGACTCAGTTTAACTGTCAAGGATTTCATGGATTGATTGATGCCATGTTTTTGTTTGGCCACCACTTACTCTTTTCCAACCTGCACCTATATCAGCTAGTAATGCCCGTCCGTCGGGGGAGGCGATGGCTAGGCATGCGCAGCACGTGACCTAGCCATCTCAATCTATGTAACTTTATAGCCTCTTCGAGTGATTTTCCCTCTTTGCCCAACACTCTACGCCTAACGTCAAAATTACTTACCTTATTATTATGCCACCTAACGTGAAAAAGAGATCGTAGACATCTATGATCAAAAACAGTCAACAACCTTTTCATGTCTTCAACTGGTATTGGCCATGTTTTGAGAGCCATAGAGAAGGACGGAGCGAACTGCTGAGCAGTACACACGTCCCTTGGTTGATAGCCGGATGTCAAGCAGTTTGTAAGATAACGATAATGAGTACTACTGCAGCTAAGCAACAAAGATTGATATGATGCTCTTTTTTTTAGGTTACGAGTCGAATCTACTATTTTGGGGATTAATGATAATAACCGTCTGTGGAACGATAATTGATGGACAGCAATCAGACCTTAGACAATTGAACTCTTCTGCTTATGAATTAAATATGATGATAACAACATGTTGCGGAGATTTAAAAAAAAACATACATGGAACAAATCTCAACCTGTTATTATAATATAGACGAATCCAACTGGTAAACTACCAAACAAAAGTTCTAAACACATATTTAATCTTCAAAAAAAATAAAGATTTACAATGAAAATTCGGATAATCTTTAACACACGTAATCGAGTGCAGATTGAAAATCTTTAGCTTACTGTCAATAAATTTTAGATTGAAGTTTAGTTCACGTTCATTGATTCACGAGGTCGAAAAATACTATTACACCTTTAATAGCATTATTAACGCCCCACATTTACACTTTCCACCCTTTTGCGTTTCAAAATGAACATAAGAGGCTTTAAGTTTGGAGGTTCCAGTAGTACTGGTGTTTTTACGAGTTGATCACGGATTGATATCAGTAAGAGAACCATTGAAAACCAGCATTGGAGTACTGGACAGATCTTTCATACTAGTTTGGAAATCATCGGCAGTACGCACTCACTGCCAGGGTTCGAACCCAGGACCTTCCAGTTACAAGGCAAGCTGGCTCGTATACCACTCATCTACTGGGATCCAATTCAATGGCTCATGAATTATAACTTCTACCAATGCGTGATACATTTAGCGCGACCCCAACCAATGTCGTCGGTGGGACATCCATCCTCACACTTGACTGGATGGACCACCTCACTGGTCACGACTTCTCACTAGAACTCCAGGAAACTTCATCCTGTAGCAAGTCACTAGCGAGTACTGGTGTTGTTTTTATAGGGTAGGGCTGCTAGCCTCACACTCAACAACCTTCCCTCTTTACTGGGCTTACTATTGACTAATAAACTCGATGAGTTTAAGGTGTACATCTAACTGGAATCAAAAACTGGATCACGTGCGTGGTTAACTGGAGAGCAGTCTACTTTTGAACCACCGATGCTTGGCATATAAAATTTATTTTGATGGAGTTGTGTTCTCTGAGCTATCTGGATGGTTTATTTGTGATGCTTTCATTGCCCTACTAGGCAACATCTTCAGCGCATAATTCAATTTGAAGTGAGCATGAAGTATGAAGTACTTGAAGTATGTGTTGAAGATGTTGCCTATTAGGGCAATGAAAGCTTCGCAAATAAACCACCCAGCTAGCTCAGAGGACACAACTACGTCAAAATCATCCACCTGAGCTACAAATTTTCTCTATCATATGTATATAAAATTTAGTAATCAGATATTTATGACCACTTCTTCACTTAGACCATCTCGGTTATAACAACAATCCAACTATAAGAAGGAACATTTGAAATAATTTTGGCTTTTATTCAATTTTAGATTTTCCCGTCGATTGATTGGACTGAAGTATTCGACCCCTGTTGACATGTCCGCTCCTAATATGGACGCTTCAACGATGCCTGATGATTAACTTGAAGTCAATAGGTGGATGGTGACTAGCAGTGGAATCCAGAATACGCATTTCATCCTATTTGGGACTTGCCAGCTAGATGTACCTGCATTCCCTCTGGATGAGTGATGGTTTTCTCACTGAGACTCTCACCCACTAACCATCGTTCCAAACGCCAGAGCATTATACACTAGACCAATTGGGCTACGCGGGCGCCACTTGTTGTGCAGCGGGTGTTGGTCTCAGTGGTCCAGTGGATATCGCTTTGGTGTTTGAAACCATGGTTACTGGGTTCGAATCTCAGTGGGAAGACCATCACTCCCTTAGGGAATGAAGGTACATCGAGCTGGCGAGTCCTAAATAGGACAGAATCGAATGCCGCCTATAGGTCATATTTCTTGACCTAAAGTCGGCATTCGATTCTGTCGATCGAGAGGTACTCTGGCGATGTTTGGCTGTAAAGGGAATGCCGAGAAAATACATTGCACTGATCAAGGCACTCTACTTGAATTCATGCAGTCAGCCAGGTGAGGGCTTACGGCGAGCTGTCATCAGAAGTGGTGACAACTAGTCCTTCTAGGTGAAGACGCTGACAAAATGCAGACTCTTCTAAACACCTTGAGTTGCAATCTGCGTATGTTTAGCATGCGATTCTCCCCTCTGTCAAATGTAAGATGATGCTATAGGACTCGACTACATTGACTCCTAGCTCAGAAATAGGGAGTGAAGAGGTTGGTGGAGCGTGTTGACCACTTCGCTTATTTAGGAAAATGCATCAGACAGCACCAGCGGGTTGATCGCTGACGAAATCTCAGCACGGATAAAGAGGGCTAGTTTCGCATATGCCAGTTTACGCCATCTCTGACGTAGACATGATATCCGGCTGGCCATCGACCAAAGGGCGTGTGTACTGCTCAGCAGTCCACTCCGTCCTCCTTTATGGCTGTGAGACCTGGCCATTAATAGTGGAAGACATGAAAAGAATAGCTGTCTTTGATCATAGGTGTCTGCGTTCTATCTCCCGCGTGAAGTGGTATAATAAGGTGAGCAATATTGAGGTTAGGCGTCGAGTGCTAGGTAAGGCGGGGAAATCAATAGACGAGGCTATGAAATTACATCGACTGAGATGGTTAGGGCATGTATGCCTAGCCATCGCCTTCCTCGACAACGGGCAATGTTAGCTGACATATGATCAGGTTGGAAAAGAGCTAGCGGCGGTCAAACCAAAACTTGGCACCAGTCAACAGTTAGTTTAAGCCACATAGGAAGATGTAGACTTCCTGGTTGGAGTCCTCGGGACGGTAAAACCAATGAAGGCTGGAGACAATTGGTGATATGGCTCAAAATCGTTCTCGATGGCTAGCGCAGACGCATCCACTCCTTGTGACTCATGATTTCCAATGAAACTGTTTTGTTCTTCGTTTTTACTATTCCTTTGTCTCACACCTCTGTTTACTGTCTATGTTATGCATTTCTCCTACTTTCTTCTCTTGCTTTGTGTGCTACATGAAGTGGAGTGTGGCGACTTGAACTGCTGCACATCGGTGCAAAGTTCTATGTTGAAAACAAACAGACAAATAGGATGAAGCGCGTGTTCTGGCTTCCCCTGCTAGTCACCATCCAACCTTTCAAACAACCTATTTTATCAATGATAAAAAATTCTAATATAATAAAGGAATAATTACCAGTAAATAGTGAGATACCAAAACTGCACAGTAATATGAAAAAAAAATCACAAAAACAATAAAATAGTTAATACAGTAATCATACACACAGAGATAAGCCTTTTGTTTTTGTACAAAGATAAGCATTAGATTGACATTCATATCATAAGTGTGTATAGATAAGTAGTGTGCGTGTGTGTGTGTTGTGAATATTGTATGTGCACAAAATTCACACTAATGAATCGTTCACAGTGTGAATCTTAGGCGATAGGAAAGGGAGGCAGGAACAGAGAGAGAGAGAGGTTAAAGGAAAAAGGTGAGGCTATTAAGAATCACAGTATAACGAAGGAAATCCCAACTGTCAGTTACATTCCCCACTGCACTGAAAACTAATTTGTGAAAACAGAGTAATGGTCTGTCTACTAATCATCACAAAATGGAAATTAATCAGCATAAGTTATAGAAGGTATAATAATAAACATATTTAGGGAAAGCAGCCAGTTACTACGGTCACATTTTATAAGTATGCCTAAGTAAGATGAAGCATCATATTAGTGACTAAATGAGAATTGCTTGCTGATTGGAAATGATACCTTAACACGACAAACACAAAAACATGTATCTTTACAAACTGCATATTCACAGTTGATAATATTCCATTGTATGCTGCATAAAGAGGGCTTTCGTGAGTCTCACATTCTGAAACAACTTTTCCTCTCACAATATATATATGTCATTAACAGACAAAAACAGAGTATATTAACAACACACACGGAGTATAGAAGTTTTGTGGACATAACAATAACGACGCTTTACTGCGTGCTGCACTAGACTTTTAGTCAATACTTTAACCAGCAGACTAGGAAGTATACACTACAAGGATGTGTCTGATAAAGAGCCAAGAATGTTAAGTGCTCTGGTTGAAAGTGAACACAGATCAATTCACAAAACGAATACGGATCTGCTTCGAAAATAAACAAAATATGATACAGTGAAAATATTTATTCAGACACGTATAAGACACAGAATATTCTAGAATAATAGTCAATAACAATATTGGTGTTTTTTTCTATATAATATCGATTTGTAAAGTAAGATCAATGGAATTAAAGTCCTAATGATATTAGATGGTTGGAGGCAATCAGCAGGAAGCCTTCGATTTACATTTTGTACTTGTTGGCACTTACCACCACCAATCAGCAAGGTATATCTGCAACCAAACAAAGGACTAAACATATAACACTAGTTACTAACTAATGTCCAATTAAAGTATCCAATACAGTCCTACAGGAGGTCAATCGCGAGCCCGAATAGCTCAGCTCTGACGTCTTTGACTGCAGCACTGGGTGACGCGGGTTCGAGTCTCAGAAGGGACATAAGTTCCTCCAAGGTTACAGATACACCTCGCTAACTGGTGAGTGCCAACTAGCATGAAATCTAGGTCCAAAGCTTTCTCCCGATTGCCTCCAACCATCTAACATAAACAATTCAAAGTGCACTGTGATGGTGAACTACCTAATAAAAATATGATAGCAAATAGAATATCAACTAAAATTAAGGAAACTTCTACAAAAAGTTGAGGATTATTCGAACCTAGGTGGCCAAGGTAAGGACAATGTCTGAACTAGCTTCTTTTGGACACATAAATTAGGCTTCTTAATGTGGATCCCAACACCCAGCCTCAGCAACATGTGTAGTAGACGAACTCTTAAGGCAAAGTTAAGATTTGTTGGTATGCGGTAAATGACTTTGAAAGCCGCCTTGTTGACATCAATCTTGTGCTCTGTATCCACAAGATGAGATAGAATAGCGCTACGAATTGATTTTCTTTGTCGTTTACTTAACCACGAAGGGTGATTGATGTTCGGAAGAAAAATATGATATCACTGCTAATAGAATGCGTTATATTGTAAAGTGATGTTGATCAGCTTTATCTGAGTAAAGATTGTTTACGAAGGACTGAAACACATCTTTGACATAACACATATGACAGCAGTATACAACATTATTATATTTCAACGCAGATTTTGTCAAGATCCGATATGATTCAGAGAATCACTGGAAACCAAACAACACTGGATTGCTATTCCTGTCTTAGTTTGGTACTCTTCAGCGGTACTTGCCCAAAAACCAGGATGGATGTGTTCAGTTTAACCAGATGAACCTGTTCACTAGTCAGTCAGTCAGTCATTGGATGGAAATCCAATTATTACTAGAAATGAAGAGTACTTCAGAGGAAGTAGATTCAGTAAATAAAATCAAGTAGACCCTTATCACTCAGATGAAATCAGTTTGGAAATCTTCTGCTTCTGTACTCAGCACAAAGAACAGAACTGGGATTTTCAACACCAATGTTAAGTCAGTCAGTTCTTCTACGTGGTTCAGGAGACTGCAGTACGCGTGAAGGAAAGCATTACCAACAGCTAGCTGGAGACTTTTATCAACAGCTGCCTTCACTAACTCCATACTGAAGATCAGAGAGCCAATCGGAAAAAATAAGCGATAAGGAACTCTGCCGAAGCTACTAAGAACCCGTTACCCAACAAATATTCCGAAGGAAATGGAGATGGATAGGACACAAACTGAGGAGATCACTGAGTGACATAGCGCACCAGGTCGTCGACTTAAAATCCGAATGGCAAAGGACAAGTTGGGCGCGTGTTCGAAGATGATATGGCGCAGATAATGACAGGAGGAGATGAGACACTGTAGGCGATTGTGGGGCCAACTAAAGAGGATCGCAGAGATAGGACAAAATGGAGATGTGCTGTTAAAGCTAAATGTTCCACTCGGAACCCAAGGGAAAAATAAATAAATAAATAATAAAATAATGTAACTTGAGAATATCTGTATTAACTAACCGTTTCTTAGTGATTTCCAAAACTGTAGCACGTATAAAGGATTGATTCTGGTCTTTAAACAACTGATCATTTACAGTGCACCCATCTTCAACCCTTTAAAATGAAATAAAAACATCCTAGTGATTTATAATAATAATAATAATAATAATAATAATAATTAACCGATGACTTAAAATACAACGTCCAGCTTAGCTTAGTTCTTGAAAACAAAGAACAGATGAGCATTCAAGTATTGGTTTGCAGGGATTTGATTGGTTTCAGGATTTCACCATGAACTGATAGCTATTTCGTCCTAGTTTAGGACTCTTTATCGATACGCATCCACTGAGGTTAAGACCCAGGACCTTCTGGTTACAAGCTGAGCTTGTAAACCATTAGGCCACTGGGACCCGAACCAATGGCCCATCAGTTCCAAATTCTGTCATATGAGCCATATGAGAAGCTTTCTAAGTGATAGGAATAGATTAGTCAGTTCATTTCATGAAAAGAATATAGGCCAAAGGTTTGATAGTATGTCAGCATAGGACTCTTATGTACGACGTTAACGTTGGACATGAGAGGTGGATACAAAATCGATATACCATGTCCCCAGAATACAAGCTACCATTGGATGGCAGAAGAAGCATCAAAGATGGGACTTCAGGTGAACATAGAGAAAACAGAGGTGATGAAGATTCCTCGGCTACACCACCAACAGCAACAACAACAGACAATAATCAGCATAAATGGAAGGAACCTGAAAGGAACAACCTCTTTTACCTACCTGGAAAGCATCCTTTCAACTACAGACAGGCGGAACTGACGAGGATATCAAAGCAAGAATCGGAAAAGCAAGACAAGCTTTCACTTCTCTCAAGTCTGTGTGGAGGTCAACAACACTACTCACCATCAAAAATAAGATCCGGATTTTCAACTCCAATGTGAAGTCAGTCAGTGCTACTATACGGATCAGAGACTTGGCTCGTCATAAAGAGCATCTCAAACAAACTACAGACCTTCATTAACAGTTGTCTTCGCTCAATACTCAAGATCAGATGGCCGGCCAGAAAAGATCAGCAACAGAGATCTCTGGCAATGAGCGAACCAACACAACAGGAACCGATTGTGAAACAAATAGGCAGGAAGAAATGGAGATGGACTGTCCATACTCTGAGGGAACCATCAAGTGACATCACTAGACAAGCCATCGCTCGAGTGGAACCCGAAAGGGAAGCGGCGAGTTGGTCGTCAGTGCAAGGGTGACTTAAAGGAGGTCATGTGAAGAGGAGATGAAAACGTGTGGGCAGGCTTGAAGCCAGATGAAGACTCTAGCAGGGAACCGAACGCAATAATAATAATTGGATGGATCTACTAATTGGAATTATCCAACTACCACCACAAGACAGACAGTACGTTTCCTAATCGATCCAACGAAGAGTAGATACTAAATCATTCTGGATATTTTTGAGGGCGAAGTGATAAGGGGATCAAGGTCAGTCTGGAAATAAACCATAGTTGGTTATACATCCTTATATGGCTATCTTCACTCACGCATACACCATCAGCCATGCACACATCCTTTTATGGACATCTCTTACGCTTCGATATTGGTCATATGTATACATATATATATATATATATATATATATACGTTTCCTTTTGTAGATATACTGTTACTTCCCGTCTCGTCTTTTACGTGCTCTCGCTTAAGCAGAGGGCTGAGAGATCGATTAGCCCTACGTTGTTGACGTAGACAAGCGGTATTCGTGACCAGTGCGCCTAGTGTCCAGGCTCATTGTCCCTATTCAACTCAACATATTGCATAATATAATAATCGTACGGCGTTGAAACAGTTTCTTTTAATCATTAGTGTACTTATATATATAACCACCACTCGCCGCACCCCGCATGTCTACCGATATTCCATAAACCAGACAGAACAGTGTCTTCATACAATAAATATGAAAGAGTCCACTGTAGACTAATATAGGATCTTAGTGAGCCATATTTACTTTCCAGTCAAAGTTGTACTTTTAACTAGAGATAACTTTAAGAATAACCTGAAAAGGTTTTAACATTCTGAAAGACGTCGACCATATCATCAAAATCAAAACTGTAGTCCCAGTGAGATGGTAATTACAGAAATGAGCTCCACTATTAGATTAGTAGTCCTATTTATGAGGATATCTTACTACCAGCCAACGAATTTGATAAACAGAGGGATAGTCGAGTGTAAAAGCCTACACAAAGTGAACCAGCCCAAGCTGCCATACTTCGATCTGACCAATATCAAATACCACCTAAGAAGAGATGGTCGTCACATTTCAAAAAAGAAAGAATGAAATCACATGAGATACTTCAATCAATAGATCCTGTGCTTAACAGCATCCTAACTTATGAATTTTTTTACATATTGTATATTACGTGCTACAGACGATATAGTCCTTCTAGTCGAGGACGTTGACAAAATGCAGAGTCTTCTAAACACCTTGAGCTGCAATCTGCGTATGTTTGGAATGCAATTCGCCCGTGTAAAATGTAAGATGATGTTGAAGCATTGGACTACACCGACTCCTAGATTAGAAATAGGGAGTGAAGTGGTAGAGCACGTTGACCGCTTCACTTACTTGGGAAGTACCATCAGCTAGCACCAGTGGGTTGATCACTGACGAAATCTCAGCACGAATACAGAAGGTTAGTTTCGCATATGCCAGTTTACGCCATCTCTGACGTAGACATGATATCCGGCTGGTTATCGACCAAAGGGCGTGTGTACTGCTCAGCAGTCCGCTCCGTCCTCCTTTATGGCTGTGAGACCTGGCCATTGAGAGCGGAAGACATGAAAAGCCTGGCTAGCTGTCTTTCATCATAGGTGACTGTGTTCTATCTCCCGTGTGAAGTGGTATAATAAGGTGAGCAATATTGAGGTTAGACGTCGAGTGCTAGGTAAAGAAGGGAAATCAATCGACGAGGCTGTGAAGCTACATCGACTGAGATGGTTAGGACATGTGTTACGTATACCTAGTCATTGCCTTCCTCGACAACGTGTAATGTTATCTGACATAGGGTCATGTTGTAAAAGAGCCAGCGGCAGTCAAACAAAAACATGGCACCAGTTAATGAAATCCACAACAGTAAGTCTAAGCCACGTAGGAAGGTGTAGACTGGTTAACTGGTTGGAGTCCTCGGGACGGTAAGAACCAATGGTTGGAAACAATTGGTGATATGGCTCAAAATCGTTTTCAATGGCTAGCGCAGATGCATCCACTCCTTGTGACTTATGATTTCCAGTGAAACTATATTGTTCTTCGTTATTACTATACCTTTGTCTCACATCTCTGTTTACTGTCTTTATTATGCATTTCTCCTACTTTTTTCTCTTGCTTTGTGTGCTACATGGAGTGTGGTGACTTGAACTGCCGCACATATGTGCAAAGTTCTATGTCGAAAACAGACAGACATATTGTATAACTAACGACAAAGTTAAAATATAAAAAAACGGACAAGTGAAATAAAACACAAAACTCGAATACCGTCAACTGAAGACAACGAAGTTACCTACTTTTCTATCTCTTTGGTTTCAGGTGTCCAATCGCTTAAATTAAGATCCTGTAATGTCTCATCATGGACAACTGACTGTGTAATCTGCTCCTCACCACCAACTAGCGTTTTCGACACTTTTAAATCCACTGACTCGTACTTACAAGTCTTGCTACTTGATATGTTGTTTGTCTCCACGACCAGTTCATTTAAGACATCATCTAAGACAGATAACTCCTCAGTATTAAGATGAATTCCTTTAGGCGCAGAGAGATTTGTTTTCTCCTTATTGGTTGAAATATTTACGTCCTTAGAATGAGAAATACACTGGTCATCTATCTTCATACGTTTTGCAAGCTTTTCAACAGGATTCACGACTAACGGATCTCCTGTCAACTTGCAGCTTGACGTTAAGCATGTTGTAGTTAAGGCTTTGGACACCATCATTTTAGCCCGACTACTGGTGTATAAAGACTGACATGATGCTCCACTCTTAAATACCTCATTACTTGATGTCACTTTTATGATGATTTGGTCTTGAGGAGCATAATTTAAAAGATCATAATTCCCTCGACGCAGCTTAGCAGAAGCTCGTGCCTGTCGATCAGCACGCATGAAATCATTTTCATTTGGATCGACAGGATCACCAGAAAGTAGATCAGTCAATTTTGATCGTACAATTTCTTCACGTCGAATTGTAAATGATGAGCGACGTGTAACTGCTGTTCGCGTTTTACTCCGTGGCGATGGTGATGGTATTCTATGCAATTGTAGATTTCCTAAAGCTGCTCTTCCAGTTAATGGAGTTTCTAAACTTCGAATACTGGTATCCGGTGTACCGGGAATAATGAAACTTTCATCACCATTAGACTGTTTACATTCTGGAAAAAAAAACAGAAGAGAAAATTGATCACATATGTATCACTTTAAGAATGCATACTAACAAATGAAATATAAGAAACTTTCATCAGATTGGAATATTTTTTTATTCCTTTACGTTCCCAGTGGAACATAGAGCTTCAAGCTTTAGTTTCAGTAGCAGTGGTGTTTTTACAGGGTGGGGTATCTAGCCTCACGCCCAACCTTTCCTCCTTGTCTAGCTAAAGCAGGTAAAGGAGTGCGCCGGTCGGGACTCGAACCCCGGACCACGTCATGGTCGGCCAACGCTTAGATTAGAATATATATATATGTTTTTTCAATGCAACAATGATAGCAGGTACGACGTACTATCGACAGTTTCCACTTGTACCAAAGATACATGGATGATACTTTCATCATCCATCTGACATCGAAATGATAACTAAAGAGTTCAGCAGATGCCATCCCATCCAATTCACGTCGGAATCAGAGAGGAACTCGGAATTCCATATTTTTTGTAATGTTTTTCTAAGAAGGAGATCTAATGATTCTCTTCAAAGATCGATCTACAGGAAACCGACATGGAATGGTCAGTACACAAATTTCCATAGTTGGGTCTCATTGAGAAGAAAGAAACCTGATCTATTCCTTATCCTCAAGAATAAGAAGGATATGTTCCAGTGATAAAATCGACAGGGAACAGGAGCAACTTAAACAAGTCCTCATAGAGAATGGATATCCTCCAAGATTTATCGAGGAAAACATGAAGTTAAAGCAAAAGCTGAAAAGAAGCCAGACGGTGCCGAAGAAACAGCTATTTATGAGCCTTGAATTTAAAGGTGATTACGCAGCTGAGATCCTGAAGAATCGAAGATTTAACACCAGTAGAATTATGTGTTGACTGAATCATAAAATTTACGCAACAACAACTTAAACCTGATTTTAATTCAACTGACTTCAAAAAATATCTTCATTTAAAAGAATTCAGCAAACAAACAAAAACAACTTTAACTTCTATCAGGTCACAATATCGAGGAAAGGACAACGAATGCCATTGATGAGCATCCTTCCTATACCTGAATTGACGGATCACTGAATTCACACTCAGTGTTTGAGCAGTTTCCAAAGGGCTCGCCTTATAACCAGGACACCTTGATTTCATGGATGAGCACTGCTGAAGAGCTTGGAACTGGGACGAAACAGCTGTCTAGTACTCTATGACTTTCAATAATTCTCTAACTAATGTTGTTGGTTCATGACAGTATCGATATTGAAATAACTCACAATCCCTACGAAAAACAAAATCTGAAGAATAGAAACCCAAATGCAACTATGAAAAGCCAAACAATTAAGAGTGATAGATTTTTTTTCTTACCTGTTAACGTAGAACTTGTATCCAATATTTCATTAGTACAACTTTGTGATGAATTTTCCGCCTTCTGTAAAATTGAAATAAGACGTGAAAAATATTTTTAAATTCAAATAAAAATGTAATCATAGATCCAAGGAAAATCATGATTGCACTCAAAGAGAAAAAGGAGTATTACAATAGAATATATATATGTTTTTCAAGTATTGGTTTGTAGGGATTTGATTGATTGGTTAGTCACAGGATTTCATCATGAGCTGACATCGATTATAGAACCATTGGGAAACCAGCTGGAAGTATTGGATAGCTGTTTCGTCCCCGGCCTACGCACTGGTAAACTTCGCTTAGCCCGCCGTAAGCCTGGTAAAGAGGAAAGAGGTCAGCAACCTCAACCTCCGTGGAAAAACACACCGCTGCTATTGAAACTTAAAAATTGGAGCTTGGAGTCTTGTATTTCAATTACAATACAAAAAAGGAACAAAATATTAAAATATAGCAAATAAGCAGATCTGGACTTTCGAGGTTAGTTTAGTCTCATTGAAAAATAATTGCCATTAGATTCGAAACATACTGATGATTATACGCAAAACTTGATAGAGTTCCAAACTTCCGAATTTCATCTAGGATATTCGACGACGGGGCGAGATTCAAATCTGGAGAAATTCCAAAGTATCACTTCAAGTCATCTAAGTGTTCATAATGAATGAGGCTGCAGTCTATGAGTACTCCAAGTCACCTCAGAAACTGATATAAGTATAAAACTTGGGCACTGTGATAGAGTGTAACTCCATTATGGATAAGATTTTATTTTGATAAATCACACAGTGTTTGCTGTACAGTAATATTAACTGATGACCACGTTTCGAGCACAAACTATTGCTCATAATCATATCAAGTTACTCACACAACTTTTTAATTCATTTATATACATGTGTGGAATCGATTAGATATTTGAATAAAAATCAATATGAGATAATGTACATTTGGAAATAATAATATGAGTGTTATTGATGAATTACAATCAGATGGGAAATAAGACGAGTGTTTTTCTAGCCATAATAAGTTACTTGTTAGAATGTTGTGATGTGTTTGAATTGAAATCGAATTTTAAGATTATTTATTATCCTCTTCCGATTTGACCGGTGGTAATAATATCTTCCATATTTCTGGTATTTGCATTGAGTCATTTCTGTTGCATGTGTTAGGTGTAGACTCAATGAACAAGGATTCCGAAATCAACCTCTCTCTCCACCTACCTATGTTACTCTTGAGAATTTTAACCCTATCCCACCCTATTGTTTGGTTGTTTGTTAATGCGTGAAGTGCAATTGCTGAGCTTTTTTCTAAATTACTTATCTTTTCAGGGTCAATCATTTTTCCCTTAGCTAAATTCTTATGTTCTGATAATCTGACTACCCCCGACCTACTAGTGTGACCTATGTAATTGACTTCACAGTCATTGCAAGGTATTTTGTAAATTGTATTATTTTGTTTAATTGGGTCAACAGGGTCCTTTAACCTACAGAGCTTGTCCCTGAGTGAGTTTGTAGGTTTGAATGCCACGCTTATTCCTGCTTTATTAAGAATCCTACGTAGTGCCTCAGACGTCCCCTCCTTGCACCTAACACATGCAACAGAAATGACTCAACGCAAATACCAGAAATATGGAAGATATCATTACTGCCGGTCAAATTGGAAGAGGATAATAAATAATCTTAAAATTCTATTTCAATTCAAACACATCACAACATTCTAACAAGTTACTTATTATGACTATAAAAACACTCGTCTTATTTCCCATCTGATTGTAATTCATCAATAACACTCATATTATTATTTCTGAATGTACATTATCTCATATTGAATTTTATTCCAATATCTAATCGATTCCACACATGTATATAAATGAAGGAAAGAAGTTGTGTGAGTAACTTGATATGATTATGAGTAGCAATAGTTTGTGCTAGAAACGTGGTCATCAGTTAATATTACAGTATAACACTGTGCAATTTATCAAAATAAAATCTTATCCATAATGGAGTCACTTCAAAAACATCTAACAGGAAAACTAATCGCTTCAAAAGGCGAAGTTCGGACCGCCATAAATGATTAGTCTTCGACCGAGTGAAATGAAAACGAACAGACAAATATCAATTGATGCTATCTATAACTTAGATCACAATAAGCATTAACAGGAGCATCAGTGTTGCAGCACAAAACCCAAACTAAAGTTAAGAAGTAAATATAAACCCTTGAATAGTATTCATAATCAAAAAAAAAAAATACAGAGTAATGAAAACCACAGAAGTACTCACTTTACCAAAGAAATTTAGCAGGCTTGACTGTTTCATTCCCGTAAGTCAATCTGAAAGAAAATAATGAAATATCAAGGAATTTCTAAGTGTATTAAATAAATCTAACAAACATTTTTTGATGTGAAGAAACGCTACCCACTCCTCTTACAGTTAAATTAGCATTTACAACTACCTTTTTCATGAACTTCCACAGATATAAGTGCGTCAGTGGCACAATGGTTAGGACGCTCACCGACCATGCACATGGTCCGGGGTTCGATCCCCGGCCGCCAACGCACTCCTTTAACTCGTCAAGCCAGTATTAATACTGGTAAAGAGGAAAGGTTGGGCATGAGGCTAGCAACTTCATCCTGTAAAAATAAACACTGCTACAGAAACTTCAAGCCTCTAGCTTGAAGCCATATGTTCCACTGGGAACGTAAAGGAATTGAAATCCACAGATATAAGTTTTTCTAAGCTTGCTGGTGTACACTGACTGAAAATATAACTTCAGTTTTCAAAAATGATGATGGATACTGCCAGGAGATTCAATAAACAACTGAAGACTGTAACGTCACACACCCATCACTCTAGTCAAAAGTCTGCAAACACCCCTAAAGTCATTTCAAACAACATCTAACTCATGAAAAGTAACAGACAGGATATAGAAATTACATTATGAAAGGCAGACGAGTAGAAACCTTCCAAAATAAAGGGGGAAAAAGCGCAGTTGTATTCTGAACCAGTAAATACTGAATATCTGGAACCTTCCCTCTCTCAGTTTTTAACTAATGTATTTGTTTGCTTAAAGTAACTTTAATGAAGCTATTTTGGTCGGCGGTGACTAACAATCTTGAATTCAAGATGCGCATTTCGTCCTAATTAGGACTCGTCAGCCAGAGTACCATCGAAGTGACCGTACTAGGAACCGGCATGTTAACACAAACCGAGCATCTCGTTCCAACATAATAAATCAACGGGATATGCGAAAATTAACCAAAAAAACACGCTTTTACAAAATTAAAATTATCCACACAATTAGATTGACTAAGTGTTTAATTCGGCAAAGTTTTGCACACTTTACTTCCCTTCCAAAATGTTAATAGTAAAATCACAAAACAACCAGTAGGCTATCATTTGCCGTACTAACCACATGGTAAATATCTAATGCCTAGATTTCAGTCAACACATCATTGAGCAGGACTAAACAGTTGCCTTGGTTACATACAGTCTAGCAAGGAATTTGTGAACTAAAGCATGTCATTTGGTGCTGTATACAGTTGACAAGATACAATCAATAATCAATAGAATAATGCTATTTTGTGTATATTACTGTTTGCGCTCTTATCACAACAGAAAGGACGAAAGCGACACGCCCAACATACAATGTGATATCTAATCTATTACTAGTAGGCTTGCCATTGTACTAAAAACAATCACTCTTTAACACTATTTAGTTCTAACTTTTCTTTGCCCGGTAAAATTTCTACTAGTAAGGATTTTCAGGATCCGGAAGAATACAAGGAGGGAATACATTTGCTCCAATGAGAACGTATTTTGAACCTTATCACAAACACTCTCCGATCAGTGATTCTTATCACCTTGAAGAACCAAGTCAGACAGCCTACACCATCACACATAGTTCAAACCAAGAGTCAAAGTCTGCATGGACTGATGTCATCTTTTCTTTCGAGCACCTCGAACTTATTTCCAAATTAATCCTACTTCAGTTTATGTTGCTTATCAATGAAAGCGGTGACTCGGCACATCTAATACGTCTCAGCCATATCAGTCGACGCAGTTTCATCGAGGTCAATAAACAGGATCACAACCGTTAGTACACCTACAATGAAAGTACTTAAGAATGGTGGCACTAAACATTCCTTAAAAACGCCACCGTTTATTGCCACTTCGAAAGAAAACTCCATAGGCTCTTACAAAAATGCATAAGTTCGGTTAGGGTGCCTTGATTAGTATAATACATTTTCTGGGTACTTTCTTCACAGCCAAACACCTCCCAAGTGACAGAGTTCAATGCCGTCTTTAGGCCAACAAGTATGATAAATGTCGGACACTAGTAAGTGCAACCGTATTTAACAACCTGTCGGAGGGTAAAGATGTAAACAATACAACCTCATCCGAGCCTGAACCCCTGAGATTTATTCATCCAGAGCTGCACTTACTCTCCATAGAACTATGCTGATGAAGCCAATCCCCCTGTGATTATTACATGAGGAGTTATTACCTTATAAATCGGGATGACCAATGACATACACCACCAGTCCGGTTGAACAACCTCGTATTTCCATACGTTAACTAACACCCTACTTAATGTAGTCAGTAATTCAACGCCATGAAAACATCCAGAGTATGGCGTCAAGTCCTGATGCTCTTCCTCGTTTTAGATTACAGATAGCTTAAACGACCTCGATTACAGCTGAAGGACCGATGTCTACATTACATTCATGTAGACGCTGAATGGTAGTCAAGTGCAGTGGGACAGTTGAACTAATCCGACTAAGCCGGATTAATCGAATAATGTGAAAAGCTGTGACACATAACCTAGCACAAAATCCTTCATAATACATAGAAACTTAAGCAATTACTCTTAAGTGATGGAAAAATAGCATTTTTTGGACGAATTCACAATTAATCGTACCCTCCACCTTTTTACAATATCCACAATGTATAATAAAGTCAACATGGTAAATATATCAAACAAAGAGCTACTCGGCACTTGTCTAAACTGTCACTCTATTTCGTCTTAAAGACGGTGAATAAATCAAATCCGTACAGTCTCACTGATTAATCGACTTTTACATACACTATTTATATTCAATTTCAACACTACTCACTATGTGTGACACCATTACACATTCACTACAGAAGACACCTAAAATCGAAAACACGTAACTTCCACAAACCTTCAACCTGCAACACCGATAACAAGTCATAGTTATTTGCCAGGACAAACTGTTACATGGTATACAGACGGTTTAATGCCTAATCCCTGCTTGAGATAACCTCAATTCACGAAATATCAAACTGTATTTTCACATCAATGTAGAGTTCCCGACCAGAAATCAACCGATCAAGCTAAACACTACTGATCAAACCTACCTTCTTATTCCTTCTCCTTAAAACAGGATAGGACGCCACTAAATCATTTAACAAACAGTAATCTCGACATTTTTTATCCGGTAACTTCATTCAAACAAACAAACGCTCAATAGACAACAAATAAACCTTTGAAGCGCTAACTTTAAGCAGAGCTGCTTACATCAGCACATCTATAAATGAAACTAAGTGAAAAAGGTGAATGCACACATTTCTAGCAGACACATTTTCAGATCCTAGTTCTTATATGGTTGGATCCATCTAATTTACACATTATTGATTAACACAATTTTATTGCATGATAGTGCATCGCATAACCATAACACTTGTCAACCTAACAAGTGGAAAAATATTCGAAGTTTAAGGCGTCAGTAGTTAGGGCGGTAATCCCAATCCGATCACAGAAGGATGATGGTTTGATTCACGTAGGTTTCACCAAACGTTAGACGTGCCTGGCCGTACTTTTCAAACATGCTAAGATTCTGTCAGTTCATTTTAAGCTTATAAAAAATTATCCTGACGACTGAGTGCTTTAATGTATGTTTGTTTTGAACCCTCAAGAATGATTACTGAGTGAAATACTATGTAAACTCTGATAAAAACAGTGTTAATTATTATTCCCTTGGGTTTCAAGTGGAAAATAGGGCTGAAAACACACATCTCCAATTTCGTCTATTTTTTGCCATCCTCTTCAGCTAGTTCCACGATTGCCCATAATCTCTCATCTTGTCCTCGCACAATCTCTTCCATGTCACCCTCAGATTCACAACCAACTCGTCGTTTCCCAATCATGTTACACTCGAGCGATGGTCTGCACTGAGCATGATGTCATTCAACAGTCTCCTCAACGGATCGGCTGTCGAATGAGGCCGATCCAACTACATTTTCTCCTGTATATTTGTTAAGCAATCGGCTCTTGGTTGGTTTGTTCCCAGCCGGAGTTTCTTGTTACTAATTCTTACTGGCCAGCCGGCCATTTGATCTTCACCATACAGCCAGTGAAGCGGGAAGCTGTTGATGAAATTCTGCAGTAGCTTGATGGAAATCTTTTTCGTGGCTGACATGCAGTGCAAGTTTCTGACCCATATAGAAGAACAGACTGACTTCACACTTGTGTTGAAAATTGGAGTGCAGAAGATTTCCAAACTGATTTCAGGTTGATGAAGGCGTATCTTGCCTTTCCGGTTCTGACTGTCTGGCTTTCATATCTTCATCTGTTCCGACTGCCTGTGGTTGAAACGATGCTTCCTAGATAAGTGAAGAAGGTGATCTCTGTTAAATCTCTTCGTTGATGCTGACCGGTGCTGGTTGCTGTTGGTGCGTGGTTATCATCACCTCCATCATCTCTATGTTCACCTGGAGTCCTATCTTCGCTGCCAGCTTCTTCAACCAGTTTGTTGGTTTTCGCCTGTAAGTCTTCGAGTTTGTGTGACATTATACATAAATCATCCACACGCGAAATTCAGATTTTCTAGAGTCTTCGAATCTGACGGTGCAGCGTATTCCTGTCTTCTCACTCCCAGCGCACAGTTTGACAAATAATTCAGTCCACTACAATTAAGAATATCACCGGTGAAAAAGACCACCTAAAGAACAGCGACCACAGCATGAGAACATACCAATGACCGTGAGCCCATACCATTTGTTGGATTACAAAACCTGACGTTATTACAGAGTCATTACGAAGGCTGTGTAGAAATTGATGTGCGAATTTCATCCGAATCTCGTCTCTAAGTACTATTCTGACACGTTAGGGTTAGGGTAATTACGAAGGTTAGGGTATTTTATTATTATCTGCCTTTTTCTTGTAAATAAATAAATGGGAAGAGAGTGTTTCGTTGTTAATAAAGATGAAACCGTTTAGATACCTACGCAACTTGAAAACTGATACCCATTATTGTAACTGGGACGTATTTTTGAGTTACGTCAGGGTAAAATAACGCTTTTAATGTGTTTCACTATTACTATGTTAATAGCATTGATTCAACTACAGGCGACAGAACGAATAAAGATGTCAAAGCTAGTCGGAATCGGAAAGGCGAGATACGCCTTCATCAACCTGAAACCAGTTTGGAAATCTGCACTCAGCCAACCAGAATGAAGAACAAGATTCGGATTTTCAACACAAATGTGAAGTCAGTCAGTTCTTGTATGCAGGTCAGAAACTTGCACTGCGTGTTAGTCACGAAAAGGATTTCCAACAAGTTACAGACTTCAATCAACAGCTGCCTTTCGTGGCTCCATACCAAAGATCAAATGGCCGGCCAGTCAGAAAGAATTAACAACAAAGAACACTGGAAACGAAGTAACCAAGGGCCGATTGTTTAACAAATATATAGGATAAAATGGAGTCGGATCGGGTATACGTTGAGGAGGCCGTCAAATGACATCGTGCTCAATGCCCAATGGGAAGCGATAATTGGACTGTCGTAGGATGACATCGAGGAGATCGTGTGTTGGGGAGGAGGAGATGAGAGATAATGGTCAGTCGTGGACCCAGCTGAAGAGGATGGCAGAAAATAGAACAAACTGGAGATGTTTTGTTGAATCTCTATGTTCCACTCGGTACCAAGGGGAATAATGACAATAATTGCTGCGTTAATTTTCCTCGTCAATAAACGGCTTTTTGATGTATATATAATACACCGCAGGTTCTGTAATCATCCAACGAGTGGTATATGTTGTTAAGGTCATTGGTGCGTTCCCACTCCGTGCTTGCTCTTCTTTATGCTTACCCAAAAAAGTAATCGTGAAAACAATTCTTGGAAATGATGGTTAACCTGAAGGAAAAACATTTCTCCTGTCACACATTTATACTGTATGCTCGAGTATAAATTATTTATACTACCCTACCAGCGTGAAAACTCTTACTTAGTATAAACACTACGAACGAACGAACCTTTTAAGCTGGGTAGGATTTCAGTAACAAATTGTTCCAGATAATAGTTACCTGTTGGGATAACTCACTAGCATGCCTTAGTTGGATAACAAAAAACTTCTGTTAGAAATTCATTTTTCAGACACATTGATGAATGTTCACCCACATAACTGTAGGTTTTATCCGTCAGAAAACTGACTTCACAATTCAAATCAAGCTATATATATATATATATTCCTTCACGTTCCCCAGTGGAACATAGGGCTTCAAGCTAGTGGCTTGAAGTTTCTGTAGCAGTGTTTGTTTTACAGGATGAGGTTGCTAGCCTCATGCCCAAACTTTCCTCTTCACCAGCATTATTTCTGGCTTAGCGAGGTAAAGGAGTGCGTCGGCCGGGGATCGAACCCCGGACCATGTGCATGGTCAGCGAGCATCCTAACCGCTATGCCACCGACGCACATATATATATATATATACATATATATAAATTGCACAACTTGAGAAGTTGCTCATCACACACACACAGGGTTCTCTGTACTCAAATATTTTGTCCAGTTTAAAATGTTCAAACTGACAGTATAATATACATCCGAAACAAACGTGAAAAACGTGAAAAAAGGCAATACACGGTGACAAAAGAGGAAATATGATGGGTATCAATTTATTAATGGGTAAAGTGGTTAGTTACAAAGAAAACATCTTTTCGAAGACTGATTTAGTTAAAAAAAAAGCAAAATAAATAAATAATAGAATATTATACTCAATTTGAACATATTAATATTATTTAAGTTAGTGATGGATCTATTCATTAAGATGAGAAGCACAGGGTAAATTACATTATGCAATGATACAAATGATAATTACAATTTCCTAGCCTAATGTGTGAAGAGTGTACAGTGGCGACCAAGTCGGCGCCTACACCTTTCCACTTTTAGATACATTCAGAGGTGGTGAGGCTGGCAGTATTAGTAGGAGTAATAGCGGTAGTAGTAGTAGTCGTTGCAGCAACCACTTCAACTGAAGTGATCTCTTCATGAGGAAGAAGGGGACTGGATTCACTTTCAAAAGAAATCATGTTGTTCGAGGTATCTGTATTACGTCTGTCTTCACAGGATAAATTTGGATTATACGGACAACCACGGCTCCGACGGTTAGTGGACTGTCTATCTGAGGACAAGTTGAAACGCCTGACACTATGGCCTAGATTAGAATGAAATCATAAAGGTAAAAGATAAGATGATCATTGTGAACTAAGCATGAATTTGATATAGGATGACAAAGTTGCAATTTAACCGGTGAATGATTGAAAAACAGAAAAATAATTACGCAAAAGATGATAAGAAGAAAAAGCAACTAAAACGTGAGAAGAATGAAGCTCAGTGGCATCCCATTATTATTATTTCCCTTCTGTTCTGCGTGGGAAATAGGGAAGCACATCTGCGTTTCACTTCATTCTCTAAGGGTTTTTAGATGGCTCTATAACTCACCAAAAGCTTTCATTTCCTCACAGAATCTCGTCCATATTACTCTCGAACATCCAACTCATCGTCTCCTATTCGGGTTCACTGGAGGGCCTGACGCGTAATTTCGCCCAAGGGTGTCCTCAGCGTGTACCCAATCTATCTATATTTCTTCGGAATGTATGTTGAGTAATAAGTTCTTCATTGGTTCATTCTCAAATTGGTACCATCATTTACTGTTTGTTATTATTATATATATTATTATTGTATGCATATATTGATTGATTGATTTTCACTGATTAAAAATGCCCATTAAAATTTTCAAAAGAATAGACACTGAACAAAGAGTACTCTTTTCGATAAATTCATCATCAGGTTCTACAATTATATATACATTATAATGAATGAATCAATTAGTCTCATAAAACAGCACATCAACATAAAATAAGCTGAATGTCAGAAGAATTAGGAAAGATAATATTACAAACTCATGAATTTACAGTCTCTACTGAAGGCCAGCCAGGGCAGTAGTAGGAGCTGGACTTGTTTCTTTTGAACACAGAGCACTGGATGTTTGAGGCGAATTGCAATAACTTCTGTTGTTTGGAGCATGCGGTACTTCGACGATTTTGGTAATTTGTTAGGCACCCGGTATATTATAGAGAAGGATTCTTCTACGCTGGCTTTGTGACCGGTTTGCACCAGATGGTCTAATATCGAGCTGTTAATAGTTTTAACTACACCTTTACTTAGCCATAGTGGGAGATGTTCTCGAGCCAGCACGAAAAATCAAGTTCCTAGAGCAACTACAGATATAACTCGCTCCATAAGTGCTGTTGAATTGGTAGATACAATTTGAAGTGGCTGGTCTAGGTATTTTATCTTTCAGTCGAGGTAGCACCATCGGTCGTGTAGAGAATTTCGTTTAAAAATGAACTCTGTGCAAGTATGTTAAAGTTATTTCTGGAGATCTACTTTAATAATGACTTTGGGCTGTAAGCAGCTGATGAGAAGCCAACGAAATAAACAATGATGGTACCATTTTATTCTGCAAAAACTGTTGTTCTTGCTTTATTCAAATCCATATAGAAGAACTGACTGACTTCAGATTGGCGTTGAAAGTCTCAATTTTGTTTTTTATGCTGACTGAGTGCAGCAGATTTTGAAACTGATCTTGGCACGATGAAGTTGTCTACCTTACCTTTCCAATTCTGGATTTGACATCCTTATTTGTGTTCCTGCCTCTGTTTGAAACGATGCTGCCTGTCGTTTCTATGTATTTCTAAATACAGCGGAATTAAAACTGATCAAACCATCCTTAATTATACGTTAGCATAATAATTAGTGAACTGAAATTAATTTTTTTTAAATAGTTAAATAACCGGAGGGTCCTGGGTTCGAACCCCAGTGGATGCGTATTGCCGACGAGCCGCAAACTAGGACAAAACAGATGTCCAGTACTCCCCGTTGGTTTTCAATGATTCTCTAACTGATATCAATCAATCCGTGGTCAAGTTAGAAAAACAAATAAAATTCCTGCCTACTAACTAACTCTTGAAAAGTAGACCAGAATTTGCCCAGACTTACCGATATGTCTTACATGTTCGACAACATCATGGCGCATGTCTGATACATCCCACATTGACCACCACGATTGACAGCAACCCGTTGTTGGAGCATCTGGATCCACAAATGGTGCACTACTGAAGGAGAAGTGATGCGCTATCGCGGCTATAAACATTTCGATACATATAGCAAAATTCTAAATGGATAGAAGGTATTGAAAACCATAAAAATTAGAATAAACATGTAAGAATATAGATTGCTTGAGAGGGACACTTGTATAATAATATCCTGAAACTAAAAATCCTACGCAATAATCAGAGGAATTAATTCATTTTATAGCCAACTGGGACCATGTGCCACCTAGGGAGACATACACGAGTTTAAAATGTAAGCTTGAGGGAGTATTTTTGGGTTGTTAATAAGAAACAGTTTCTCGCAAGTCAGACAATCGAAATCATCTTCTACAGTGCTAACGTCACTGCCAACTTCTCCATGCATAACTAGTGTCACTGTCCCAGTTTGGATCTTTTCTATGCTACCAAAATTATTGATTCAGACAGACTATGCTTCGAACGACTAACAATGTGTGTGCGTGTGTGAGAATGCTATACAATCAAACGTACTTGTTTGAACTCCGTTTATTATTATTATTATTATTATTATTATTATTATTATTATTGTTCCCTTGGATTCGTAGTGGAACAAAGGGCTTCAACTGCACGCCTCCACTTTCTTCTGTATTCTGATGTACTTTTCACCTGCATCCATGTTAGTCCATACTGTTTCAACTCCTGTTCACACGATCTCCTCCATGTCACCCTTGGACGTCCCACTGGCCTCTTCCCTTTCCGAGTTCCACTCGAGCTATGGCCTGACGCGCGATGTCACCCAACAACCTCCTCAGCTCAGCGAGTGTCCAATCCATCTCCACTTTCTCCTGCATATTTGTTGAGTGATTGGTTCTTGTTTTGTTTGTTCCCATAGTTTCTTGTTGGTGATTCTTTCCGGCCATCTGATCTTGAGTCCGTTTATTCTTAAGTATGCTATATTCCACCTGCTTTCTGGAGATCGAAATCATTACCCTCAGTATATTGATGTAAATCAATTGCATGTATTATCGCAGATAAATATCAAACGAAACTAGATCAGATGCTGGTTCGTAACTCCGCAGAAAATAAAAGCGAAGCTTCACATCACTTGCGGGAGCTAGTTTAGTGGAGAGTAGGCTAACCAGTCACCTAGAGAATAGCCTTCACAGCAAACACTTACTCCAGTTTTTTGATGCCTACCTGCTGACTATTTTAAGAAGAGAGCGCGGGTTGGCCTAAGGCTTTTATGTCCGAAGTCACTTTTGAGCACTCGGGTATTTTATAAATATTGTCCCAGTTGCTGTTTGCTTTGTGAATGATTGGATTTTGAAATATAACTGGTTCATGAAGAGTTAGTATGTACTGAAAGCAAGTTGTATTAGATTAAAACAAAAGTGCATGTTTAAAATCCCAGAGATCAGGTAAATAAGTGAATCATGATATCAACAAATACATTATCATTGTTAGTGCGTCGGTGGCATAGCGGTTAGGACGCTCGCCAAACATGCACATGGTCCGGAGTTCGATCCCCGGCCGACTCACTCCTTTACCTCGCTAAGCCAGAAATAATGCTGGTGAAGCGGAAATATTGGGTATGAGGCTAGCAATCCCATCCTGTAAAATAAGCACTGCTACAGAAACTTCAAGCCACTAGCTTGATGCCCTATGTTCCACTGGGGAACGTGAAGGACAAGTTTTATTCTTATATCAATGAAGGAAAAAAATAAATAAATAAAAAATTATTACTGTTCGCTTAGGTTCCGAGTGGAACATAGGGTTGAAACCACACATCTCAACTTTGTTCTATTTTCTGCCGTTCTCTTCAGGTACCTGGGCCCACGATTGCCTATGATCTTTCGGCTCTTGGTTCGTTCGTTCTCAGACAGTGTTTCTGGTTGCTTATTCTTTCTGGCCATTTGGTCTTCAGTATGCAGACAGCGAAGAGCGCAGCTGTTGATATAGGTCTGTAACTTGTTGGAAATGCTTTTCGTGACTGATACGCAGTGCAAGTTTCTGACTCGCATACAAGAGGACTGACTAAATTCACATTTGCGTTGAAAATCTGAATCTTGTTCTTTATGCTGGCTGACTGAGTGCAGAAGATTTCCAAACTGGTTTCAGGTTGATGAAGGCGTATCTTGCCTTTCCGATTTCGACTGACTTTGACATCTTCATCTGTTCCCACCTGTGATTGAAACCGTGCTTCCTAGATAAGTAAAGGAGGTAACCTCTTTCAAATTCCGCTCGTTGATGGTGATTCGTGCTGGTTGTTGTTGTTGTTGCGGTTCGTTGGTTATCATCATCATCATCTCCGTCTTCTTTGATGTTCACCTGCAGTCCTGTCTTCACTGCCTGCGTCTTCAGCCAATTTGTTGGTTCTCGTCTGCAAGTCTTTGAGTTTGTGTGACACTAAAAATAAATCATCCACTTGCGAAATCCAGATCTTCTAGAGTCTTCTTATCGGTCCAACGTATTCTTGTCTTCTCACTCCCCACGCATAGTCTGACACATAATCCAGTCCACCAAAATTAGGAATATCATCGGCGATAATAGGCAGTCTCGCCTAGTTTACTAGCTCGCTAGTTTTATAACCGTTCCCAAGTCCGAGAAAAGAGGGAGGGTTGGAAGGCTAGAGACTCTACCAAATGTAGAAACTTCGACAAATATATAGTAGAATGGAAAGAATATTACAGTCTTTATGTTTCTTCCACTCCTATGGGAAGCAATGCAAGGTGATAAATGCTAAATAAAATTTACTTAGTGAGTGATTACCTACTTGTTGTCACTATTTTCAACACTTCTATTTGTATCATGATTATATTATTTTGTGTATGTGTGTGTCACACTTCTTGATTCACACGCTGTATTAAGTTTCTGTTCAAATAAGTTAATGAGTGATAAAGTAAAATGCTTTCCATATCCATAGTGCATGAACTAAATCAGTTAACGAATCCTATTTACGTAGTTTTTTGCCGAATATTTACACTACTCATAAGTAGTAAAAAAGAGAAACAAATGTTTTATAAAAGAAACATATAAAAGTAATCAAAATCAATTATATAGGTCTTTTGTTTACTTGAAGAGCAATGCCAATCGACCGAACATCATAAAGCTTCCAAGCTTCAACTTTTCTTATCAGGCCAGTAGCAGCAAGCACAGCTATTAGAATGGACTGCCTATAAGATAAAATAGTAAAAAGAGATGGAACGGTAAGTTCTGAAAATATACTCTTCGAAAAGAATACAATATCCTAGTCTTCAGAAGACACAGAGGCTCCAGAAGACTGATTACTAGTAAACATTTGTATTCTAGAATAATTCTCTGAGGTGAAACGTTGGTTGGTAAACTCTTTAAGATCATGTTGAACGTTGCAATAAGCGCTTAAGTTGAAAAAGGATACTAATGAAAAACAAAACATGTAGTTGAGCGAAGAGTCTCTTTCCGGCGGCGAATTCATTCACTTAGCTGTACAATCACAATTATATACAATTATTTGTGTGTGTGGGTGGGTGTGTTCACTAGCTTTGTCAGACAAGAATAAAAATTAGTTAGGGTTTTTGTTTACGTCATCAAAATATTTCGAAATATGTGATGAATAATCAAATTGTAACTAAGGTGGGGGGAGGGTGAAGATTAGTATGCGGATAGTGGTGATGAGTTGTCAAAAAGTTAGTAGTGGCTCTATAAGAAGTGCGATAATCGAACACCTTATCAACACTTGGGATGAAAATCTCAACAAACGCCTCACCCCCCCCCCTCTTCAAAGTAATCTACAGAGTGAAGAAGAGCCTACCAAAGGTAATACGCTTTCGTCTCCTTTGTATTGCTGAAGCCTTAGCCATTCAGTTGGAAAAACCAGAGTTATGTATAAGAGAGAAAATCATTCAGCCACTTCTACAACAACAACCGTAAAAACCGTTTTGACTTCTACTGACTTGATGTTTGTGTGCCAGCTTTTCTAACTCATTTCCTCACAACTCTTACATAATTCCATATTTCCCCTCGTTTCTATATTCATCCTAATCAAAACTCACTCATTAAACTACACATCTTATTACGCAACTACAATACACTTATTCAACTTCTCTTGTGTGTTGATTAACATTAATAACTACGTTTTTAGATAACACACCACCACTACCCTCTTCACAATCTTCACACCCCTCCACCCCCTAGTTACATTTTGATTATTCTCCACAATTTTGAAATTTCTTGACAACAATAGCCCTTATTCTTATCGGGCAAACCTTATGTACACATACATACAAAAATAAGCATATATAATTGCGATTGTACAGCTAAGTGAATGAATTCGCCGCCGAAAAGAGACTCCTCGCTGAACTACATGTTTTGTTTTTCATTAATGTCTGGATGAGGATTGTTCATGAAAGCAGATACCACCGAACTACACTATTTCCTCGTAGTTCAATCTGCCACACCTAATACCTCCACACTCAATAAAATGTAATAAAAAGATAGTTAGAGAAATAAAATTCATATGAGAAAAAGGGAGAAAAGATAAAGCAAATTAATAAACCGGATATTATAATTGGGATAGGGTTATAAATGCATTTCCACAACTGCTATTGATTGAGTCATATCATCTAGCCACTAGTTCCTGTAATCACAGACAACCTACAACCCGTATGGCTATCCAAATCAACAGCTAATGACCTCCTTGCTGTGTCTTACTCAGTCTAACCTTATACTGGTCAAATTCTAATATAGTACTGACATAGCAGCAAAACGCCTCGCCTGGTTGACTAGTTCGCTAATTTTCTAGCCGCTCTCAAGCCCGAGAAGAGAGGGAGGGTTGGGCGTGGGGCTAGATCCTACCCCAGAAAATCAATTAGACTGCTACGGAGATTTCAATGTACCAGAAAAATATCAAAAAGATTTATCGCTGTTTTCGAAGAGATGAAATGATGTGGACTGGTGAAAGTCTTCGGGAAGCTAGTCAGCCACCCAGTGTGTCTTCTCTCGATGAAAGCAAGAATAAGAATGGGGACGTGGAATGTACTTACAATGTACGAGGCTGGGAAGGCTGCCCAGGTAGCCTAAGAAATGAGAAGATATGGTATAGAAGTGCTGGGAATATGCGAGAGCAGATGGAATGAATGTGGACTGTCAAAATCGTCATCTGGTGAGTCAGTAATCGACTCCGATCTAGTCAACCAAACGACAACCACGAGCACAATTAGGCAACGAGTGGCTACCATGATATCACCAACAGCAACCAAAGCTCTAGTGGAGTAGGAACTAATCTCCTCCAGGATTATGACAGCAAGACTCAACTCAAAGGAAGGAAGGTCACAATTATCCAATGCTACAAACAACTCAGAACGAGAGAAGGAAGATTTCTATAAACAACTACAAACAGTAATGGACAACATACCAAATGGCGAAGTCAAAATCCTGATGGGCGACATGAACGCCAAACTGGTGGCAGACGATACAAGAAGAGAATTTATCATGGGTCGACAGGCTCTCAGTGAAATGAATTATAACGGAAGAATCTTCACAGATTTTCTCGCCCTCATTGACTCGGTGACTGGAGACAGCCCTATGTCTCACTCGCAACCCAAAGGCAACAATAATAATAGCACCTCGAAACTGACGGTAGGCAGACATATGCAACCCATTTCCAGCTACTCCAGGCGATGGAATCTTATAGTTCCCTGACTTACATACGTGTTTTATCGAGGGAATTTTTCATAAAGTGGTTCCGCTAATTGTAAGCGATGACAAGAAGTAAATGATGATCAAATAATTAAAGTATTTTCCCAAAAAGGTTGATAGAGTTAGCGTAAATGTCAATCCTTTCTAAGAGTTGAAAGCTAACTTTATTTTAATGCGGCTTTGCATAACAGGGAATATGAAATAACATTAAAACTATTATAACAGTAACAGTAATAATAATGTATGAACGTACCAGAAAGACATGAATATGACGAACTTGACGCACAAAAATTTAGCCACTGGCTTCATGGGCTTCAACTCTTGACGAGCACATCGGTAAAATAGTACTAGACAGTAAAGCGCCCACTACCAATGAGAAAAATCGTAAAAATAACACTGTTATCACACATATGCTAGGTAGAACGAATGGGAAATTATAATGAAATGATCCTTAGATGATATCATCTAAACAGAATAAAACAATTCCAACAGTGGTGTGAACACGGGCAGCAATAACAAAACTTATCATTGTGTGTAAACTATTGGAATATAATTATACTTTATTTGATCTAATCCACAATGCTCAAACTTTTTACTGATATTAATCCATCTAAACAGGTTTGATAAGTTCTAAGTGAGCCTATAATTGACTCAAAACTTTATCCGATAAACAATGCTGTCCAACTTGATAAGCTGCTTCTCATCATAACGAAATATCACCTTTTAAACTAATACGAGAGTCTTCTAGTAAGAAAAGTCGGAGATATGCGCTGCAGGTTAAGCATATTAAAATGAATTAATATGGCAATCTATTCAGTAGTATACTATATAGATTGATTTTAAACGCCTAAAAAAGTCAGGACAAGCAGCTTTGTAGAAAAAAGTGAAGACCTGATTTGATGCCGAGTTTACACTTACCATCATTGATAAATAGTAGGGATGGGATGAAACATTAAACATAGAGAAGTATTTTCAAGTATTGGTTTTGTAGGGATTTTGTATGATTGCATGGAGGATTTCATCATGAGCTGACATCAGTTAGAGAACCACTGGAAAACCTGGAAGTACTGGACCGCTGTTTCGTCCTAGTTTGGGGCAGTAACTCATCAAAGGAGACATTACGAAATGGTCGCGCTATGTCATGAATTGGCAGAGGTTAGAATTCAAGGACCATTGGATCGGGTCCCGGTGGCTCAATGGTCTACGAGCTCGCCTTGTAACCAGAAGGTCCTGGGTTCGAATCCCGATGGGTGCGTACTGATGAAGAGTCCCAGACTAGGCTAACGAAACAGCTGTCCAGTACTCCCAGGTTTTCCAGTGGTTCTCTAACTGATGTAAGCTCATGATGAAATCCTCCATGCAATAGAGAAGTATATCAACAATTAAGAAAGAATTAGTAAACCAATAGAAAACACATAGAATTTCAAGTTGTTCGGACTTCTAAAGATTTAAGCCTATTTAAATCAATTTGCATATTTCAGCGCTGAAACTTTAAGGATCCTAAGCATAAAGTGAACGTCCAATCTTTCATACATGAACTTGAGAAATATGTATGTACATTTTCAATCACTGATAAATGGTGTGTGACAAACGTAAGGAAACTTGATTATAAAACGTCACGTATGATGTGGTGCTTTGAAGCATCACAGATAAACTACAAGAAATAAACGTAACAACTAAGACACCATATATGAAATTATAAATACTGAATAGACAACTTACAATTTGAGAGATATTATTGATTATAGTCAAGTAGAGAAAAGCATGATGAAAGTTGAAGTCACCCTCACCATACACACCAAGTATCTCACAAATTCTGTCGTTTGACAAGAAAATTAGAAACTATTAAATTAGAATTAAATTACTAAAATACATTAACATATCAGTGAAACCAAACACTTCTTAAGCATGCTGAAAAACACCATCTAGCGAAGGAGAACGATGCTAACACCATTGACACGGATATTGAAAAGACACTGTACGGGCAGCAACAAAATCATTTTCCAAAAACAACTGCTGTGAGGTTGAAAATTAATTCGGAAGGAAAAACACATGACGTCACTCATTAGGCAGGTTTACAAAAGCAAGTACCGTGATAAACACTTTAGTTTCTGGAGTTCAATACTAGTAAGATTCTTATATCAGTGGAGGACGGTATAACACAATCTCGAGAAACCTTAATGATTGTAAATTAAAGGCTGCACAATAACACAGACTGATTGAAAAAAACAGTCGAACTGACATAATCTTAGTTCACGTCAGAATTTCTTCAAATTCACCACCAAAATCAAATATAGTTAATCAAATTGGTGCAGTTCTACGTAGTGTAATAACAACGCTGCTAAAAATTCTTCGGAGGAAGTAAAGTGATTCTTTCCTAGGCATGGTTCTTTTTACTCTACTTAGCACTAAGCATCTTTACCTTTTGGAATGTGTTATGAAAACAGAGCTGCAAATCATTATTCTAAGCAAGTGAACATATCTTCTACTGAAGTTAAACAAAACAAATCACTAAATGATGCAGGTGCAGTTCGCAGCCACTAGTGCACACCACACAGATCACTTTAATTGTTTGAGATGTATTTGCTCTAACAAAAATACCATGAGGAAGCTTTTAGGATTAGAAAGTTTAATAACCTAGCTAATATGAATTACTGCCAAACGATTTAACCCGCGAGTTATTCAAGTACTTAGCATACACTTTGAATATTTACAATAATCAAGTATCATAAGAGTGGTAATATGGTCCACTCAGTTGACATTCGTGAAAAATTATTGTGAAAGAAACCTCAACAAACCAAACTGATAGCTGGTTACAATTTTTAACAGTGGATGGTCTAGCGAGTCAATTTTCATTCCCGAAGGGATTAAACTGCCTATGGAACCCGTTTATTCAGTGAAACAAAGAAATGGAAGCAGAAAATAATCAACGGAAAAAACCATATACACCACAGAGTGTAGGTACACCAGACTGTTAACCAGTGACAACAACAGTGAAACAATTAATGATGAGATTTTCATTGAATATGATTATCACGAGCATTCAAAAAACCCGGAATTTAATCAGACGCTTAGAAGCTTCACTAAGAGAACCGTATGAAGTAATTTGTAACAATCAGTTGAATAGGGTTGCAGGTGTTTGTCTACTAATGTCAACGAAGAGAAAAGGATATAAAATAAAGTACCAAGTGACGCATCCTTGCATTTGCAACAATGAATGAAAGAATTATCAACAAGGAAAATTAAAATTGTTATCATGAAGATATGAATAAAAACCTGATAAATCTCGGGCATGCAGTTAGACCACAATTAACTACCATATCACAAATAAACTTTGAACACTAAAACAACAGGTTGACACATAAAACAAAACTTACAAAGCGACTGCAGTTGTAAGAGGACGAATAACGGTATACTGCAATGCGCCGTGGCGACAGTGATCAATAAACCTTCTGGAAGATCAAAAATGACAACAGAAAATTATGTAATTAAGTTGAGGCCTCGAGTAACATTTACACGTAAACAACCCAGCTCTGAACCATGTTAAATTTCTGCAACCACTCCACTGACTGATTACCTTTAATAATTTATTAACGTTGAAATGCTGTAGGAATTGAATTTCGCTGAGACAATATTGAATAGTCCCATTTCAATTCAAATACAAAACTAGCGTTAAATACACCTCGAGATAGATTACAAATACGACCTAATCAGCCATATAATGGACCATCTTGAGTTGTCGCCTGAAGCTCAAAAGTGTGAATCGAAGTAAAACCGTGGACAACATCTAGTGTTCTAAATATACTAACTGACATCAGAATAACTAGTTGCATAATTATGAATGAACTATTAGACCATATGTGTTAACAGCAAGAGCCAACACTTACTAGTCAAATAAATACCCCCATCTGCTTGTGGAGAAACAACGTAGATGATTCTAATCATAAACTAGCTTCTGGTTAACATACATACATGTAACACAGCCACTGGCATATGTATCACTGCAAACTCAAGCAAAATATACAAAAACACAAAATAAGAAGAATTACCTTCCCATTTCCCATGACTTAAGAAAGCAAAAGGGTGGCAAGTGTTTCACTTGAGGTTTCTGTTTGACGACGTGCCCTAGGTCAGGATACTGGCTTTTGAGGTAGTTCAGCAAAAAGGCCAGAAAGTTGTACACGACATAGGCTTCGTAACATTCTCTCAATGTGTCAAAGTATATTGCATACTTCGGGAAAATCAATGCCATCCACTATTAAAAATGATCAATATTAGATATATATGCGACTTACTGCGTCGATTGCATATATCGGGACCATCCATAGAATTCTGCGGTAAAATTTATCGAAAAATAATCCTACCTGATGATATGTCTTTGCAGAAAGGGCTTAGTATAATTTATCACGTGTTCAATAATTGTCCAGAGTGAAATTGGTATTGCTCCAAGAACAAACAGTCCAGCAACAAACCAGGCGCTGACTATTGCTGGGGCTGATTTTTCATACAGCTTTAAAATCAAAAACGGAAGTGTACTACATATCAACAGAGCGTAGCAAACGACAAACACAGGCTTAATATAAACGCGCCAACCCATTGAAATCGCGGGAGGCGCCCTAACCTTAAGGTCATCCAGCATCTAATGTCATTTGTCTGGACTTATCAGTCACTTTGGTTGAAATTTCGCTCGGTAAATTTTTTGTTAATAGGTGTTAATAAAATTGTGTTATATGTCTTCTGGACTGATAGGAATTCTCATTTCCTGACTAGTCATGTTGGTGTCCGCGTCGTGTGATCTCACCGCGACACATTCTTAGAATATTGGTTGTAATGAAGGTAGACGTTAAATATCACGTTCTAATACCGCTGTTAAAATTTCACTTGGAAATTTTTTTGTTAATAATTTTTAATAAAATTGTGTCATATATTATCTGGATTGATGGGAATTCACGTCTCAGGATATCAATGCAGCCTATATTCGTGTGGAGAACAGTACTGTTTGCCACCAGTACATGTAAATCACATATAAACGCTGACAGAAGCAGCTGTGAACTACAAATACTTTCATTTACATGAGAATTTTACTTAGTATTAATAGGATCGGTGTGCGTCGGTGGCATAGCGGTTGGGACGCTCGCCGACAATGCATATGGTCCGGGGTTCGATCCCCGGCCGACGCACACCTTTACTTCGCTAAGCCAGAAATAATGCTGGTGAAGAGGAAAGGTTGGGCATGAGGCTAGCAACCTCATCCTGTAAAACAAACACTGCTACAGAAACTTCAAGAGACTAGCTTGAAGTCCTATGTTCCACTGGGGAACGTGAAGGATAAAAAAATAGGATCGGTGTAATCATATTGCATACTGATATGTAGAATTATCTTTTATAACTTCATGTTGTACTAGTCATTGCATGTGCTTTATTTTTTAGGTGCAAAGAGGTTGTCAATTGTGAAATCCGCGGAGATATCAATCGGTCAAACTAACGGTAATAACCTTCATTGAAATTTTTTTGCAAATTAATGATATGATTTGATAATTCCCATTGTAGCATTAAGAACACAATATTCAGCAAAGAGACTCTTTTCAACGAATTTATTATCAAGCTGTGCAATCGTACATATGTCGTTTTTAAAAAATTATATCCGGTGAGGGAGTTAGGTCAAAGGTGTGAATATGTAAAATAATAATAGTATGAAATGCAATTAAAATATTTGTGATTACAATCATAGTTTTATGTCAAGTGGCAAAATAATTAATGTCGTATATAGAATAACACATAAGGTGTATAGATTTTGAAAAGGGGTACGTAATTATAAGATTATTATTATTATTGTATCCTTTAATTCCTACAGGAACATAGGGCTTCAGCCGTGCGTCTCCATTGCGTTCTGTTCTCTGCTAGAGTCTTCACCTGGCTCCATGTCTGCCCACACGTTTTCATCTCCTCTTCACATGACCTCCTCCAAGTCACCCTTGCACTGACGACCAACTCGCCGCTTCCCTTTCCGGTTCCACTCGAGCAATGGCTTGTCTAGTGATGTCATTTGATGATTTCGTCAGAGCATGGCTAATCCATCTCCATTTCTTCCTGCCTATTTGCTTCACAATCGGTTCCTGGTTGGTTCGCTCATTTCCAGAGATCTCTGTTGCTGACCTTTTCTGGCCGGCCATCTGATCTTGAGTATTGAGAGAAGACAACTGTTAATGAAGGTTTGTAGTTTGTTTGAGATGCTCTTTATGACGAGCCAAGTCTGTGATCCACATAGCAAGTACCACTGACTTCACATTGGAGTTGAAAATCCGGATCTAGTTTTTGATGGTGAGTGTTGTTGACCTCCACACAGACTTGAGAGTAGTGAAAGCTTGTCTTACTTTTCCGATTCTTGCTTTGATATCCTCGTCAGTTCCGTCCGCCTGTAGTTGAAACGATGCTTCCCAGGTAGGTAAAAGAGGCTGTTTCTTTCAGATTTCTTCCAATTATGCTGACTGATCGTTGTCTGTTGTTGTTGTTCTTGCCCAGGAATCTTCATCACCTCTGTTTTCTCTATGTTCACCTGAAGTCATATCTTTGATGCTTCTTCTACTAACTTGTTGCTTTTCTCTTGCATATCTTCCAGTTTGTGGGAAATCAGACATATATCATCGGCGAAGTCCAGATCCTCCAAGTTTTTTGTGTGTCCATTTTATGCCTGTTTCCTCATTGCCCACTGTTTGTCGCATTGTCCAGTCTACTGCAATAAGGAAAATCATTGGCGATAGTAGGCAGCCAGCTTGTCTTACTCCTGTCCTCACTTCGAAGGGTTCCGTAAGTTACCCGTTGTGGATTACTTGGCATGCAGCATTGTCGTACAGCTGTTGGATGAGATGTATAATTGTCGGTGGCACCTCGTAGTAGCGAAGTAGTTGCCAAATCACCTCTCGATCGACTCTGTCTACTGAAGTCCTATTCAAAGTCGATGAAGCTGAGATAGAGAGGTGACTGCCATTCCAGGCTTTGTTCAATGATGGTCCGTAATGTGGCTATTTGATCAATGCAAGACTTGTTTCCTCTGAATCCAGCCTGTCCGGGCCGAAGTTTTTCATCAAGAGCTTGTTTGATTCTCTCCAGGATGATGTGGCTTAGTATTTTGCTTGGGATGGACAGGAGCATAATTCCGCGCCAGTTCTTGCATTGACTTAGGTCTCCTTTCTTTGGTAGTTTGAATAAGTATCCTATCTTCCAATACTCGGGTACTTTGCCTTCTTTCCACACCTTCTCCAGTAGTGGCGTCATCAAGTCCGCTGTTGTCTCTGGGTCCATTTTCAATGCTTCTGCTGGGATCCCATCTGGTCCTGCTGCTTTTCCAGCTTTTAGCATCTTGATTGCCTTCAGGACTTCTGATTTCGTCGGGGGGTTGGTGTTCACTGGTAGCTCTGTCTCCGTTGTTGGTATTGTTGGGCGCGTTGTAGGTGGTGGTCGATTTAGGCTTCTTTAGAAGTGTTCAGCCCAGTGTTTCCTTTGCTCCACTTCTTTGGTGAGTGACTTTCCATTGTCATCCTTCACCGGCTTGATTTGTGTCAAACGTTTGCCCGATAGGTACCTAGTTGTTTGCTAGAGTGTTGCGAGATCTCCTTTGGCTGCAGCTTGTTCTGTCTCACTTGCCATGGTTTCATAGTACTTTCACTTGCCTTCTCTGGCACTCTTCTTTACTCTTTTGTTCAGTGTCATGTAGCTTGCATTCAAATCCTGCTTTTGGCCAAGTTAAACTTTAGTCACCAGTAACTACCAATCAGCGAACGGCGTTGAATTATCCAATGAGATTCACGAACGCAGTCCAATGTTATATAGCGCTTGATTCATTTCACTGCGTGCCATTACAAGGTTACGTTTGCAATTTGAGGAGGATAGTGTCTTTCAGTATTGCCTGGACTTAGGCTTGCTTCGAAAAGAGAGAAGTTGTTCGTGTGGTGGTGTAATGCCTCTAAAAAGCTATACTAGGTCAACTGATGGTTTTGTACATCGTTGTGGGATATGCTGGAAGCGAGTTAGTATTACAGGGGGTAATATTTCATAGGAACTGTTTTTGCTAGGTCGCATCTCTCCCTAACCCAGATTTTGTTCATTTGCAATTACTGCGTACTGAAACAGCCCGTGAGAGCCGCTGCTGCCGAGACGGAGAACAGCCTCGTCTCAACAGTTCAGTGGCACCAGCACTGCAGAGACATCGCCTCATGGAAAATGGACAGAATTACTTCGTTGTTAGGCGGGACGACGTAGTAGTGCATGCGGATGAGACAGTGTTGGTGAAGAAGAAATATAACCGTGGTCATCAGAGAGTGAACAACATTTGGGTCATAGGCTTATACGACACGTCCGTCTGAAAAGGATTTGTTGAAAGAATTGCAGACAGGAAGGCGACTACTCTGGTACCTATTATAAAGCGACTTGTGAAACTGGGATCAATTGTACATACCGAGGAGTGGAAAGGCTATGATTCATTGTCATCCCTGGGATACATTCATCACAGAGTGAACCACTCCAGTGATTTCGTGGATCCAGTTACAGGGCCTCATACAAATTCCACTGAAGGATTTTGGGGTCGATTGAAAAATAGAATAAGGGCTATAAATGGATCTCAAAAGGATCTCATTTATAGTCATTTAGATGAATATATGTACAGAATGTGGTGCGATTTCTCTATTGACAGTCCCATGCTGAATTGGGAAATGTTTCTCTCCCATGTTCGGGAAACATACCCATTGTAACCGTTTTATCATTTTTTGTGCATTTTTCTATAAATATACGTTTCCGCTTATCATAAACGCCTCTTTCATGTGATTGGTCCGTTCAAGGTCGTTTGCTGACTGGTTGTTACTGGTGTCGAAAGTTTAACTTTGCCCTGTTTTTTTGCTCATCGATGCACTGGAGAATCTTTTGTTTCACCATCCCTCTCTCTTCTCTTAGTTTCCGAGTGTCCGTAATGAGTCACTGTTTGTCCTGTTTCTTCTTTCTGCCTAGAACTTCCATGCAGGTTTGACTCCACACTGTCTTCAAGGTGTTCCAGTGCTTTTCGACGCTGACCTCTTCGCCAGTGTTGATTTGTGTCTCGGCTTTGTCTTTTATGCTTGCAGTGAAATGTCCTTTGTATCCTGGTCCTTCAGTTTTTGAGTGTTGAACCTGGCTTGTGGTCTATCTGCAGCTCCTGATTCTCTGAAAGCTTTTAATTTGATTTGGATTGTCCCTTGTACGAGATAGTGGTCTGAGCCAATGTCTGCTCCTCTTCTTACTTTTGTGTCCAGTAGGCTGCGCCTCCAATTCCTTGAGATTGAGATGAAGTCGATTTGGTTTTTGGTTTGCCCATCTGGTGACACCCATGTAGCCTTGTGGATATCCTTGTGTTTGTATACGCTGCCACCAATCACTAGTTCATTGAAGGCGCAGAAGTCGGCGAAGAGTTCTCCGTTTTCATTCATTTCTCCGAGAGCTTCTCTACCCATGATGAGTTCCCTTCCTGTGTTGTCTGATCCCAGTTTGGCGTTCATGTCTCCCATTAGTATTTTAATGTCACCAGCTGGAGTATTGTCCATTGTTGCCTGTAGTTGTCTGTAGAATTCTTCTTTCTTTTCGAGGTCTGCATTGTTTGTCGGTG